TATCTATAGATATGCACATAATAAATACATCAGCCAATCCGGCGCGTGAGTTTCTGAGGGCGCGGGCTTGAGCACGCCCGAGCTTCGCTCTCAAAAGGGGGGGGGGGGTCGGGGGGGGAGGGGGGGGGGGGGGGGCGCGCAACGCCGAAACGCGACGAAAGACTTGGCGCGCGAGGGGGGGCGGGGGGAGAAGGGGGGGGGAGAGAGGGGGGGGGCTCGCTCGAGCTTCGCTCTGCAAGGGGGGGGGGGGGGGGGGGGCGCGGCGAAAGAATTGGCGGGGGGGGGGGGGGGGGGAAGGGGGGGGCGGGGGGGCGGGGGGCAGGAGAGACGGGGAGGGGGGGGCAGGAGAGAGGGGCCGGCAGGAGAGAGATGGGGGGGGCGGGGAGAGGAGGGCAGGGAAAAGGAGGGGGGACAGGAGAGGACGGGGGGGAAGGGGGGGGGAAGGGGGGGGCAGGAGGACGAGGGGGGGCGGGCAGGAGAGAGGGGAGGGGGGGGTGGGAAGGGGGCGGGGGGGCAGGAGAAAGGAGAGGGGGGGGAGGGGCAGGAGAGAGGGGGGTGGGGCAGGATAGAAGGGGGGAAAGGGGGGCAGAAGAGAAGGGGGGGGGAGGGGGGGGCAGGAGAAGGCGGGGTGGACAGGAGAGAGAGGGGGGGGAAGGAGAGAGAAGGGGGGGGAGACAGGAGAGAAGGGGGGGGACAGGAGAGACGAGGGGAGGTGGAGAGAGGGGGCCGGGATCATCGCCATCTCCATCACCATCGCCATCACCATCGTCGCATCACCATCATCATCAGCATCATCATCATCCGAAGCATCCCGGATCGGCGGCACTGGCTGGGGGCCGCTACAAGTGGTCTGCCGAATGCGCAGAAGCGGCCGTCTCGCGCGCGCACGTCGATATCATTCGCACGCCTTGGCGCGCTTGCAGGGGGAAGCGGCGGGGGGCGCGACGCGCGGCAAATCGGAACCGCGCGGGCCACTCGCGCCCGTCTGCCGCCCGCGCGCGTCGGAACCCTCTAACGGGACTGTTTATCGCCGACGCGTGGGCACCATCATCAACATCGCCGACGTCGGCATCGGCGCCGCTAGCGGGCGCGCCGCCGCGATCGGCACCATCGCCGCCAACGCGGCTACTATCATCAACGCGCACACACCGCTGCCGACGTCGCCATGCTACCGCGCCCGCCCGAGTCACCGACTCGCGCTGAAGTGCCCGCGCGTCAGCGCGGCCTGCGGAACGCGCAAGCGGGGCCCCCTGCGGTCAGCGCCGCCGCGGCCGCGTCGGCGGCGCCAGACAAGCCGGCCGCTCCGCGCGCGAGCCTGCGCGCGCTAGCGCGGGGGCAGCGATGCGCCAGCTAGCGCCCTGCCGTCGTGGCAATCGCCGACGCATGGGTTTTGCAAGCCACGTCGCAGGCGGGGTGGCGGGGTGGTTGCGCGGGCAGTGGAGTTGACAACGCACTGGCATGAGGCAGTTCCCAACGTAGACTGCGCCACATCGATCCGCCTTGCTCAAGAGGGAATTCACGTCGAGAGCTCCCCGAAACCGAGAATATGCCCCCCCCTGGGCATTTGCGATGCACATGGGAGTCTGCCCCACCGTCCGACCCAAAGTTGAATGCAAACCACCTCAGCCAAACCAAATTCGACCCCCCCCCCCCCCCCCATGCCCCACCCACCCACGCCCCCTGCAACAGAATGCGCGCAAGGCTTGAACCCCTCGCAATGACAACGGACAAAGTATACGCGATCGCGTCCTCGCGAGCGCATGCTTGAATCCTTCTACTGCTGTAATTCGTCAAGAATATCAGACCCAGTGTCCAGTAACACACTAGACATGTGGATTCGCACCCTGTCTCTTCAAAACGAAAAACATAAGAGAGGTCTGCGCCCGTGCTCTTGCGAATTCGCAAGATACCCAGCCATGTCGCCACAGCTTCGCCAAATTCCACCGAGCGGGCGTCTCGCTCGCGCGTGGCGAAATCAATCGAACGCCCTCGCGCGCGCGTTTGATGGGGGTTGCGCGACCCCTGTCGCCGAGTGCGCCCGTCGGCAGCGAGCGCATATCGAAATCCGCTCGCAATCTTCATCGCCGACGCGCGGGCGCCATCATCGTCGCCGGCGCGATCGGCATCGGCGCCATCATTGGCCTCGCCGTCTTCATTGTCGCCGTCGTCGTCAGCATCGCTACCATCGTCATCTCGCCTGCCGCCGTCGACGTCACCATGGCACCGCGCCCGCCCGAGTCGCTGACTCGCACTGATGTGCCCGCGCGTCGACGCGGCATGCGAGACGCGCTGGGAAGCCCTTGGCTATCCGCGCAACCGCGGCCTCTGCCCGTCACGCCAGACGAGCTGGCCGCTCTGCGCTCGAGCCCACGCGCTAGTGCGGGGGCAGCGATGCGCCGGCCAGCGCCCGGCTGCCACGGCAAACGCCGCCGCGTGCATTCGGCAAACTATTCTGCGGGCGGGCGGGCGGGATGCTTGCGCGAGCAGCGGGGCTGACCAGCTCATTTGCACCGCGTCATTTGCTCCACAAAAATATGACAACATAGAATGCACAACACACGCTCCCCACTATATTAGAATATGCACTCCCCTTCTAGGAACATGCAATGCAGTTCACACGCGGTCCTGCCATATTCCGCATTCTATATTTGAGCTCCTACCATTCCAGATCGACCCCTGATCGCGCCTCCCCATTCCCTGCAGAAGAATTTAACGCGCGCGCACACGCTCATCAAAATTCATCGATTTCCTTGCGCAGCGCCTGAACAAGCGAACGCGCTCGCGTCGTCGCGCGCGCGTGCTGGAACTCTTCGAGCGCCGCGGGCTTCGCGAGGGTTTCAAAATCGAACCCAACGAAATATTTGAAACATCTGCAACTCTTCAACGCGATGCGTCAATGAAATTTGCGCGGGCTTCCTTGCGAATTCTCAAGAAAACGGAAAAGGCAACGCTTCGATGCCCAAAGCGATCTCGCGCTCGCATGACAAAATCACGGGGGAAGGGGGGGCGACCCCTGACAAGTAAACCAACGCCGGCAACTCGCGCCCGCGCATGCTGAAATCCTTCCAAAACCTCCACCACCGACACGTGGACACCATAATCGCTATCGGCGTGATCAGCAACGGCGTCGTCATTTGCCATGCCGTCGTCATGGTGACAGCGCCATTCTCATCATCGCGTCTGCCGTTGTCGACGTCGCCGTGAAGCCGCGCCCGCGTGAGTCATGGACTCGCGCTGGAGTGCGTACCCGCGCGTCAGCGTGGCCTGCGAGACGCGCGGGGAACTGCCCACCGGTCAGAACAACCGCGGCCGCGTCCGTCGCGCCAAACTAGCTTGCCGCTCTACGCGCGAGCCTGCGAACGCTAGCGCGGCCGCCTCGGTGCGCCTGCCAGCGCCGGGCAGGTGCACTCAGCGCCGCATGGGTTGTGCAAGCCAAGTTCCCCCCCCCAGACTTCAAGCCATGAGTGATCGCGCTGTTTTTCGCATGCGGTTCTGCGCGCTCGTCCATCCTGAGTATGAGCTCGTTCCATCCCATTCAATCCCTTACCGTCACCCCCTCACTCCCTGCAGCAAAAAAATCGACGTGCGCACACTCGTTCATCAAACAACATAGGTTGTTAAGAAACCCCTGGCCAAACATGAAACGATTTGCGCACGCGCAAGTCGTCGCGCGCATGCCTAAATCATTCAAGCACTTTGGGCCGCGTACGTCTAAAACACACATGGTTTTGCAACTGGACTTCTCACACCAATATTTCTAGAACCAGCACTCGCGAATTCGGAGCGTGCTTCTGGTGCGCGCGTGCCGAAGTCACTCGAAAGCCCTGGCGCGCGAGCTGCCACAAGAGTTCTTTGCAAAACAACGATGCGAAGTGCACACGCTTGCGTCGTCGCGTGCGCATGCCGGAATCCTTCAAGAACTACTTGGTCCTTTAAAGGTTTCACAATTGACTGCCCCGAAACACACACAAGGACATGTGGTTTCGCAACATCAATTTTCATGGAAGGTCAGCGCGCGTGCTCTTGCGAATATTGCGTCGTCGCGCGCGCGCATGCCAGAGTTCTTGGCACAATAATGGTTTCGTCAGGATGTCAAGATCCAGTTTCCCGAAAAGTGGCTACGTGGGGGGACATCTACGTAGCTGGAATCGGGGAGTCGGCGATGCATCGCCGATAAATCGCCGAAAGGACCTCGATAGCAAATCCGCACGGCCATGAGCCGGGTAGGCTAGCGAGCCACGATCGGCGATCCATGGGCGATTGGGCAATCGATGCGTCCGCCCCTGAGAGCCAGTACCCCCCCCCCGAGCATTGCCCCCGAGCTTCCAGCCCGAGCCGTCTTCTGGCGGCCCTGGAGGCGCCCGAAAACGTGGACAGCTTCGGGGCCTCCTGCACTCGGGACCCTCCTGCCCTCCGCGGCGAAGAGCCCCCCGAGGCCCACACCGGCCGGTCTCCCAAGCTGCGCCCGGCCCGCGGCGACGAGAACCTCCGACGAACCTTTCGCGGGTCGATGTCGCCGTCGAGCCCTGGGCGCGGGTCGGGGGCGCAAAGACAATGCGAAGGACTCGCCGCCGTGGGGAGCCCATCGACATGTTAGCCGAGGTGGGCGCTCGAGGACAAACGGTACGGGGATACACATCGGTCGGGTCTCCGCGGTCGGTTCCAGGTGAGATTGTCCAGAAAACATCACCAAGCCTTCGGACAATGACGAGGGAATCTGACACGCGGACGGGCTCGCTCTCAGCGGTGGCGTGTCATTGTAAGATGGTCGTTCCGGGGACCGTCCTGGAGCCGCTGGCTTCTCTCATACGTCGATGCTGCGTCGAACGTCCGTCGGCTTGAATCGAACTTGAATCAAGATTGAGTCGAACTGGAGCCGAACTAGAGCGAGGCAGATCCGTCAGGTGGGCCACGAGACACATACAATCATACTAGTTTTTCTCTCTCTCTCTCTCTCTCTCTCGAGGGGGGGGGGGGGGGCAACGCCCAGCCGCGCGCTCCTGGGGCCTCGGCGTTCGCGCCGGCCACCAGCGAGAGCTCGCCAGATTCGGGGCTCTCCCCCACCTGGCGCGCAAGCGGGGGGGCGGACGCCCGCGGCCCTTAGGGGATTTTGGCATTGTGCATCCGATGCGGCCGCTGGCTGATCAGGCAAAGCACGGCACTGGGCAACCGGCCATGCGAGACGGGCTGTACGGTCGAGAACTTCTGCTTAGCGTGCTGCGGCGGCGACCCTGGCGACACGCTTCGACTGGTAAACGGACAGCATTTCGCTCCGCTCCGCGGGAGGGGAGGCTCGGGAAGGCTCGGGACGTCGGCGATTGGAAAGGGGGCGTGGGTGGCGTGTCGCGCCGAAGCGTGGCGGGCCAAAACTGGCGGCGCGACACGCTATCCAAAAGTGCCTGACCCTAACTGGCACAGTGACGGACGACATCCGAACCCTACCACCACCAAACATCGATTCTCCTGAACCGATGGGAGCCAGGGGCCGATTTCGCATTTCGCCACGTGTTCGACGAATCGCGAACCGTACCCTTGCCGCTCATCGTTGCCTGAATCGTTCATCAGCGAGGGCCGGATTTGGATTTCGTCGTCGATTCGGGTGTTGCTAAAGTGCCCCCAGGATTTCCAAGGAACCCACCACGGCCTCCAGAGGACCCCTCGCGAGGCCCAGAGGGCTCCAGGGGCTCCAAACTGGAGCGAAAAGCTGGGGGCACCTTGGCCCAGGGGCACCTCCAGCACCCCCCCGATCGATGGCAAAGCTGCGGCGCTGGCGCCAGGGGGTGCGGGCAGCCGCGGATACCCGCCCCTATCGGCTCCCCGGAGGGCGGTGACGGGACTGGCCCGCGGGAACGCCACAAGGGGGGAGGCGGAGGGGGCCCTGTAGGCTGCCCGCCAGGCCGCGCGTGTTGGCCTCGGCCCCCTGCAGGGCCGACGAAACCGACGACGACGACGACGACGACGACGACGACGACGACGACGACGACGAGGACGAGGACGACGACGAGGACGACGACAAGAACGACAATCGACGACGACGGCGACGACGACGACGATCGACGGCGGCGGTGGCGATCGACGACGGCGGCGGTAACGACGCTGACAACAGTCGACGGCCCGCAGACGTGGGGGGCGTTGCTTTCCCATGTGCTGAGGTAGATTGCAAGACAAGCCAAAGTCGTCACAGTCCAGGCTAAAGCAAGAGGGTCACATGAGAAAATCGAACTGCCACCGAACCTAACCTGCCGCAAAGTGTACGCCTACGGTGCGACGTCGAACTCACAAGACCAAATCCGATGATCAAGAATGCGATCGCGCAAAAATCCTTCCCAAAATTCAGCAAAAGGTTCCGCCTGTTTTTGCCAACGCCGGGTGAGGGAGCCGAAGGCCCCGGAAATCGATGGCCCATCGTGCTCCCAGACAAGGTGGGTTCACTTCCGTGTAATACCGCGTAAACCTTCTTCAAGAATTCTGCCGCGACGGTGCTATTTTTAGGGAAGGAATGGCCTGGTCAAGCTCGAAGGCCGACACGGTCAGACCGACTCTGCCGAGGGAAGTAGAGGGCCTGCGGAAACCGCGCTCTTTCTCCAGCGTCAACCGAAAAACACGGAACACCTTTTGCAAATACTGCATGATGTGTTTCCATCGTTACAGCGGGATTAGTGACTGACCATCACGGTACATCTCGGTAAACGCGCGCACCAATCTGACCGCAAAGCAGTTCCACAACGGATGCGGGACAAACACTTCTTGACAGCCGTCGTGACCAGACGCTGTAAGCACTTAGGCTTCTGAGTGGAGGCTGCCCGCTTGTCCGCTGCGACAACAAAGGCCGAGATTCGGTCAGGTGTTCACGCAGCTCCGAGGTGACCACCCTCCCAAATGTGCCCACGAATGCCTGCGACCCCCAGTGTCGCGGGTGCGGTTTGTCTGACGAAACTGGCAGGAGTGAGCAGTAGCCCCCTAACTGAGCATGCTGACCACGCATCCAGCCAAATAGACTGCGAAAATCCACGACGTTGCTGCGCGCAGTGCGGGCCAGGGCGCTTATGCGCAAGGCAAGCCATGACGGGATAGAGGGCCCACCAGCACCACGAAGCTGAAGCCATGCGGCCATATTGTAGACGCCGAGAGGCACCCTCAATGTGCGGGACAGCGCCACCAGCTCCTCACTGAGCAACCATGGGGGCATCGTGAGGAACAGTAGGCGTAATGAGGGGGAGGAGGAGGAGGAGGAGGAGGAGGAGGAGGAGGAGGAGGAGGAGGAGTGTGAGTACTCTGAAAAGGAAGAGACGAGGGCAAGCGGACAAGAAGCAAGAAGAGGGCGAAATGTTCGCTCCTGCTCCCTGCCAGCTGCGCTACAACTCGTTCACTAGTATTGTAACGATGTGGTTGCGCTACTCGACGCGGCCAGTGCCGAGGAGTGTGCGCTCGTAGGCTTCATGTTGGTGTTGTCATGCAGAGCACTCTGAAAAGCAGGAAAGGGCGGGACAGTAGCGCCGCTCGAGCGCACAGGCAGCGCGCGCGCTGCGGTGAGCACGGGGCCTGACACGCGGGGAGCGGAAGTGGATGTAGTACTTGGTTGGGAAGACGCCGCAGGTTGCAGCGCGAGGGCTCGGCACACCAGCCCATCTGCAAGGGCAGCGAGTGACGTACAGCAGGAGCGGGATTCCATGAGGTCCGAGCGGCGAAGGTACGGCGTGTCAGGAACAGCCCAATCATGCCGATCATCACTGGGACGGTCATCGGTAGCATGAAGAACGTCGACGTGCACTCGGCCACCCGAAGGGGTCCAGCAGACATCGCGCGGGCTGTGACCGCAAGGGGGCTGACGGCCAGGGCCAGTCGGCATCAACATCTCGTCGTGCATCAGCGCGTCGGTCTCGCTCGGCGTGTGCTCGTCAGACTCGCTCAGCGGGTCGGGCAGGTTGTGACCACGAGTGGGCTGAAGACCAGGGCCATACGGCATGAACATCTCGTCAGGCAACAGCTCGTCGGTCTCGCTCGGCATGAGCACGTCAGGCTCGCTCAGCGCGTCGGGCTGTATGATAGGCTTTTGCGTGTGCAGGATGCTCTCGAAGTCGGCGCAGCAGTCGCACCTCTTGGCGTTCGCGGAGAAGGTGCCGAAGTAGCTTTCGAAGTGCCCCGAGCCGTCGCGGTCGTCGATGAGCGGCTCGTGACCTTGCAGGTGCTGGACGTGCTGCTCAGTGGAGTCGATATGCTGCTGCATCTCTTCGGTGTCCACTTCGATGTGCTTCAACCTCTGGTCGAACGTGTCCAGGATTTCTTCGTTCAGGCTGTTGACGCGCAGCCCCAGCTGGGTGACTTGCGTCTGTAGCTCGGTTGGATGCGAGCGAGCTTCTGCGACCGAGAGGCGGGCGTCAGCAGCAGCAGTGTGAACGAGTTCTACCACTCGGCGTGCTTCGTCACCTGCTCGGCGAGTGGCCTGTAGGCGACCGTGAGCTTCATCTGCCGCACGACGTGCGTCAGCTGCAACTGCGTGAACTTCATCAGCAATATGGCGGATGTCGAGGGTCAGGATGTGCGAGTCGTACGCGGCGCTGAGCTTCGGAGCGAATGTCGTTGATCTGTTTGGCGGCCTGACTTTGGAAGGAATCCATGACGGGCTTGATCGGGGTAGCGAACAGGGCGGGCAGCTGCTTAGCGTGGGAGGCCGGCAAAAACTCGAAACCCGCGAGACGTTTGTCGTCTAGCTTGTCGCGGGTTCGCTTCTCGAATGTGTGGAAGATGCTGTCCAGGGTAAGCGCGTCGAGCTCCCTGTGCGTGGCGGTCGCGGCCGAGTCGGAGGAGACGGTCGCGTGCTTGATGATGGACTCGGGCTGGTCGGCCGTACCTGGATGGGTGGAACATGGATCGCCCGCAGGGTTTTCCACATTGCACTTTGGATGGGCCTTCGAGGCCTCGACAAGCGGGCGCAGCACGGGGAAGTCGATGTCGAAAGTGTCCGCCCAGCTGATGCGCTTGGCAGGCGATGGCCGCGAGGCAGTCGCTGACGGCGGCGCACGGGTACACGAAGAGGGGGGCCATGGTGACGGAGTCCAGCGCTTGTGGCGAGCGATGTTGCCCGCCGTGTTCCAGAACTTGAACTCCTGCTCCTCCTGTGGGGTGGTGTGGCCACCACCAGAAGCCGCAGCGCAGAGCTCGGAGCCGCTGCGCCTGTGGAGCCCAGGCTTGGCCTCAAGCTTGCGCACGTTGTCCGTCGCCAACGCCAGGATTTTCGACTAGCTGGCGACAGCCGCTGGAACAGCAATATGAACCAGGTCGGGACCGGCATGCGGCCGAAGGAGACCCTTAGCCACGGCGCGGCGCCGACGAGCATCAAGAGCCACGAGGGAACGACGCCCACGGGAACGAAGAATGTTCGGCACACGATGAGAGGATGTAGAGGGAGTTGTCGCCGCGCTTGCAGCAGAGGTCGACCATGGTGTAGCACTGGAGGCCGTCAACATCACCGCGCTTGCAGTGTAGAAGAACGTGGACAAGAAAATCAGCTGCATCAACATTGCATGGCCTCCGCGCCTGCAGAGTCGCCGCTCGGGTCCCGGGGCTGCGCGCGCGCGCGGGATTGGCACTGAAGAAAACTGCTACGGAGGAAAAGGATGAGAAGGAGGAGAAGGGGGAGTAGAAGGAGGAGAAGGAGAAGGAGAAGGAGAAGGAGGAGGAGGAGAAGGAGAAGGATGAGAAGGAGGAGGAGGAGGAGGAGGAGGAGGAGGATACGAGCGTAAGGCAGAAAGACGAGGAGACGGGGACGAGCGTAAGAAGTGAGGATGCGGAGGGGGAGGAGGAGAAGCAGGACGACGACACTTGTGTGCACTGGCGGAGGCGGGGCGAATTCGCAGGTGCATGAGCAGAAAAAGGGCCTGATAATGGAGAATGAGAAGAAAGAGGAGCAGCAGCTGGAGCAGAAGAAGCGGGCAGCGCAGGAGGACCAGAGGAACGCGGAGGAAAGTACTGTAGAGGGGCGGCAACAACGAGGATCTTATCCGATCTAGAAGTGTGGCACGCACTGGGGCGAGAGCGCCAGTCTGAACGACGGGAGCAAAGCGCCGATGTTGAAATATAACGCACGCTGAAGTGGGATCAACAGTGTCGGGACAATTCTGACGCAGAGGCCGGGAATGATGACACGAGAAACATAACCTCGAAACAATGTCGGGTCAATTCTGTGTGACAACAGCGTATGCGGGACAGGCGGGTAAAGTACCGATAGCATCCGAGGGGAGATCATTAAAGTACTCGCGTTGAGTAAATGCGGCGGGAGGAAGGAGGAGGAGAATAGAGGACACACCAGGACAGTGGAGAGAAGAGATAAGCGGAGGGAGGGACGACGAGGAGGATGGAGGAGAGACTAGCGATGAGGGGGTGAGGGAGAAGGGAAGCCTGTGCAGTAGGAGGGCGTGAGAGAGGATGGAGAGGAAGGGGGGAGGAAGAAGGGAAGAGGATGGAAAAGTGAGGCGGAGATGCGGAGGGCACTTGAGGAGGAGGAGGGCGGGACAGGGACTCCCAAGCTGGCAATCTTCTGGGCAACAACGCCAAACGACTGCGGGCCGTCACGGCCTCTCAGCGCTGGCACCAAGGTGCAGACAGTGCGGCAGTCGTGGCGGCCGCCATACGCACCCCGCTCGCCGCGGCAAACTTTAACATGCCCGTCGAGCTTCACGGCAGCGTCTTGAGGGGCAACGCTGCCGCGAGACCCTGCCCAGGGGGGGGAAACATCGAGCTGGAATCGGCGACACATCGCAGGTACATCGGTGATAGGGCCCCGAAGGGGAATCCGCATGCTTCTGGGCGGGGTGGGCTGTCAGGTCCCTTTCGGCGATGAGTAGGGGCTCCTGAGCTTATGATAACGTTGACTGGACTCGGTTTCCGGGTCATAGCTCAGATTCCCGGTGGCCGTGTCAGACGATCCAGGCACCCTTGGCGAAGCTTGAAATCGTCCAGCGACCGACGACAACGTTCGAACATCCTCCAACCTCCAACCTAACATTCCCCCCTGAACCGATCCCCCCCGAACGTTGCCCCTGACGTACATACCCCCCCTGCCCCCAACGAACGCGCTCCCGCGCGCGGATCGGAAGGAAGGAACGGACACCTTTGGGGGCCATGGCTTCGGTTTCGCGGCCGAGAGTCGCCCCAAGAGCGACACGACTGCCAAATCCAGTCTACCTTGACTTGCAATTATCCGTTGAACTATCTGTTAGGGCTTATATCCCGCAGGGGAGCGGCCACCCCGCGCAGTGTGCCAACACCCCGCAGGGCCTGTAGGCCATCGACGCCAGGGTGGGTGCGTTGTACCTCACTGTTTGGCCCTGCGGGGCAGGCCGCAGCCCAGAGGGGAAGCAGAGGGAGGGGCGGGTGGGTGACCCGCGGGTCGGGGCAAGCGCTCACAGGGTCCGCAGGCAAGGGTGGGGAAGCCCTCCTCAGGTTGCTCCTCTTCCTGCTCGGGTTCCCCCTCCTTCTCCGCCTCATCCTCCTCCTCCTCCTCCGCCTCGTTCTCCTCCCCCTCCCCTTCCTCCATTCTAGTTACTTATGAATAACTCCTTTCTGACGCAGCCCGAGGCTGGTTGACAGGGCGGGCCGGGCGTTCGCCGAAGGCTTCCTCACCAGGTATGGTCCTGAAGCATCAAGCTTGCAACATTTTTCTGGATGGAGATCGGGCCGCTTTCAAAATGGGGCTCTCGCCTCAGCGCTGCGCACATTCGTCTCAAAAATTTGCAGCAGATTCACGGATGGAGGGCGGGTCGTTTGCAAAATGTGGCTCTTGCATAAGCGCCGCGCACATGTGGTTTCAAAGTTCGCATCAGTGCCGCGCACAATTCGTCGTAAGAGTGCGCAGCTGTTCTGAAGATTATTATGGTTGATGGCTCAAGAATTTGTTGGCGCGATGTCGGAATGCCACGGCGCAGCAGTCATGTTAATTCGCGGTGTTGAAGTCCCAGAACGGCGTTCTGGCGCGATTCAGGATCGGCAAGGAGAAACAGCAATGGTGATTCGCAGCGACGAAGTCCCAGAAATGGAGTCCTGGCACATTTCCCACTTTTCAAACGGTTGCCTTCCAACGGGGCACTTCCTTCCCTCAGTGACACTGAACCCTTCTAGGGGCCTCTACAGAGGGAGCTTGGAGGGAGGGTGTCTTGCAATATCGTGGCTGGATCTTGGGTTTACACGGGTCCTCCTCCTCCTTCTCCTCCTCCTCCCCGCCTCTTCCTATTCATTCGGCTATTGCTGTTGGCAGCTGGCGCCTCGGTCGTCACCTTCGCCTTAAAGCGGTAGGTCAGACCGGCAGTCAGGCCGGCGGCAGTGTACTCGAGCTGCGACGTGGCAGTGATGGGCACCTCCTGCTCGTTTGGGGGGAAAGCCCCTCTTCCCCCTGTTTCCTACAACCATCCACCTCCCAACCCAACCAAAATCGTCCCGCATCTCCTTATCTTCCTACTCCTCCTCATTCTCCTGCTCGTCCTCCTTTTCCTCCTCCTCCCCCGCCTCCCCCTTCGCCTCCGCATCCTCCACCTCCACTTTGGCCCTTCCCCCAACCCCCTCACAATAGACGCCCAAACCTCTCCTGAGACGGTAAAGACCAGTTCAACAAGCATGATCGTCGCCGACTCGCTGGCCCTCATCGTGACCGTTGCGTTCTACATCGTGGGTGATTTTGCGCTGGGGGAACTGCGCTTTGTATGCAGAGCTGGTTGCGCGAGGGCACCTTGAGCGACCAAAATGCGAGCTGTGTGAGTCGAAGCACTCGTGCGAGTCATCGCCCCCTCTCCGCCCCGCCAATCCTGGCAGGCGACAGCTGTTTCCCAACAGGTGCCCTCGACGTCCCACTGAGTGCCAAGCCTTCTGAACAAATGAAACTTCTCAAGGTTCACTGCTGGAGGGTTGCCAATCTCAAGCGTTCTCCATGTCTTTCGAGCGGGAAAACCAGAAGGCGATGCGACTCGGGATAGGTTCCATGACGCACGGGAGTGCGTGTAGTTACCCAAGAAGGAAGGTCGCATAATGGGACTCCCAGGCAGACTACATACAATCGAACTTGATTGTTGAGTTCCCCAAGATCTACGACTTGTTGCTAGTGTGTGCTTCTCGCCTCAAGTGGGCCCCAGGATGCTCCGAGACGGCCTTTCGACCAGTCTGACGCTCTGGAAGGATGCCTGACGATAGATTAGAAGACTCCCAGATGGGGTCAGGCGCGCGCCTGTGGACTCATTGACGATAGATTAGAAGACTCCCAGATGGGAACTCAATGCCTTCCGAGACCCATCAATCTCCTGGAAGTCGCCGTTGTAGCCGTCATCGTACATGATGATGTACCTCGCCGCTACATGGAACGCATTGTCCATGATGGCGGGGAAGAAGAATAGCAGCAGTGACAACAGCCGGAATTGCAGCAGCGAGAGGACGAGGCCAAGGAGGCCCAGAGTGAGGCACCAGGAACCTGGAAACACACCTGGCTCGACTCACGCGCGGAATATGTGGAGCCCACTTGCTGGATGCAAATGTGGAGGATCGTGGTGCATGGCCAAACGATGGCCGAACGCTGGAAAGACAACCCCATGTGTATCCAGCTCTCGTCCAGGCTAGCCGCGTCATGTGGCGGGCACTTTTTTTTTTCTTCCGCCCGTCGGCCTTCCGCCAGCGGAGCCGTCCCCTTTGTACCTCCGCCGCCCTTCGCCAGCCTTCCACCGAGGAAGAGATGACAACTCCTTCGACCCTTGAAGGCGAGGCCCTTTCTGGAACGCCTTACGTGTACCCAACTCCCTGGTAGAACGTCCGACCCAGCACTACCACGCTGATCTATTGGCAGGTGCGCGCGGGCCAGCAGCAGGGCAAAAAACAGCAAGATGCCCACGTCCAGGACTCTAAGACAGAGCTCCCGGCTGTGCGGGAGCGCGGCCACCGCAACCGAGCAAACCGCGCTGTCCCTACTGGTGCACTGTTCGGGCCGCAGCGCGACGCAAGGCAAGTGCAAAAACTCAACAGCGAGACCCGGGGGGGCAGTGACAGGTGGCAGGCATCTTCAGAGGGCGGCGGGCCTTCTCAGAAGCCCCCCGGTCTTCAGAGAAGCCGCCACTTTTTTTAGGAGAAGGTTTAGAACACTTCTCAGGAAGCTGGAGGCCCGCCCCTCCGACTTCCCCCCTGGGCTCCCCGGCGATAAGCAGCAGCATAAGCATAAACTGTCGGAGGTCCGCACAGCTGCCTGGGGACCGCGCCATGCCCCGGCGTTTCTCCTCGATGTCGGCCTGTGGGGCCCGCCGTTGCCGCCGCGGCGCGGGACGGGGCGTGACGGCCAGGAGAGGACGATGGAAGGGGCAAGGGTGGAAGTTGAGCCCTGCCAGCCTCTCACCAACGCCAGACCAGGCTTCTGCCACCCGCCCTGCACTTCTTGGGTCAATTGCCCATTGCCCTGGACGCCTTTCGAAGATGACGGGGGCGGGGGCAAGGCGGGGGAAAAGGGGAAGAGGGAGGACACCAAAGAAAGGTACATGTTTCTTCGGCCGCTGCGTGGAGGCTGGGACCCCTGATGCTGAAGGCTGGCCAGCTTGAGGCCTACGTGGTTCAGATAAGACGCGATACCAAATCAATGGATTACGTAACTTGTGTGTAACGTGCGCATCAGGCTCTGAGACAACATTTAACGCGTCGGCGATAGACCAGGGCATCGCGAACGCCCGACACTACCACGCCCAAGCTCCCTGAGGGAAAATGACAACGAGAAGAAATGTCATGCAGAAGAAGCTTAAGAACGATTGGGAGGATGGATAAGCGGACGGCGATAAAACAGGAAGCCATCGGAGGACAGCGGCGAGGAAGAAAATGACAGCGCCTAGGACTTCGACGAGAATCTGGACGGAGATTCGGCACTATCGCTTCCAATGTGTGTGCGCACTTCGCGACGGTGCGACCTTCTCTGGGACGACTGGCCTGGCCAACACCCCTGTCCAACCTCCAAAAACCCCTGGCCAACCCCCAATAACTTTGCCCCTGGCTATGGATAATTCCCTACCGATATGATATTCTTGACCTGTGTAGCGCCCCCCCATGTGGTCTACGCGCAGGAGTGACCCTGGGCAAGACCTTTTCAAGCAGCGCTGGGGCGAAAAAGCGCGCAAAAGAGCCCCGACCTGCGTGAAGTCGAAGTTTCTGTGCGGGCTTCGCCACGCCCTCACCTCCTCAAGATGCAAGTACACTTTCTGGAATCAGTAAAGAAACTGCCTCTAGCCTTGGAAGCGGCTGGGGGGCCTGCGATGAATGGGCCCTGAGACCACCGCTAGTAGAGGGTGACGAAGGCAAATCCACTCAAACTCGGTTCCCGGACCAATTTTTCGAGCCGCGGCGCCGAGGGGGCACCTCGCTCCCCCCTGTGCTGGCCGGGACCAGCGCTGGGCCACCTCGGCCCCCCAGCCGGCTCAAGCTCTAGCCCGACACGCGCACCTTCCGCACAGGCGCGGCGGTCGCCGAGCCCCCTCCCTACAGGCCAGAGCGGCTGGGCGTGCTGCCCACCCCCCTGCGAAAACGGGGCGGAACCGGCGCGGCGCACCCGGTCAGCACGGCGCTGTTCAGCTCCAGGGGCGCGTAGGAGATGGTGATCGACGAGCGGGTGGAGCTCACCTCGGATCTCTGGCGATCTGCGCTGGTTGCCAATCCGGGCAGTTGCCCTTCAGTTCGGCTGCGGAGGCCCGTTTTTGGGCCCCGGGGCCATCAGAACCAAATCCAGGGTGCCAAACTACCCCTGGGGAAAACGTCCAGACATCTGGGGATGGTGATCGATTGAGTCTGCCGTGGGGGTCAGGACTACGCAGAGGGACGGTGAAATCAAGACGGGGGCCCGTGTATTCTCGGCTGAGCGCCTCTGGGCGTCAAGATGCAGGCCCGAGTATACTCGGTCGGGTGCCCTCGGGCGTCAAGACGGACATCCTGAACACTTCCCAGGTCAAGACCAATATTTGCAGGGCCGCTGCGGGCCAAGACGGACATTCGGCGGCATGTCGAATGTCGATCACTGATCGACCTGCCCGGTCGTCGATAACTGATCGAATAACAATTGAAGCGCCGCACGAGAGGGTGATCGACGAGCGGGCGTTCTCTTCCTCCTCCCCTCCCTCCTGCTCCCTCCTTGCGTCAACGTGGCGGCGGCCGCGCGGCCAACGTTCGTTATCTTGCAATGTTTCCGTTGCTGCCCATGTGTCGTCAAACCGCGTTATTCTTGTCCTACCCACAAGCAGATCCAGCGGTGATTGCAGGCAATCGCCTCAGCCTAGACTTCCAACGTCTTGAAGCAATCCAGCAGACGGAGATGTTTCACCGTTTTCGGCCGTCGGGGGACCCTCGCCAAGCGACGGGACCGTCAAAGAACAATAGATTTGGACGAATTCCCATCCCGAATCGACTTGGGATGAAACACTGGGGCCCTAGAGAAAGGGGCTTCTTAAGGGCCCAGCATTGAAACAATCATGACGTCGGACCTCTGGATGACCTGGATGATCGGCCATCACAAGGCCCCCTCGCGTCGTGAGGGAACTGGGCGACGGTGCCATCACTCACGGCCTCCTGTGGGAGGAGCCTGGCCCCGGACCGTCAGCAGAAGCCTCGACCCATTCCCCAGGACGGGCTCTTCCTCCCGAGCCGTGTTTTGAAGGCCATCTGCAAGGCGAGGGCCCTCTGACGCCGAAAACAGCCAAGCATTTTCCGTCGCGCCCTGTTTTTTTTATGACGCGAAGGGGTTTGGGCAGACTCTACTTTTACCAAAAGGAATAGAGGACTGCACAAACATAAACCGCGGAGTTCTTGGATCGGGCGCGAGGAGCGCGCCAGGGGCAGCGCCAGAGGCGCCACCAGGGGGGGGCGGGGGGGGGCAGCGCTGGTACAAGAAGTTCGCGCGGAGCTCTGGAAGTCCGTGCTCAGTTACACAGTGCTTTCTTCTTCGAGTCTGTACGGGCCCCTCTCCCAGACCCCCCGACGCAATGCTTTTTTCAGAGCGTCGGCCGACTTCCAGAGGTCAAGATCCATTCCCCCGGGATCGACCTAAACACTGTTTTCCGTTTTCGTTTGGTCTTCAATCCGCCCTCGCTGCAAAACGAAGTCGAAACGAAAACGGTCCGCGAATCGCCAAAACACTGTTTAGGTCGACCCCTGCCACTCCCCGGCACCAGCTTTTTGTCCCGAGTCGTTCTGTTGACAGCCCGGAGGCATGGTCCGAGCCGCTGGAGGCGGTCTGGATGTTTCATGACTCGAGGGGTTCGAAGGCTGCTTCTTCGAAGGCGCCGGCCTGACATCTACAGACGAGGCCCGCGCCTTCTAAGGCGCCGGGGTGCTTCCAAGAAGCCTCAGCCCCTCCCCCTGTGCACCCCTCTGCGCCTGGCCGACCTGCGGCGGTCCTCGGAGGCCTCGGGCGGACTCCGGCGGTCTCCAGCGCCGGGGCCTCCCGAGAGGGCACGCCGGTGGAAAACGGCGCACCAAGCGCGCGAGCTCGAGCTCGGTGCCAACCCGCGCAGGGCCGCTGCGCGCGAGGGAACTCCCAGGGGATGGGGGAGACAAACGACTAGCAATTGAGAGACCCCAAACTTTTTGGGAGCGGATCTATCAAACCAAGCCACCCCGATGCTCCTCATACAGAAACGGGGGCCTACGTTAGGCTACGTTTTCATTGTGCTGTTAGGGTCAGGGATTCGTTGACTCTCTACGGTCAGAGGCAAAGACGCTTCGGGGATGAGAGGCTGCTTTGCCTCGGGCAAATTTACTCGCACGGCATGTCCCCTCCTTGACCCCTTTCGCCGCCTTTTCAAACAGCGTTGGGCCTGCCAGGGCGTGCAAGCGGGCCCGGGCTTGCGTGAAATCCAAGTTTCCGTACGAATCTCCCCACGCACTCCCCATCCCCTTCCATGGAAGTGAACTTGCCAGAATCTGAAGAAAAACTGTTCCCCCAAAAGAAGCTTCGGGGATGAGTCAGCACGGCGCCTGCGGCCGTGGATGCAGCAAAAGCTCTGGTAGGATATCCCTGCGGTGAGTTGTGGACGCATGACCTGGGATTCTGGGATGGCTCGGGCGCCGAGTGGCTCCCGAGGCCTGCTTGGGCCGTCTGACTGGCAGCAAGGTGGCGACCAGGCACAGGGCCCACTGTTGATGGTAGGGTGTGAGAAGGAGGGGAAGAAGGATGTGGGGGGAGCGGAAAGCAAGAAGGAGGAAGGGGAGGGGGGAGAGGGAGAGTAAAACGAAGGAGAAGTAGTCACACTCAGGATGTTGCACGCGTTGCATTGCAAAAAAAAGGCAGCGGGTCCTGAGAGAAACGGGTCCTGAACCCATGCGCTTTCCCCCCAGACCAGCTGTTCATCCTGACAGTCCCGGGTCCCGAGGAGGACCCCGAGAAGCCAAACACCGCGAAGAGCCTCAGGACCCGTTTCCATCAGGACGCGCTTGCTTCATGGCGAGAAAAAGAAGGAACAGACAAAGATATGTTCCACCCCCTCACCTTCCCCTCCTCCTCGCCCCTGGGACGGCTCGCTCTCGCCCGCGCCCTCGCCCTTGCCCACGCAATCGCCCGCGTACCAGGCCCTCGCGATGTTATTAGCTTAATCCGCATGTTTTTCCTAGATTTCGAGCGTTTCGAGCCTTCTGGAGCCCCACGGAGAAACACTACCGCTGGGGAAGGTGTCCAGACTTCTGGGGCTGCGGATTGACCAATCACATCGCCAAATGTCTGGATCTCTGCCCATTCCTCGGGACCGGCGCGAAATCCTGAAACGTTGTCTGACGACCCAGACGCCCAGTAGTAAAGGCCCCCAGAAGCCGAACATAGCCAAAACTGCCCGTCGGATAACGACGCGGGGGGATCTGGAAGCCAGTCAAGGGAAGCGCCAGGCAACGGCTCATCGGAAGGGAATCAAGAAGACAACCACTTGCTCACAGATTCCAAAAGTACGCATTGGCAAGACCATGCGGCAATGCGACAACGCTGCAGACCTACACTCTGCGGAGGCCTGCCCAGTGTCCGCACAGCGCTCGCACGAGAGCCCGCATGCCCGCCCTGCCAAAGGTTCGCACCTTCGCGGGGCATCTGGAACGACCTGCCGAAAGGTCGGAAAAGAACCCGCCGCCTCGGTTGTCCCCCCCGCGACGGCCTCGGGTCCCTGAACGCTCCAGGCCCGACCCCCCGAGGGGGAACGTCCGGGGGGGGGGCCAGCTCTGGGAGGGAACCATCCAGCGGGAATCGGCGATGCATGGTCGATAGAGCGGCGATAGGCTCGCGACAGCGAGAGCGCACGTCCCTGAGGGGGGTGGGCTGTCAGGCCCCACATCGGCGATGAATGGGCGATTGGGGGTCGATGCATCCAGAGCCTAGTTGTATTCCACCAAATGACCCTCGCCGTCCGGCTCTCGGGACATTCTTAACTCAGACCTCTGGCGTCCGTTCTGCTCTGGGGCCCCCTGGACGCCTCCCAGCGAGGCGCCACTGCTGGAGAGCAACCCGTGGCAAGCCAGAAAACCGCCGAGAACCCACAACAACGTCCTGAAGCCTATTCCCCCCTGAGCATATCCTTCCCCTGACGTCGACCCTAACCCCAGACTGCGCCGGGGGGCAGCCCGAACCAGACCAGCCCCCACACTGAGGAGGCCGCCTTCGCTGGCGCGGCCGGAGCGCCAGGGACCTGGCAGCGGGCGGGGGATGGAGCAAACAGGTCGAGGCTTCAAGGCTCGAGCTCGAGGATCGAACTTGGACTTTCGCTGTTGTTGGGCCCCCAGAGGGCTCCTCGTCGCCACGGCTGGGTCTGGATTTGACATTCTTGCTAGAAGGCACCTCAGAACAGGTCCAGGTATCGAGTTTCGACCTCTGGACCCTGACACCGTCGCGTTGCGTAACATGCGACGGGGGCTGTTTTCGGCATCTGGGGGCCCTCGCCAGGGCCCTAGGACCGACAAAAAAGACCGGGGATGAAAAGCCGGGGAAAGCCTGAGACCTTCGGGAGCCCACGGCCCACGTGGTGAAAAGAACGTCTGGGGTCTATGGGGTGAGCAGCGCAGCAGGGCCAGCACGCGTCTGTAAGAGACAGCAGGCGTCTGTAAGACACATTCGGACGAGGATATGCCGGGAATCTCCGAAAGCCGCCTGGTCTGGAGGATGTATCGGGCGGCGATGCTCCGAGAGCGGCTGGAGCGCTCTAGAGCGATGCACCCGCACCCTAGAGCGATTTACCCGCTCTAGAACGATTCACCCGCTCTAGTGTATATTCATAGATGTGTATATATATATGTATGAAAATTATCCAGGGCTCTGGGCCCCCACTCTTGTGTTGATGCCTTTGCCCCCCCCCCGGCGCGATTGGTCCCCCCCCCTCCCCCTGTGGTCGTGGCCCAGCGGGCGTGGCGGCGTGGTGGGGGTTGCCGGCGCCCCTCTGCCCCCCCTTTGGGTGTGGGGTGTTGCTGCGGTGCCGTCCATGTCGTCGTCGTCGTCGTCGCCGCCGCCGCCGCCGCTGTCATCGTCGTCAGCGTCGTCGTCGTCGTCGTCGTCATATGGCGCCGCCGCCGTCGTCGTCGTCGTCGTCGTCGTCGCGGTCATCGTAATCATCATCATCGTCGTCGTCATCGTCGTCATCTTCCGACGTTCTTCTCTTCGTCGTCGTTAACGCCATCGTCGTCGTCGTCGTCGGCGTCGGAGTCGGCGTCGGCGTCGGCGTCGTCGTCTCGTCGTCGCGATTATCGCCATCGTCATCGTCATCGTCGTCGAAGCCGTCGTCGCCGTCGTCTGCCCATCCCATCAGGTGGGGGGGGGGCCGAGGAACCCTGGGACCCATCCAATCTGTGCGGGGGGGGGGGGGCCCGTTGGCCGTGAGTTGACTTCAGCTATATCTGGCGGTCTCTGGCGGTTCTTGTCAGCAATGTGCCGTAAGGGGTCAGATGATATTGGGGTCGCGCGTCACACCGAAGCAGGAAACATGGATTTGTAGAAACGATACCCACCAAAGGCCCTGCTCAGCTAACCCCGACTCCCAACGTGTCGCTTTTCATGAGCAGTACGCCTCACCTCCAACACCAAACTGTATACACACATTCTCGGGCGCATGCGGCTGGGGCGACAAATCACGCCTTCGCCTGCGGGAGCATGCGGTGCGCGTGCGGCAGCAAAAGACGGCAATGCAGACACACCTTCACAAGGGGGCAGAATTCACACTGCAAGCACACGCGCCATAACGCTGCGAAAGCACAAAAGCACCTTGTGCCCAAGACCTCAAAGGAAAGGGCAACGGGAGGAGAGAAAGGGAGGATGAATGAAAGGCAGTGGGAAGGAGAGAGACGCAGACCCACGCGGTCCAATTTTTGGGGTAGATGGACCGATGGGCGGCCAAAGTCCCAAGTCTGTCTTGACGTCCCAAGTCTGTCTTGACCCCAAATTATCAACAGAACGTCCAGCATGAATCTCTCCGTCTACCCGCCAGCCCTGCCCTGGACGGACATTGATTCGCTACCCAGGGAGAACATGATGAATCCATGCCTTCTGCATTGCCAGGATAATGCATTTCCTTGTGGAAACGGGCGTGGGACAACTGGATCTTACACAATACCAGTTTTTCGTGCCGACGCGGAAAGGGCTAAGAACCTCCAGGGCCCCTTACGCTGAGGACCAACTTATTTCATGGTGAGCTGTCTGCTCCTTGCCTGAGGCAGCACTGCAATCGACACATGGCCACGAGAACACGGGTCAAAGCATATGTGCCCCTTCGGAAAAGGCCCCATGCCCCATGGAGATGCCCGAAACGAAGAAGACTCCAACGTGGAGGGCCTAGACACGAGAAATATATGCGTACCCTGCCAGAGTAAGGATTGTCCTTAGCCCTCGTGCCAGCTGTACTGAACCATCCCTCCTTCCCTCCCCGCGGGCCGAACGAGGGCAATCCGTGGTTGGAACCGCTGGCGCGGAGCTCCAGAGATCACACTCATGGCACTGCCAGAGCCACGGGAAGAAAGGCGCCCGAACGAGCAGTTGCGGGCAAGATACTGTACGTCGCGAAGGCGAGCTCGCCAGCCTTGCATCCCATAAGCTTGGATACAAGTTCCGACGGAAGCCCGCCTGCGGGTGAGCTCGAAAAATCGCCCCCGAACCAGCTGACAGCTCCAGTGAGCAACATGGGGCAGCGGGCCGCGCAGAGGGCCATGGGGCGCCAGCTGCGTTGGCTGCGGGGGCGTCTGTCGTACGCAGAAGGCGTCTACGTATGCATCGCCACCATGTCTGACCAGGGCCATTTCTATGCGCACTACCTCCTGGCACGATGATCTTCACCCTGGCCCATGATGTGGTGTTGTGTGCGCCTTTTGGTTTTCCCTAACCATCCTTTGGTGTTGGGCCCTCGTTTTGAAGAGACAGCGCCCCGCGTTCTCCTCCCGCCCTCTTCCTCCCGTCTCCTCCCTCCTCCCATCCCAGCTCTCCGCATGTGCACTATTCCCAACCATCATGTGGTGGTGGGTCCTCGTTTTGAAAAGACAGCTCCCCGCGTCCCACCTCCTCCTCCTCCTCCTCCTCCTCCTCCTCCTCCTCCTCCTCCTCCTCCTCTCCTCCTACCCCCCTCCTCCCACTCCTTCCTCTGCCCTCCGCATGTCAACCATTTCGGCATCGCCTTTACGGGGTTCGTAGCCCCATAGGGAGCTCCACCGAAGGGCCCAATGGCAGGATCCGAATGCGCCCGACGACCAGTTTCGTACACCCCTCACACGGTTCGTGGCCCAATAGGGAGCTTCACCGAAGGCCCCAGTGACAGGGTCCGCATGCGCCCGAAACCAATTTCAGCACACTCCTCACACGGTTCGTGGCCCCAAAGGGAGCTCCACCGAAGGCCCCAGCGGCAGGGTCCGCATGCGCCCGACGCCCACTTCGGCACACGCCTCACACGGTTCGTGGCCCCATAGGGAGCTCCACCGAAGGCCCAGTCGCAGGGTGCGCATGCGCCCGATGTCCATTTCGGCACACCCCTCATACGGTTCGTGGTCCTATAAAGAGCTCCACCGAAGTCCCCAGCGGCAGGGTCCGCATGCGCCCAACGCAAATTTCAGCACACTCCTCACACGGTTCGTGGCCCCAAAAGGAGCTCCACCGAAGGCCCCAGCGGCAGGGTCCGCATGCGCCCGACGCAAATTTCAGCACACTCCTCATACGTTTCGTGGCCCCATAGGGATCTCCACCAAGGCCTCAATGGCAAGGTCCACATGCGCCCGACGCCCGTGTCGGCACACCCCTCACACGGTCCGAATGCCAGAGTCACAGGATACAAATGCGCCCGGCGCCCATTTCGGCACACCCCTCACACGGTTCGTGGCCCCAAAAGGAGCTCCACCGAGGGCCCCGGCGGCAGGGTCCGCATGCGCCAGACGCCCATTTCGGCACACCCCTCATACGTTTCGTGGCCCCACAGGGATCTCCACCAAGGCCCCAATGGCAAGGTCCACATGCGCCCGACGCCCGTGTCGGCACACCCCTCACACGGTCCGAATGCCAGAGTCGCAGGATCCAAATGCGCCCGGCGCCCATTTCGGCACACCCCTCACACGGTTCGTGGCCCCAAAAGGAGCTCCACCGAGGGCCCCGGCGGCAAGGTCCGCATGCGCCAGACGCCCATTTCGGCACACCCCTCACACGGCTCGTGGCCCCATAGGGAGCTCCACCGAAAGCGGTACCCACAACGCGTTACTCGCGACAGCGTGTGGTTGGGCCTTTCGCCGATACATATCTATATATATATATGTATATATACACATGCATCTGCATTTACATAGTTGTACATATATATGCACAAGTATATACACATGTACATATACATAGATTATATACCTCTCTTATAAGTGTATAGATGTATCTGTGCACATCGCATGAGCAGAGCTGAGAGGAAAATGGTTGAAGCCGCGTTGCTTGCCTGGAGCTTTCGATCGGGACATCCTCAACATCTGAGAATCGGACGCACCACTCACGCAGTGCGCGGCGTCACGGTCCGACACCAAAGAGTTTAGCAAGTACGTTCAACACAAAACCATCGATTAAACAAGGACAGCCAATGAAGTTGCACACGACTCCTGCGACACAGAAGAAAAAGAAACGCCGCCTTATATAGCCTCGTAATTCCGAGTCACGACGCACAACAAACATAACAAACACACACACACACACGCACACGCAACACACAACCCTGAGAACACAGAACACACACATCAAACACACATACAGCACATACAACATACAACACACACGCACATCTCACACATCATAAACACCACACACATAACACATAAAACACATCATACACCCGAGAGGGCCTCACGAAACATCCGATTGGTTGTTGCTGTGGTTCTTTGTTGTGCCCGGACACTCGGCTCCTCGGCCGACGCAGCGACGCGGTATGCACCCCGCGGCCAGTGCCGCCGCGGCGCGACGGGGCGGGGCGGTCCTCCGAGCACCGCCAGCGGTAGGAGTTCGAGGCCGCACCAGTCCCTCGGAGGCCGCTTTTGATTCCTGGAGAAGAAGGCGGGGGAGGAGGAGGAGGAGGAGGAGGAGGAGGAGGAGGAGGAGGAGGAGGAGGAAGAGGAGGAGGAGGAGCAGGAGGAGGAGGAGAGGAGAAACAGAAGGAGGAGGAGGAGGAGGAGGAGAATGAAGAGATGCGTTTGCAGAATGCCACACCAGCTGGCGGGTTCTAGAGAGAATGCTCCAAGAGTCGCCTGACTTCCTTGCTACCCCCCAGAGCCAACCGGCCCCGGGGGGGGAGGACGGCATCCGACGGACTATTGCGCCTTCAGCTCGTCGGCTCGTCAGGAGGAGACGATCGTACGAGGGAGGAAACGGAGGAACAGCGACTCCGAAAGGTGTGGTTTGCAAAGGGTGCGGTTCGCAACCGGCACCCTGGGGGGCACGCTGGGGGGCGAGCGAGGGCTTCGACGGAGCTCTCCGCCTGGGCCCGAGGAGGCCCCACGAAGACAGCGTCGTGCCCCGAGCTACGCCGACCGCAAACCACACCCAAGCGCAACCATACCCATTGTAGCCCCCGAACGGAGGAGGAGGAGGAGGAGGAGGAGGAGGAGGAGGAGAAGGAGGAGGAGGAGGAGGAGGAGGAGGAGGAGGACGAGGACGAGGACGAGGAGGAGGACGAGGAGGAGGAGGAGGAGGAGGAGCCAGCGTCCCTGGGGGCGGCCGGTGCTGAGTTAGGCTGCGCCCGAAGCCCCCTCTGAGCCACTCAGGGTCTCGGCGTCGCGGTACAGTAGGTCAAGCTCGGCGGTTACGAACGAGTCAACGTCGTTGGGCGCCTTATCGAACACAGAGTTCGGCGAGTCTGTGTCAATCTCCGCGCCCGTGGGGGCAGCAGAGACCATGGCGAGGGGAGACCTGTCGAATCGAAGGAGTCGGCAACCGTGGCGCCGAACGGGTCGATGTGCACAGCGCAGATCGCGTCGGTGGCGCCGCCCGTGAGTAAGAGGTCGGCATGAACGGATAGAGCGTTGCTGCATGAACGAAGTTGCAATAAGTCGCGGTGTCGAAAGAGAGGGGCGCCTGGCACCGAGCGACCCAACCCTCTGAGCCCAGCGCAAGCAGCTAAGGGACCCAACTCGCACCCGTGGTCATCAGCGTAAGCGTCTAGCTGCGCAGCGCCCTCAGGAAGAGGCCGCCCGGCGCCATCAGGTGAAGGAAGATGTCCCGCAGGAGGCCAAGTGCATGGCGAGCGGGGTCAGCAGCGGCAGGACCTGCAGCAACCCCGTCGGCAAGAGGACCTGCAGCAGGAACCTGAAGTACATATAGTACGCCAGCAGCCTCGTCTGGCGGAGGAAGAAGCTCAGAGAGAGCGGGATCAGCAACGGCAGGGCCCGCAGCAGCGCCACCGACATGAGGCAGAAGGCCTGCAGGAGGCTGAGGTACTGGGAGGACGCCAGCAGCGTCGTCAGGTGGCGGAAGAAGCGCCTGGAGAGCGTGATCAGCAGCGGCAGGGCCCTCAGCAGCTCCATCGACAGCAGAAGGGCCCAGGAGTCCAACAGGCGCGTCTCCCTCATGCAAGCGTGGCTGAGGACCATGGTCTCCACCACCTTCATGCGATGACCTTGACGTGCCGAGAGAAAAGCCATACATCTCAGGAGCGCTGCGACCAGCAGCACGCTCACGCCAAAGGGCTGTCGCCAGCGGCTGTGCAGAGACGCAGTGTGAACGAAGCTGAGGAAGGCGCCCGTGCTCGATAGCGACAGCATCCTCAGAGATCCCGCTCAAGTGGAAATGTCTGCAAACAGCGCCAAAGCGGCAGGCTGGAACATATGTGCGCGCAGGTATCGTTGTAATCCGCGGCCCGACCTCTAGGACCTTCAGCCAAAAGAAATCGGGAGCGCCAGATGGGGAGCTAGACGGCGAAGCGTCGCAATGAAGATCGGCAGCAGCATGGTGTCCCACTGTCTCTACACCAGGGGCGACGGAAGCGCCAGCAGACAGCGAGGTTGTAGTCTCGACGTGAGCGCTGAGATCGATCAACAGCGGTGCAAGATGGGCGCGTATGGCCTATGCAATTCTGTCGCCCTGGCCCCTGAGGGCTTCCTCCACGAACCGCGGACACAGGGGACGCTAGCGCTAGACAGACTCTGTATGGCGTCGCCGCACTCGTTCCGAAGGGACGCAGACCGAGCTTCAAGCGCAGCTGGCAGGCCTGGGGCGCGCTCATGATCACCATCACCAAGAAGGAGAGGGCCACCGAGAAGTGCACTCGCAGCGCCAGCCGCAGGGAGGTGCTCACGAGGGACGGGTTGAGCAGCCAGATGTCCATGCGAGACAGTAGGTGGAACTACCGAGCCTGGGCGGACATCCCGACGAGCTGGACGAACGCCACGTGCATCCCGCAGTGCACCGCCAGCACCCAGACCCACGCGAGCAGCAGCACAAGGGCCGCCATCAACATGGAGAGCGCCACCAACGACAGGACGATCGAAGCCAGAGACTTGCTCGAGGACGTAGTCGGAATCCTTGCTCTGAGCGAAGTGGGCGGAGTAAAACAACGAGGGGAGGACGCCAGATGGCGAGGACTACGACGTCCCCCGCGTAGCCAGAGCGGCTGTGCACTGGTGCAGGGCCTCCGACGTAGCAGCACAAGAAAAAATAATGGCGATCGCCTTTTCCATATGTTCCATGCGCGCGAGAATGTTCGAGAACTTGTCGTCGCCGTCAAGAGGCACATCTGCCCAGCGTGTGCGAAGTCCAGCAGCGAGGTCCTGTTGACCCGCATGGCCGTGATCTTCCGCAGGGCCCATTTCCACAGGCGCGATCTGGAGGATCAATATGGGCAACGCCCTTGCGGTCCCGGACTCCAGGTGGCCCTTGAAGTGTTGTGTGATGGTGTTTGGCGGCGTCGGCCATCTCCGGCGTTGTGCGAGCAGCCGCATGGGCGGCAGGGGGGAGCACACCCTGGCTGGGAGCACAGTGTGCGGCCACTTTGCCAGAAGCCGCAGGGGTTTTGCCGAGCGCTGGAGGGTTTTGCCACGGGCCAAGCGCTTTACGTCAGCCCTGTCAGCCACATCTACCTCCACGAACGCCTTCCCAGGGGCCCGATGGGAAGTGGCGCACCAAACATCCCGCTCACGGCGGCGACGTTGAGCGGCAGTGAGCGAAGCCCCCGCGGTAGAGGCAGCCACCAGGATCTGCAGCTCCGAATAGAAGAACTGCACGTAGCAGCGCCCACGAACAAGTGGGGGACGAGCAGGTAGAGGAGGCAGGCCACTAGCATCCAGCAGACGCCCCCATCCCAAAGAATTCCGCTCGCGGGTGGGCGCGCGCAGCCACCAGGAGCCAGGGCAGGCTCAGTAGCTCTTGAGCCAGATGTCTACGGAGGAGGAGGAGAAGGAGGAGGGGAAGGAGGAGAAGGAGTAGGAAGAGGAGCATCGTCCAACCAAGGGCAGGGCGAACGAGCCTCAGAACTGGGCATCGCCAAAACGTCGCGAGGTCGGTCTTCTGTTTGGCGTCGTCAGCCGCCCAGGGCCGCTTCCAGGCCCCGGGGCCGTCAGAACACGACTCAGCATGAGAAGCTGGCCCCTGGGGAGGGGTCAAGATCCTGGGGGGCCCACGTCACAAAACAGCTGCGACGTCGGTGGAGAGGATAATTAACACTACGAGTAGGGCGGACGACGACGAGGGGAGGCTGAGGAGCAGCAACCCTGCACCACTGCGCGTTCGCTGACGCGGGTTCCCTTCCGTCTCCTCTGGCTTGTCGAGCTTGGCATCAACCACTGCTCTGCAACACGCGCTGCCGCCCTCACTTTCCCTCGACCTCTCCCCCAGCTGCAGAGGCCAGGGCATGCGAGGGACCGGGCGAAGGCCTGCACCGTTGACGGCCGACACGCGGAAGTACAGGTAGCTCTTGGTGTAAGACGCGCCCCAGAAGGTGTTGTCCGTGCAGTCGACGGACTGGCTGGTGGTCGACCCGCTGGAGAAGAGCGCTTCCCAGACCCCCGACGCCATGATTTTTTTTCAGAACGTCGACCCCCAAAGGTCTCGACCCATTTCCCAGGACCGGTTCTTCATCATGAGTCGCTTAGTGACGGTCCCGAGGCCCAACGAGGGCCCCCAGAGGCCAAAAATAGCGAAACGCATCCATTTCTGTTACCATTTATGACGCGAGCATGTCTGGTCTCTGTAATATACAACAGGTGGCGGGCGCGGGCGCTCTTTTTTTTTTTCTCTCTCTCTCTCTCTCTCTCTCGTTTTCTCCCTCTCTTTCGGGAATCCTAGCTGCGCGCGCGACATACGCTTTCCTCTCCACCTCGTGGCCCCCTGATCTCTCGACCCGTCCCCAGGGCCGCTCCTCTCGTCCCCGAAGGTACTCTGACTGCCCCAAGAAAAGCCAAGGAACGCTCCCGGGGGGGCAAGAATGAAGAATAAGACGAATAAGAATAGCAATAAGAAGAATAAGAAGAAGACGAATGAGGAAACTAATACTAAGAAGAAGAAGAAGAATAATAAGCATATAATAATAATGATAATAATAATGATAATAATACTAATAATAATACTACTAATAATAATACAAATAATAATAATAGTAATAATACTGATAATGATAATGATAATACTACTACTAGTAATAATTATAAAAATGATAAGCATAACACTAGGAAAAATAATAATAATAAGAAGAAGAAGCATAATAAGAATAAGTGCCAGGAGTGGAAGCAGCAAACGAAAAATCCCCAGGAGACCTACGGAGGACTGGCACGCTGATCCTGGAGGGGGCAGGGGTAGCGCGAGGTGCGGAATTATCCTTAACATTCGCCTATGGATCGATCTCCTGGGACCTCGGCAAGCGGTGGGTATGGATATATATATATATATGTATATATATATATATATCCATACCGTCCCCTCGAGTCGTATATATCGTCCCCTCGGGGCTCGGATACATCCATATCCACTGCCTGTCGAGATCCCCAAATATCCAACCACCAGGGGAGTCTGAGCGGGATACGCCCAAACAGAAATCGCTCAAGAAGGGGAGATGACAGCAAATTCGCTCAAACTTTCATCCCCGATACCCCTTCTGGTATCGAACCTGACCAGCTTTTCGAGACGCGTCGAGCTGTGGCGACGAGGGGGCCCCTCTCTCCCCCCTTTCTGCTGGCCGGAACCAGTGCAGGGCCACCTTCTCCTTTCTTCTCACCTCGTCCCTCCTCCTCCAACTCCTCCTCCTCCTCCTCCTCCTCCTCCTCCTCATCATCCTTCTCCTTCTCCTTATCCGTCTAATCCTTCTCCTCCTTCTCCTGCCCCTTGTCCCCCCCCTCAGATTCGAGCCCTAAACCTGTACTGGAGCGCGCTCCGAGAAAGAGCTGCGAGGCAAACTCGGCGTGGCGACGAGGCTCGCCCCCCCCTGGAGGCCAGAAGGAAAGGGTCGGCGCAAGGTCTCTCGGGAAGAAGGACGGGCCTGGTGATCGTGTAGATCGGCGCGGTGGAGTCCCACGTCGTCCCGTCCACGGACCCGAACACCAGCCAGCCGGTGACCGGCGTGCCGCCGTCGAAACTGGGCGTCCAAGCGAGGTCGATGACTGTGTTGCTGGAGGACGTCACGTAGATGCTGTTGGCGTCTGCTCTTTATATGACGTCGTCTCCGTAGCCTTTGCAGGCTCAGGCAGGCTTGCTTGCATGGCATGTCCTCCGCTGGCTGTGCCCCCGCTCTCCACCGACTCTTCGGGCAGCGCCTGGGCCGAGAAGGCGTGCAGGTGGCGCGAGGCGCTGCAGGCGCGTTTGGCGCAGCGCCCAGGGCCGCCAGACTAACTAGTAATTCGGGCGGCATGCGTGCTGGTTGTGTGCCCCCCCCCCCGCTCCCCGCTCCTCCCCCCCTCCCTCCCTCCCTCGACCGCCTCTCTCTGCCGCTGGGCTTCATCGCTGGGAGATAAAATCAGGTGGGTCCCGACGTGCGTCAAGTCTGGATTTCCATTCAGGCCTCGCCACGCCCACCCGCTCCTTCCATGCAAGGAAACTTGCCGGGGTCTGAAGACAAGCTGTCTCCAACGGGCAGGGTCCAGAAGCCCTGAACACCAAAACTGCGCTGCCATCTCTGCTGGGCGTATCTTTCACTCCCGCCGGCTTCCGCCAATCTTCTGCCAACTTCCGCCGGCGGAGTCGCACCCGCTTTACTTCCGCCAACTTGCGCCTCTTTCGGCCGCCTTCCGCCGAGAACGAGGTGGCCACTCGTTCGCGCGTCGAATGCGAGGCCCTTTCTGGAAGGCCTCTGCGAACGGACCTCACACCCCGCCCAGTGCTCAAAGACCCGGCTCCTCTGCCGCGTCCAGGGCCCGACGGGAAGCGAAAGCTGATGGCGAAGGGGGCCAAGCGAGCGCACACACACACACACACACACACACACACACACACACACACACACACACACACACACACTTACACACACACACACACGCAAAGCTGATTGGCGTCTCCATCGGGGGGAAGGGGGTTAGAAAAGGGAGGGGGAGGGGGTATACCCCTCCGCGAAATCAGATGCAATTTTGCTCCAACCCCCCTAGCCCCCCAATGTCCACGTTCAGCGACGCGCGCAACGCGGGCCGCGGGGTCCGAAGGAAAATCGAGGTCGCCAATTTCGGCGCGGACATCGCCATTGGGGGTCCGCGGGCGCCGCCACGCCGTGGGGAAACCTGCGCTTGCTTTCGCGGAGGGGATCGGGGGGCTTGACGGAGGAAGGAGGGAGGGATGAGGAGACAGCGGGGCTTGACCAGCAGATGCAATACAGGTGCGTAGGCCCGGCGCCGCGAGCGGCCTGGGCGGGCTGGCCGTGGCGGCGGCGAAGAGCGACACGGAATCCGAGATGTCGCTCTCTCCAACCTCCAGGGTGCTGGAAACCATGGGCTCGGGCGGGCCGGGCTTCGCAGGTCCTCCTGACCCGTATCCTCGTCATCCTCCTGCGTCCCTCCTCTTCCTGTTTTTCCTGCTCCTCATCCTGCCACTCTTCGCTCTGCTCCTGCTCCTGCTTCTGAACCTCCTCCCGCCAGCTCCTCCCCTTCTCACCCCTGTCGTCGCCTGCTTTCCTCATCGCCATTCCCTCCCTGCCGTTTTCTTCCATTCCCATTCGCACCCCTCCTGAGCGAGTCGCTTGGGTGAACATGGCTGACAGACACAAGAGGTTCGCGTGAGAAAGCCCTTGGTCCCCTCTCCCCCGAATTACCTCACCAGCCCTCCTCATCCACGTTCTCTTCATCCTCCTGCCCATCGTCCTCCTTCCCCTCCTCCTCATCCTCCTCTCCATTTTTACTCCACCTCGTTCCCCCAACTCCCCCTCCTCCTATGAGAGACCATCCCCCCATCCCTCCCCCCTCCTCCATCACCCCCCCCCTCTTCGACATCCTGCACTGCCGCGGTCACTGCCCGTTCCGCCCCCCCCCACGTCTCCGCGCCCCCCTCTCTCCTCATCCTCATCCGCCCCCTTGTCGTCCTCCTTCTCACTCTCCCCCTTTTATGGCCTTGCTCCCATCCCTCCCCCCTCCTCTATCACCCCCCCTTCCCTCTTCGACACCGTGCACTGCGGCAACCACTGCCCGCCTCGTCCTCATGCGCCTCCGTGTATCCCCCCTTCCACTGTTCCCCTTTCATGCTCCCCATCCTCCTGCTCGTCCTCGTCGTGCCCATCCTTGTCCTCTGCCCCTGCTCCTCCCTCCATTCTGCTCCTGCATAAATATGGTGCCCCTCCTCCTCCTCGTCCTCCTCCTCCTCCTCCTCCAGCCCCACCTCGTCCTCCTCCTCCTCCTCCTCCTGCTGCTGTTCCTCCCCCTCCCCTCCTCCACCTCCTCCTCCTGCTGGGGCGGGCCCTCTCCGTCTCCTCCCCCTCCACCGCATACCTTCCCCCCTCTCGCATTCTCGCGTGCATCCTCCTTGTTCTCAAGGCGTGCTGAGCACTGGGCCCGCGTCATCCTCCCCGCCCTCCTTCTGCTTATGCGTCTTTCTAATACTCTCCCTGTCTCTTGCTCGTGGTCCTTCTCTTCCATGCCCTGGCACCTCGGAGATGACCTGGACCTTGAAGCGGTACGACAAGCCGGGGCTGAGGCCGTACTTCGTGAACGTGCGCTGGGTCGTGTCCGCGAGGGTCTCGATCGACCACGGCCCGCTGCAGCCAGCACGTTTTTCGCTTGCTTATCTGTGCTCTGCACGCCGCAGCTAGGGCGGAGTCGCCCTGTGTCTCTGTCTCCCTCTCTCACGCTCACTCTCTCTCTCTCTCTCTCTCCCCTTCTCAAGTATCACCCCTCCTAACCTCTAACCCTATCCCTCTCTTTCTCTCTCTCTCTCTCTTTCCATCGCTCCCCCTCTCTCTCTCTCCCTTTCCCACCCTGAGAGAGTCATACTGCTGTTCCTTCCCCTTCCTTTCCACCTCCATCCATAACGTTTTGGACCAGACCCTTTTCAAGGGTGCCTTCCGCCCACGACACGCTCACAGCGGATAGGCACGATGTCAGCCTGCCTCCTGGCAGGCTCTCAAGGGATTGGTTCGCGGACATTGGTGTGTGCGCAGAAAGGGTACTCTCTCAGATTGTGTTCAAGCCGGCCTCTCGGGCTACGGGGCATCACAATTTCCGTATTCGTACCAGAGCGGACGTGCGTAGTATTCCCCAGTGTGCAGCAGTTCAGACCCACCTCACCTCCGAGTTCTTTCCCGACGCGTTTCCGACTACTATGCCATCGACGTTGCTGACGGTGTGTGGTCAACCCACGATATTCCAGAACCTTGTAAGTCGAAGGAAAGGGAAATTGCTCGCTGCAGTGACCCAGACATCGGCCGAGTACTACAGGACCCTTGGCCCCGCGCTGTGGACGCTGGAGGAGCAGTAGAGGCGCTTCCAGCACGAGGACGCTCAGCGACACGAGGAGGCCATCAACATGTGGATCACGAGTCTCACGTTCGGGGAGATGCACGGCCACACGGCGGAGTCAACTTCCAGCTCGGGCTCGAGATGGGCTCGTCCACGAGTGAGGAGCTGGAGCAGCTACGATTCGTGATGCCGTGGCCGACAGACCAGGGAGCAGCTCATCGTCGAGCTGAAGAGTTTGTCAAGCGGACCCTCAAGACAGGCAATGGTCTCACTATGGGTGAAGTTGGGGCCAACCTCCGACAGTGGCTGTGGTCCCGTCGTGGCCACCGACACGTGCGTGCGTTCAACTCTACCGTCCTTGCTGTGATGTGCGAGTTCGTGGGTGACAGGCCATCGTATGCCCGTCCTTTTCGAGGAGCTGCACTGTGGAGCACGAACGATCGGTGTGATCCTCATCATGTCGGGCGTGTGCTGGCTCCGCCACGCTATATCCATACCCACAATGTCTAGGTGGGCCCGACGAGTGTATCGTATGCTATCGCCAAGGTGGAGAAGAGGAGTGCATGACCACCGGTCTGAATATATTGTCTCGACCGCCCTGTTGAATGTTCTTGGATATAGTTGTGAACCTCATAGTGCTGTAGTGTACGTTCTGGGATGCCATGCATCACAGTACATCGAAAAGGCGTCTCTCAGAACAGGTGCGCTTCCTGGACTCCTGGGTCGAATCCAAGAGCATGTGCGTGCGCTCCTTTACCCACGATTTCGACCAGGGAATCGACCACGATATCGAGAACTCGGACGCTCAGGAGGTTCCTTGTTCTTCCTTCCAGTACTATGGGTTCCGACCGAAGCAACGAGTTTTCACTATGAGACGTTAGCCATCCGACGACTTCGACCGTCTGCTAACCTAGCCGATGCTACAGAGTCCGAACAACTAAGTCTACGACGTGGCCTCGGTACCCTATACGTTCCTCCCAAAGCCAAACCACCACGACGACGCCCTCCCTCCTGGCGACGACCTCCTCCCGACGTATCCCACCTCCTGTATGGACGACGGCGACGCCAGCTCTAATGCACATAGTACCGAAGGATGGTGTGGGACCCCTTGCCAAGTACCCTGGAGCCCTCTCGGAGCCGGCCCCCTTATAGCGCCCTCTACACACTGCAGGTCCAGGAGAGATTCCACAATACAGGTGAAGACGGCCCCCTATGGATCCTTGCTCCAGAGCGCCTAGGCCTACTTCTTGCTCTACTAGCTGCTAAGTGGCGGTCTCTTCCGCTTTGTGTACCTTTCCAGAGTGGAGTTGGGTGCGATCCTGTTCCAGGCGGCCGAGCTGGCCCCAGACTTCTGGTGCAATTTTACTCGGGTGCGCATGGCCAGGTTTCACGTTGATCAGCATCTCATCGACTTGGGTCTTCCTGCCGCTCGAAGACCCGTCTTGAAACTACCCTTCGAGTTCCAGGCGCTGCATTTGCAAGATGTGGTCAAGGGATCAGTACAAGCTATATGCCGCCAGATGCGTTTTGAGCCAGCTCGCACATGGTACAACCAACCTCCTCGTGTTTCCTGTCGAGCTCGCAGAGTCTGGAAAGACCGCGTTTCAGCCAGCCGTTTTTGTGCAGAGTATCAGGTCGACTGTCTGCCGACCTCAGTGCAGGAGTCGAACTTCGTTTCAGGGCCACTGAACTTGAAGCAACTACCAGGGCCGTGGACGCTTCCTGTGTGGCACGTTCCTGCAGTATCCTTTCGGAGTGCGAAGTCGGGACTATTCGAGTGGGCCCAGTCAGCTCGACTCGCACGACCTGCGATCCAACGAGGGTTGGATCACTTGCAAAAAAGGTTTACGCGTCCCCTTTCCTCGTGATCTTGCTGCAGTTCTCCCTCCCCCTCCTCAACGATGGCAACAAATATAACAATATCTCAATGAAACACTGAAGCAAACAAACAACAACATCTTGATTGCAGATGCCAAACAATGTGACAAACTTGAGATGGGAGATGGTATTGATGTCGTACGATGGCTTCATCAAACAGCTGAGTTAGATGAGGACTGGCAAGTGCGCTATGACCTTTCCCGCCAAGATGCTGCGATTTGGCTATGGACTAGGGCTCGTCATGGGCTCCCCAGTTGGCTCCGTTCCCCAAAAAACGCTACCTCACCCCTCCAAGAAAACTGTGCCCCCCTACGTCTTCCCCACGGTCAAAAGTAAGTGCTTCCTCCCCGACGGTACTAGGTGCTGTGCGAAGCCTGGCCACAGTTGCATGCGACGCATTGTGAGCTCGGCGAATGCACCAGGCATAGCAGGATACAGGATCAGTGGTCGAGCTGCCCGCCATCCCTCGCATGTGAGAGAAGTGTCGTGTGAAATGCTTGACATGAAGGAAATATCGAAAGAGATTGCGCGTGCGGTACATGATCTTGAACCCCCGTCTGACGATGTGTGCATGCGGTGCTCGTGTCCGTTGTCGTGCATGTCTATTGTTGTGGCAGACGCGGATCAGGCGTATATGAACAGTGTAGTTCCACCTTGATCGGTAGAGCGTGGTGTGACTCGTCGAAGGAGACTTCCAAACGCCTGGAGACGAATGCTGTAGTAGTCAAACGAGGTAAATAAATAAAACAAAAACATTCAGATCAGGAACGCCGCCTCATTACTACAAACTATCAACATCGGATATAGCCTCCACTATGCTAGCCTATAACATTGTTCCCCAATCAGAGCTTGCCTCTGTAGGGGTCCTCGCGGATTCAGATGGTTAGGTAAAATTTGCCGCCGATTTTCGCTGCACGCCGGGATGCCCGGGTGCCCGGAGGTGTCCGGATGCCGGGGGGGATGCCTGGGGGTGCCCGGGGGGTGCCAGGGGGTGCGTGCCCGGGGGGCGCCCTGTATATAGCCCTATAGCCCTATAGCCCAATAGCCCAGTAGCCTGATAGCCCTACAACTCTATAGCCCTATAGCTCTATAGCCAAATAGCTCAATAGCCCCTTTAGCCCTATAGCCCCCTAGCCCTATAGCCCTGATTGTTTTTCTTCTCCGGTATCATTGGTTATCTCTTGTGACGAGTGGTGGGATTGTTTATGAATTGAGAGGTTTACCTAGTGGTGGTGTACTTTCAGGGGTGGCTCTATCAATATTACTAGCGTGGTTTGAACTTCGCGCTTGTCGGGCTCCTGGGCAGTTTCGTAATCATCCGTGGGTGCGGGCGAACAGTGGCCGTGACAATGCTGGCAAGTCCTCGGGCTATGGCTTCAACTACCGTGGCCCTGATTCCAGAGACTTTCCCCGATCGAGAGACCGCAGCAGTGATCGTGACCGTGACCGTGACCGAAGGTACAACCCTGAACGCCGAGACCGTGATGATCGTGGAGACGGTGATCCGAGGGAGGTGCGTGACTACCACGTTCACAGAGAGGTGCGCGACTTTCGTGACTATCGAGACGCACGTGATCTTCGAGACTATCGTGATCGTCGAGACTACTACGACAAGGATGGTTCAGATCACTGCGATCGTCATGACGATCGGAACCGTGGCTCAGGCAAGGACATCCGTGGCTATAAATCTCCACGGACACGCTCACGATCACCAGGACGACAGGATGTGCACGTTCAACGCCTACGTGAAGATCTCGCGGCAGTTGACCCCGAGTTCAAGGCATCCCTCAAGGATAAGCTGGACAGGATCGAGGAGATGAAGCTACGCAAGCAGAGCGAGTATGTGACGCAGGCGGTGAAGTCGAGCTTTGGGGACAAACTGTCCAAGCTGTTGGAGTCCACGGACACTGACGGCAGAGGAAAGGTCAAGGAGAAGGAGACGGACCGTGAGGTGAGTCCTACTCCTGTTGCCCAGGCCCCTGACAGCACGGCGCTCATGAAGCGCCCCGAACTAGGACGGTTGCAGTCCCTCGTCGGCGCCAAGAAGCAGCTACCCAACAGGCTGACATGGGCAGAGGCGGCGCAGGTGTTGGAAGCTCGGATGTCGGACAAGATGGTGGTGGCGCAGGTCAACAAGTGCATCCAGGCCCACTTCCCGAAGCGTGCGGTGCCCGTGGCAGAAGCACGCAGGGTCAGCCTCACCCTGGGCATCATCAACGGGAGCGCCCTCTGAGAAACCGCATCCTCTCTTTGGGACCCTGATTCAGACTCCGACATCGGAGACCAGTACCAGAACAAGTATGGTGTAACATCGCGAGTCGATCGTGATCGGATTTGTGCTTGGCTTTCTCTCGGCGTGCATTGTTGGCCTGCGTTGCCGGTCCTCAAGGCCTACCCCACTTTGCATTGGACACATACTCGGGAGGCAGGAACCCTCCAGGAGATTGCTAACATGTCTTCGTTGCCGTTCTCGATTGCCAGATCACAGGCCTGGTTGGGGCCTCGATCCCAGTGATGGCAGGCCAGCTCCCCCTAGGAAATGCAGTTACTCTCCTCTCTAAACTTGTGTCCTCTACCCCATCTCCAGGCACTACACGACGTAAGACCAAACAGGTTTATGATGCAGCTTCTGAGACTTTGACTTGAATCAGGTCTAGTAGCACCGGATGCCCTTGACTACCTTGTGTGAGCCCGAGGACCCGACACGCGGCTGCCCCCTGAGGAACGGACTTTCGTGCGGTCTCGCGGGAGGCGTGCCCAGGGGTCCTTCTCCCTCGCCTCCGCCCATCCTTGAACATGAAACTCGTTCCTCTCCCCCTTTTCCCCCCCTCGTTCCTGACCGCCTCCAGGCACAAGTGATCCGTTTCCACATAAGTGACGATAGTAGGCCTCGCAAGCTGTCCCTTGGAGACGAACACCGATCGGTGTGCGTTCCCTTGCTTTCTAGCCACATGGGTGAGGGAGGTAGGTCTCGCAAGCTGACCCTTGGAGACGAAACCCAAACCGTGTTTGTTTGCCGTGTGGCCCACACCTCTGGGCACCCCATGGGAGTGATTGTCCGAGCAGGCCAGAGCCTGAATGTGCTGGCCCGCCCTTTCCAGCTCCAGTGGGTGCCGTGCTACCCTCGAGGATGCAGTACAGGCGCGGAGTTATTCCTTTCTTGTCTTCCTTTCCCCCGCTTGCCCGAGATGCGGATTACGACGATGTATCCCTCCTCCCAGGTTTCCCCCCACAGAGCCAGCCAGAGTCGGACGACCAGATCACGATCTTCCACAAGGCGCGCGTTGGGCCTCTCTGTCTCTATCTCTCTCTCTCTCTCTCTCTCTCTCTCCCTTTCCCACCCTGAGAGACTCATACAGCTGGTCCTTCTCCTTCCTTTCCACCTCCATCCATAACGTTTTGGACCAGACCCTTTTCGAGGGTGCCTTCCGCCCACGACACGCTCACAGCGGACAGGCACGGATTCAGCCTGCCTCCTGGCAGGCTCTCGAGGGTTTGGTTCGCGGGCATTGGTGTGTGCGCAAAAAGGGGATTTCTCTCTCTCTCTCTCTCTTTCGCGCTCTCTCTCTTTCTCTTTCTCTCTCTCTCTCTCTCTCTCCACTCCCCCCACCCAAGCCATTTACATCTCTGCGCACTGCTGACGCCGCCGCACGTGCCACCACGGGGCGACGCGATACACGCCGCAGGGCCAGGGGCGCCTCGAACGCCCGCACCGCGTAGCTCCTCAGCGCCGTGCCGAAGGAGTACTCTTGGGGCCGTACCCTGAGGCCGACAGGCACCCCATGCACTGCCTCCCCCTCGGAGGACAGTGCCCGTGGCAGTACCCAAAGGCCGACACTCATACGCAGAACCACTCAACCCGCAGGGGTGGCGCACCCGCCTCGACGTGGAAACTGCGCCTGCCGCGAGCTCGTCCCGGAGCAAGGCGGCCCATGTCCCGAGCTCGGCCGTGTACTTGTCCGCCCAGGGCTCCTCAAGCAAGGCCTCGAAGACGGGAGAGGCCGCCAAGGCCGTCAGGATGGCAGCGCGGTGGGCCTGCGCAGGGCTCGTCCTCCTCGTCCTCCACGGTCAGCTGCACCGCCCGCGGCACGCGCGCGAGGACGAGGCACCTGGGCGTTCCGCCACTGTTTGCGCCGCCGCTGCCCTCCACAGCAGCTCCGTCAGCTCCAGCCGCCGAGCCCGCGGCTGCCTCCGCTAGCTCCACCGCCGCCTCGGCCACCACCACGGCTCCCTCCTCCCAGGGAAGCCTCTCAACGACAGGGCCGTCAGCATTACCAGCGCGAACTCCTGGCCCTCCGCGCGCGACGGCGGCTGCGCGCAGCGCCACCCGGCGGCACCGCCGCGGCTTGACCAGCAGCCGGCGCTGCGGGGGCCTCCTCCTGGGCCGGGAGCTCCTCGGCCAACGTGGCCGCCCGTCTAGAGCCCGCGGCACGGCACATGTCCTCCGCGCTCCTCAGCAGGCGGCACGCGGCCGCGGAGCTGGAGCGCGAAAGGCCTGCCGCCCCGTACGTGGCCAGGCACGCCCCGCGGGCGGCCGCCAACGCATTCGCCAGCGCACGGCGCTGCGGTGCCTCGGACATCAGCGGCTTCAGGCGAGCGGCCGACGGACGGCGCCCTGCGGCACGAGGCTTCAGTCAGAATGGTTTGAACTAACTTTGCTTGCGCCAATACTTTTCTTAAGTATATTATGTTTTTGGTTCTCTCTCTCTCGCTCGCTCCCTCCTTCCCACTCTCCCTCTCTCTCTATAACTCACCCTCTCTCTCTTTCTCTATGTCGCTCTCTCTGTCTCTCTCTCTCTCTCTCTCCTCCCCTCCCCCTGGCGCTGGCGTCGACGCGAGGGTGGTCCACAAGATCATGGTGGCTACGTGGTTAACATGTGTGAGCAGCTACGCTGTGTCTGCCTCCCCTCCGAAATCGATCTGGATTGGAGCATCGTCGGCTCTGCAGATGCCTACGATCTTGCAAAACTTGTGGCCTGCGAGTGCAGGGGTCAACTGCTCCAGGAGGGGCACCCGACAACCCAAGGGCTATGAACCCCGATCGAGGGACCACTGAGCCGGGTTAGACCAGATCAAGCCCTGGGTTCAATCACCCACACTTAGGAATGACCCTCCGCTAGAATGACTTTTGGTGCGTGGCTTCAGGGGCGCCCGCGGGGGCCCAACGCAACGACGCAAGCCAATGCTGCCGCGCCGCAGCAACGATCGGCGGGACGCCACTCGAAAGATTTGTCATGCGGAATTCCGCCAAATATCTTCCAACGCCCCGAATGGCACTTGAAAGGCGCTGCGAAAGCAAACGCTGCCCGGGGCCTCCACGATGAGGTCGGGCACTGCCGGGTCGCATCGCGCTGATGTCTGGCCAGGTCTGGCGTCATGTCCCAAACATGCGCGGGCCCAGAATATATTCCATAGTCTTTCGATAACTTGGAAATGATAAAGATCACTATTGGTTCAAACAAGTATTCTAACATATTCAAAGATCATCCAGATGTTCAAAAATTTCCACTGATTTTCAGACATGACGATTTGGGCAGCGAGCTGGGATTCGGGACTGGTCTTGGAGCGGAAAACGCGCCGTGCAGTCCACCAGCCCCCCCTAGAGAAACCAATGCACACTGTAAGGTGCGCCGCGTATGCATTGATGTCGTTTGTATGCGTGGGGGGGAGGGCCCAAACCTGGCGCGCTCAGCTGCGAGCGCAATCGCGCCAGACGAGTGCCGACACGAGGTCAATCCAGCGAAGAGTCACTCTTACGTGTAGAATAAGCCCGGTAAGTAGCCCGGAGTCAAATCGGACTGCGACGGATTGGGCGGGATCAAACCGAAGTAGGTGGGATCAGACCAGGTTGGGCAAATGCTCGACCAGGGCCATACTAGCGCCCGTTCTGAGTGTAACCTCCCAGGTTGCATCCTAATGGGCCCGGCACCCTCCCCTGCCCCCTGCCTCCCGTGCTGCTCGTCATCCTCTTATCTACGGATGGGTGCAACATCCAGGGCGGGCTCGCCCTGCGCCGTTGTCGACGTATAGCTTGAAGCCCGTGAGGTACGCGCCGTTCAGCCCGTTCGTGGCGAAACTGACGGTGATCGAGTTGGCCGTCGAGCTGACAAGCGTGGGCGCGTTGGGCTTTCCTGGCACTGGCAGCGGGATGAGGAAAGGGACGCTGAGAGGGAGAATACGAAAGAGGATGAGGGCAGGTGGTGCATCCTGGGAGGTCTTCGTGTGCACGATTCGGAGCTTTCCGACGGCATCGAACAGCTACGGGGTTGGACTAAGACACGGAACGAGCCTGATATAAGTTGCAGGCCAGCCTGAGCAGAATTTGGCCAGATCGACACCCAGGAAATGAGAGGGCCACGGACTGCAGAATAGCCCAGAAACACCATGTTCAGGTGAACTCATTGAGTGCAACCGCGGATGCCTAGGCACTGACCTGGCCAATTGGCCACGATTCGCCGTCCCAGAGCAACAACCACTCAAACAAGCGTTTGTTAGAAAACAATTCAAGGAGGCTTTTGGTCGTCCCCAAGGCGCCCAATAGCGTGCCCATTTGCACGAACAGCGGACATGCTCCACTTTGCGCGCTTGGGCGCTGTTGGGCGCTATTGGTCGCTATTGGGCGCTATTTGGGTTCTGTTTGGCGCTACTGGACGCACTTGTGCGCAGTTTGGCGCTATTGAGCGCTACTGGGCTCTATTGTTCGCCATCGCCGATATACATATACAACCACACAAACACACACACACCTACACACATATATGTATATGTATACATCGGTATTTCACACATATATACATATATATATATATATATGTATCCAATGCAAGATGAGCACGGACTTCCGTGAGTTACTATCTAACGTTTGATCGCACATGATTCGACTTGAAGATACTTGACCGAACAGAACGTTGACCAGACCTTCTGTCTTATCTGGAAAACCTCCAAGTAATTGATGGGGCTGAGAAGCGAAGTGAGGAGATAATCAAAAGGTGAGCCCGAACCCTCGACGTCTTGCTTCTCACGAGGTTTCATCCTGGGTAGTTATTTGATCCTGGGTAGTTCTTTGATGATTCCAGGGCCAAGCGAGGGTCCCAAAGGCGGAAAGCAACAAATAGCAACGCCAGTCGTGATTGTTCCACGATGCCAGGGGCAGAAATTTAGCACCCTGCGCGATGAGGAAGGAGGATGAGGACGAGGGGTAGGGGAGTGAGGACGAGAAGCCGTTGCCGCGATGCCCCGTCCGCCGCGAGCGGGCAGCCCGGCGCGCTGCCCTGTGGGTTCGGGCTGGCTTCCAGGAAGAAGCGACAAATTGTTGGAGACATCCTCGATCCCAGACCTCCGTCGATCTGTGTTTGCTTCAGCGCGGGCGCTGTTCCTTGATGTCGGCTCCTGGGGCCTAGTGCTGGACCACGGGGTCATCAAACATGGGTCCGTCACAGAAACTTGCATTCACTGGAGGGGTCGGGACCTCTGGGGCCGTGGCTTCAATCAACATCGTCGGATGTCTGGGACGGGAGGCCCGTCGGGAGGGGCTCCTCCCCCTAACCCGTCCGAGGTGCCACTACCTCCTCCCCCATCCTGCCTCCATCTGTGGGGGCTCGCAAGCATTCCAGGCTCCCGCTCGTACCGTCATACCGTTAAATAAGGACGCACGAGAAGGACGCAAGGGCCTTGGCAGGCCATGTCGGCACTTTGCGGGCGGGGCATGGCCAGCGAAAGCAGCCAAGGATCCTTACTCTGCGGGTTGGTTGACTAAATTTTGGCTGTCGCGACGGTAGTCCCCATACAACCAGCGCGCGACGCCCTCTCCGTCCTTCCCACCATGCGTGCACGCCGAGGTCTTTTGCCCTGGGCCCAGGCCGCGGGCGTCATGATTGTTTCGCAGCGTGGATCCGCGGAGTCTTCGAGCCATTCCCCGGGCCCGCATTTTCACCCCGAGCCCTCTTTTCGCGGTCCTGGGGCTCGGCGAGGGCCGACAATTGGAAAAAGCCTTGCACCGCAAGCCTTTCACGACGCGAGGGGGTCTGGATTTTTACCTAACAGCGAAGACTGATAGGTTTCTAGTGGGCTCAAAAGAGAGCATCTTGACTCCACTAGGGGGTCTGGGCGGGTGCCGGGAGAAGCCGGGGAACCCGGGGACCCTAAGATGCCTGAAAGAGGCTACAAGGAAGCTCCCAGGAGGCCCCAAGAGTGCCCCCAGAGGCTCCCAAGATGCCCCCTCCTCCTCCTCCTCCTCCTCCTCCTCCTCCTCCTTTTCCTGTTCCTCCTCCTGCTCCTCCTGATCTTCCCCGGCATCCTCCCAGAAGTGTTCCCCGAAGGTGTTCCACATCAGATGGCGGAACACATGGTCCGATAGCTTGGCAGAGCTCTTGCCACAACGCTCGGCCACATGGGGGTTCCCAAAAGGCAGGGGGCGGCGGTGATTCGACGTAGGCGTCTTCGATACTGATAATGATGATGATGATGATGATGATGATGATGATGATGATGATGATGATGATGATGACGATGATGCTATTAGACGGATGCTGATGATGATGGTGATGGCGGTGATGGTGAGGTGTCTTGCTTCAGAGGCCAATCCCTAACGCCAGCTTTGACTGAACTTCGCAACTACGCCAGCGGGGTTCGAGAAGCACGCGCGGCGGCACGCGTCCTGGACCCTCGGCGCAGCGCTGCTTGACCGCAGCAGCCAGCGCGCCCTCTCCGACCGAGTTCACGGCCGATACCTCCCAGCGGAGGGCAGGCGGGTGTAACGAGGGGGCGCTAGAGTCGATGTCAGGTGCAGGTTGAGGCCATCCTCTGTGTGCTTACATCTGAGTCGGAGTGGTCGGCTCAAGCGTGACCGCTAACATCTGCTTAAGCTAGAGCGTTGTCTGTGAGCAGTCGATGGTTTCTCGGCATTGCCTCTCCCTCGACGCAGGAGGGGCCGACGAGGGACTCCAGGTCTTAATGGGCCATCAAGGGCTCTCTCAAGCTTCCCGCGGTCTCGTAGCTCGAAACACCAGCAGCAACTGATGGCACTGGCAGGTGCCGCCATCTAGAATACGCATGCGCATGCTATCGTTGTCACTCGAACCGCTGCCGAGGTCTCCGCTCCGCGAGGATAGACCTGGCTTTGCCCACAACCGAGGTTGCACATGCATATTGTGCTATAGCCCATACCGCAAGGCCCAAGCGCAATACATCCAACACAACATCAGAAACGGAAAGGAATAATCGGAGGAGGGAAACGAGTGAGACCAAAGGAAGAGAAAGGGAAGAAGCGGAAAGCCCAGCCATCGGGACCGAAGGTGACCTGATCAAGCGTGTCGCAGCAAGCGGAAACCACTGACATTAGCGCCATTGTGTCGCCTCCTCTTCGCACGGATACTGACAGCTGCCGCAAAGCAGGCAAGCACAGAGTCGAGATCATCGCTACTGGGTGAGCCAAAACCGTTGTGGCGGGGAGCTCGCAGTGATGACCTGGCAGTGGTTCGGAGGAGCTCTCTGTAGATTGTTGTCACGGCCCCCGGAAGCCAACTAAATGGCGAAGATCTCAAGCGCCAGTTTTACTACCTTCCAGGGGTCTTGGCTCAATGGAATGTAGCGACAGGGCCAGGGGTGGAGCTGGAGAGTAACTTAACAGCAGCAACAGGCGCCCCAAACCCAAAGCCTGAGTCCGACGAAGCCCTGGGCTCCTTAACTGAAATGTGACGTCTCGAGCAAAAACGCAGCATCGTGAACGACCAAAATCAAACTCTCCATCGGCAACCGCATGAGACGTCTACCCCCTGCAAGTCAGGTGTCTGAAAAGACTTGCCAGGATTCAGAATCCGAAGAACGCCGGCAACCAGATGAATCCCAGCGGGGGTGTCCGCTACCCCGGTGTCGATTCGACCCGCAGAGGTAGGGTTCGCAAGTGGTCGCAGGCTGGACCGACTCTCTGCAGCATCTCGGGCTGAATCGACCCATGCAGGCCCAAGGGCCCTCAAACAGTGCGAGAACGCCCCGCTTCAAGAAACATGCGACGCGCGGACGTCAGGGACCCGCAGCCCCAGAGCGAAGCTGCTACCATAAGGACCGCCGGATGAGGAGCCAAGCCCCGTGATGACCCCAACAGCGCCCGGGTGATAATACATCCTGAGGAACAGCCACAGCGAGCCCATTCCAAACACAGGATGTTCCTTATTTGAGCGTCTTGACTGTACCGCACAAGGCGCGCCTTCAGCCACACATACTGCTGGGACACGCTGGCGCCGTTGAACGCGGTGCAGTCGAAGGTGTAGCTGCTGTTGGAGGTGTCCTGTGGACGAGGGCATGCCCCCGACATCCAGGCAATATCCTACCAGATCCGACGTTTCCCCCTCTGGGGTGCTTCGACAGCCTCGGTGCCCGCGAACGGCCCCGAAATTGTCGAATACGAATGCGAAAGAACTCATCAGCTTCCCTGAGAACTTGTGACTCCTTTGGCGAATGGCGAGTAAGCTGTTCCCAAATTAACCCTACGGCAGACACATACGATAATAGATCTTGCGATAATAGACGCATGTGCACATGCTTCGTCGATCCTTCAGGATATAAGAAACTGCCGTGGGGCACCTGCTGGAAGGCCGATGTCTTATTCCAATTTCGTGCCGTACACTATTGTTGCTGCTTTGCCGGGAGAATCGCAGTGCCTACAATGACCTGTGCTGTACCACTGCAGCGCTATGGCATACCACTGCGTGCTGTACCGTGCAGATTGTTTCGCGGGTTCCAACAACCCTGCGCCAACACACCCTGCCATCTCGAGGGGTCGCATCTTCCTGCCAACTTCCGCCGGCCGTCCGCCTGCTTCCGCTGCGGAGGCGCCGCCGTTCTACTTCTGCCGGCCTTCCGCCGGAGAAGGGACACCAACTCCCTCGATCCTCGAAGCCGTGGCCCTTTCTGGAACGCGCAGTGTCGTGAACCATGAGATCATGTGCGGTGAAAGTGTAGTGATTCGCAGTGCTGCGCCAATGAGGTAGTATGGCATGGACTGCAGTGCGGCAGTGCGGATGATGCGATGTGCCAGATTACCCGGATGCTGGGCAAAACTGTGCTCGTGGTGCGCTGATGTGATGTTGGGCTACGCTGTGCGACATAGGCGATACCATCATGCCTCGATGAAAGCAGTGTTGAAGTTGTGCTCGGTTAGGTGCACGAGGATAAACTCATGGGATGATCATCTGGCCTGGCAATACTGATGCCGTTGCACTGCGAATTGAATACTGTACTTCGGTACGCTGCACTGGGCTATCTGATGATAAGCCGTGATATGCTGGGCTGTGGACTGTAAGCTGCATGGCCTTCTGTGCTCTGACGTGCGGCTGGTGTGCTAGGATAATTGTTTGCTATGGCTGTGTGATGATGTGCTACTCTTTATGTGCTATGGTGTTCTGCTTCCTAAAAGCGAATCCTGGCAATGGTCTTAATTCTTGTGATGAGAAGCGCCATTCTGGCACCGAGACTCTGGAGCAACAACCGCGCCATTATGCCGCGCCGTGCCGTGCGGCGTCGTGGCTGGTTGCCCGAAGAAACATGTTGGTGTCGCGGCGTACCGTGCCGTGCTGTCGCCCCCTGGCTGGCTGCCAAAATGCGAATTGAGTGCCGCGCCGTGCAATGCCCTCGTGCCTTGCCGTGTCGTGCCTGGCTCCCAGGTTGCGAGAAACTTGCCGTGCCGTGACATGCCGTGCCGCGCCTGGAAATTCGAATTCGAACGTGGCAATGGCGTGCCTGGCCGTGTCGTGCCGTGCCGCGTCAAACTACTAGCATGCGCGAAGACAGCCGTGCGGTGCCCAAGATCCGAGAGAACGTATCATTAATGTGCCATGCCTGCCGTGCCTATGCTTCAGACGGGTAAATTGCCTTGCCGTGCCCGCGTGCCGTGCCGGGTTTGCTTTTGGGGATGCTGTGCCATGCCGTGCCCGCTTGCCATGCAATGCCATGTGGCGCTTGGTTTGGACGATGCGGGAAAATGCCGTACTGTGCCGTGCCGAACCGTGCCCGCGTGCTGTGCCGTGCTTTGCCCCGCGAAAGGGAGCAATTGCCGTGTCGTGCCGTGCCAAGTGTTCGGAACGCGAAACGGTTGCCGTGCCGTGCCAACCTTGTACACGATCGCTATGCCGATGATGCGCATGATCCCCCTCCTCACCCATCCCCCCATCCCAGGGTTCTGGCAGGCGCTCGGGTTCCAAGAGAGTCCTCGTCGAGTATCGTCCCGAACGGCCGCTTGGGGCCAGAGCTGCCGCTCCCGCACCCCCTGCAGAGGGCAGGCGGGACTGGGAAAATGGCCCCAGCAAGGCATAGCATGCCGAATGCATCGGCTCCCGCTCTGGAGCGGCCCGGGGCCTGGAAGCGGCAACCGCAGGAATCCAGGAAGACCCCTCACGATCGACAGTCCACCACCGCCCTGCAAGTCGGCACGGGGGAAGCAGCCGAACATATACTCTCCCCAGCGGACGCATACGCGGATACAGTCAACGTGCCATCACTAGGAACACCAGAGATGGAACGAAGGCTTTGCTGACCACAGCGAGCCTCGGCCAAGACTCGGTCCCTAGATAAAAGGAGCGGCCCGAAAACCAGAGCACCACCTCAGCCCATAGTGGTCCCTACTTCGGCATATGGACTGCATATCCCCCGCTGACGCAAGCACGGATAGGAGTGATTGGCTAGGTTTGGGAAGACCGTACAGCCAAGACGACCGCCCACAGAAGGCACCACAATTGCCTGATCCAGCACGCTACCCTGCTCGATGCCCAGCTATCTCTTCCAAGGTCCAGCTCGACCGTCGGGCTGACAGGGTAACTGACGCCGTCGTCTGCGAAGTACAGGTACCACTGGGTGATGGCGGTGCCTCCTTCGGGGGGTGTCTGGGCACCCAATTCCCCTCGCGCCGTGAAACAACAACTGTGTTTTGCTACGTTCTGCCTCTGTGGGCCCTCGCCCAGACTGTGGACCGTCAAGAAACGACTCATGATGAAAAGCGGGCCCCTGGAATTGGTCGAGACCTCTAGAGGGCAACGTGGCTAACTTATCCGGGCGAAGGACCCAACCACGTCCAGTTGTGAGTACCGCAGCTGTGTTGTCTTCTGTAGACTCCCCCAAGGGGCCACGGAGCGAGCGAGGGACATGCTGAAATGGGGCAGGGGGTGGGGGGGGCGCTTGCGGACGGTGCCATTGGGGCCTTCGGCGGAGCTCCCCGTGGGACCACGAAACACGTGAGGGGTGTGCCGAAACGGGCGTGACGCTCACATGCGAACGCTCCCTCTAGGGCTTACGGTGGAGCTCCCTAGGGGGCCACGAAACGTGTGAGACGTGTGCCGAAATGGGCGTGACACCCACATGCTGACGTTCCCTCTAGGCTCTAGGGCCTTCGGTGGAGCTCCCGATTGAGCCATGAAACGTGTGGGGTGCATGCCGAAATTCGTATGCGGCCTCTGGGGTCTTCAGTCGAGCTCCGTAAGGGACCAAGACGTGTGTGAGGAGAGTCCCGAAACGGGCGTGACGCCCAACTGCGACTGGGGCCCTCGGTGGAGCTCCCTATGGGGCCACGAAGCGTGTGAGGGGTGTCCCATGACGGGCGAGACGCCCACATGCGAACGCGGCCTATGGGGCCTTCGGTTGAGCTCCCTATGAGGCCACGAAGCGTGTGAGGAGTGTGCTAGAATGGACATGTGGTGGGCGGGGAGCATGGAAACGCTGTCTCTGGGGCTTTCGGTGGAGCTCCCGCTGGGGCCACGAAGCGTGCAAGGGATGTACCGAAGTGGACATGCTGTGGGCGGGGAGCCGCATGCGAACCCTGCCACTGGGGCCTTCGCTAGAGCTCCCTATGGGGACACGAAACGTATGAAGGGTGTGTCGAAATGGACATGCGGTGGGCGGGGAGCAGCCTGCGAACGCGCCCCATGGGCCTTCAGTGGAGCTCCCTATGGAGACACGAAGCGTATGGAGGGATTTGCCGAAGTGGACATGCGGTGGGCGGAGAGCCGCCTGCGAACACGGCCTATTGGGCATTCGGTGGAGCTCACTGTGGGGCCACGAAACGTGTGAGGCGTGTGCCGAACTGGGGCGGGGGACGCGTGCCGAAATGAGGCAGGGATGGGAGGAGGAGTGAGGGGAGGAGGAGGAGCAGTGAGACGCGGGGCGCTGTCTCTTCAAAACGAGGACTCAACACCACAGGATGGCTGGGTGGCACACTGTGCCCAACGGCGTGCAGGTGCGCACGCGCACCTCTCCCTAAGAGGTGGCGCCGTGCGCGCTCGGGCTCTCCGCCGGGAAACACATGTCGAAGCGCGTCGACCTTGTGAGAGCGGCGCGCCCTTCGATTTCTGGTCAACGTCACTCGTCGTCAATGTCGGCGTCGACGTCGTCCTCGTTGTCGTTGTCGTCGTCGTCGTCGGCGGCGGCGGCGGCGGCGGCAGCGGCGGCGGCCACGTCGTCGTCGTTGTCGTGGTCGTCGTTGTCGCCCCACCCTCACTTCGCAGAAGTGTATCCAGCACCGCGCCCGAGTTGTTTAGTGAAGTGCCCTCGGGTCTCTGAGGTGTCTGTTGGGAACTGCACCAGGGCCTGGGTTTGCGGGCGCTCCTGGGCGCGCCTCCTAGGGCGGCTCGCGTGATTTTCCAGAAGGCGCGCGCCGCCATCGTGAAGGGGGAGAGCTCTGCGGCCAAATCCGCGAACGGCCATCATCCTCGCGCTCCTGCGGGCGACCTGGGTGTGACCAGGCGGTGCCAAGGGAGGTCACCACCAGAGGTTCTCGAGGCAACGTGCCACCCTTGACCTCCCAGAACCCCCCAGGACCCCGAAAGACTCCCCAGAACGCCCCAAACTTTCAAGATCACCGATCCTCCCTCCCCCGTCCATCCACGAGTTCCAAGAGGAGCTGGTGACACCCCTAATGGTGACCTCGTTCCGGCGTCGATCTCTGTGAGCAGATCTGGGGCGTCGATCTGTGGGCTGAAGAGCACCGCGGCGGGCCGCCGCGGGCGCGGCGGCCCGCAGACGGGGAGAACAGCCCGCGGCGCAGTGACCTCCGGCGGGGCGCGGCAAGGCAAGTCTCATAGGCACCTCGACCGACAAGGTCCGCCCACGACGGCCGTACGGTAACGGCAGTCAGCTAGCAGCGCGATCAAAGCTTGTGTGTCACTCACGAGCTGGAGCAAACCAAGACGTTTGCGCACCTGGGAGGGGAGGAATCTGAGGAGCTCGAGGGGGGTGAAGAGGAGGATGTCGAGCAGAAGGAAGTGGAGGAGGAGGAGGAGGAGGAGGAGGAGGACCGCACCACGTCGCCACCTCGTTATGCTGCTCCGCGCCGTGCCCTGCCGCGCCGCGCCGCGCTTCACCTCGCCACGCCGTGCCGCTGCTTGCCGTCGTGCTGCGCTGCGCCGTGCCTTGCCGCGCTGTCGACGCGTGGATCCGTCTGGCGCGCGGCTTGGCACGCCGTACCGCGGGCTCGCCGCACCGCGGGCCCCTGCGATGGACTCTGTAAGAGCAAGTCTCCGCGCCAGGGGTTAATGATATCCGCGGGACCCCTTTGTGTCGTGGCTCTGGTCTTGCAGACGGGCAACCATGAAACAGTACGTGGACCTTTGGAAATGCAAAACACCAAGATGGCGAGCGAAAAACGCTGTGGATGTCGAAATGATGTTTTAAGACTCCCGACTGAAGCACTCACACATAACAACAAGAACTGGAAAAAAACTTCACATGAAGATGCAATGAACTTCTTTGTTTGTTCGGTGTATCCGCTCTGCGACATTGGCACCATTACTTGTGGGGCCACCAGGCTGCGATGATCGGGCTCCAGCAGCGTAGATATCAACCCTCAGCTTCTCAATCCCAGTCACAGGTCAAGTACTATTTCCCATTTCCAATCTGCAATGCAAAGAACATGTTTCCCGCCTCCTACTGCGAATTGATACTCGTCCTCGCGAGGGGGGGGGCCGAGAAGGATTCCTTGACCCTCCCCCCAGGGGGTTCTCAGAACTATGTGTTCCTGGGGCACGTAAAATGTGCGGGAATCGCGTCTCCAGGGCCAGAATCCTCGTGGGATCCTACCGATTCGCGCCCCAGAAGCCAGAATCTTTTAGAAATTGCGCCAGGTTCGCACCCCCCGCCGTGGCCAGATTCCCTGCTCAATTGCGCTTGGCTCGCGCTCCCGAAACCAGGACCCCTTATACGTTACCCCAGATTCGCGCGCCCGATGTCAGAACCCTCTATACATTGAAACAGGTTCGCGCTCACAAATGAGGAACAACCTTGCGTAGTGCGATGTGCTCGCGCTCCCGAGGCCCAAACCCCCTGCAAATTACACGAGATTCGCGAATGCTAGGCCAGAATGTGTTTTCAAGTTACGCCAGCTTCGCGCTCCCGAGGACCCGATCCCCCGTAAAGCACTCCAGGCTCGCGCTCCCGAGGCCACGATCCACCGCAAATTAATCCAGGCTCGCGCCCTGAGAAGGAAACAAAGCGTTCACCAGAAGTCCAACGTCTCAATGTGCATGCTACATGCCAACAACCCTCGCATGATGCCCCCCGAAGTTTTCAAAACAGCGCCGACACGTCGCAGCAAGGTTCTGACATCTCCTATTCTGGTCAATTCTGGTAGAGAGGGGGACGGCGGCAGAGGGCGAAACCCCCTCCAGATCTCTACTGATTCGGAGACCCGGACCCCCGACGGCAGACAGACCGCCCCAAGACGCCCAATATGGCCTTGAGACGGTCCAAGGCCTCCAAGACGCCCCACGAGGGCTTCAAGAGGCCTTCCAGGAAGGCCCAGAAAGGCAAACATCGCCCCATTCCGGTGGGAAAAACGTATACTTCTAGCATGTGCGACCTTCATGGGATTCTGAGCATCCACGGCGAGCCTACAAGCCCCCAAGTCAGTGAGTCACAAGCCGTGCACCCGGGCGGATGCACAGGCAAGACGAATTGTGCCCGTTGGCACGTTCGTCAATGGAATGGAATGGAATGGAAATCTGCGTGCCAGCTCCGGTACCCGGAGCGGTCCCCTAGAGGGCAGACCGTGCGCTGAGCATGTCGGAAAATGAGTGGAGACAGCGAGCGGAAAATGCGGTTAACAAATCCTCTCGTGTGCAGGTACTGAATCAGAGAAACCCCGCCGGTTAAGAAGGGCAAGAGGAGGAGGAGGAAGAGGAGGAGGAGGAGGAGGAGGAGGAGGAGGAGGAGGGGGAGGGGAGGGAGCGCGATGGACTAAAGCCCCCAAGATCGCCCCCAAATCGCCCCAGAGACCCCCAAGACGTGCCAAGACGGCCCCAAGACGGCCCCAAGACGGCCCAAGTCGCGCAGAAAACGGCCCATGACGGCCCGGAGAGGGCCTTAGAGCCTGAACTCGACATTACATTTCCAGCCTTCTGCTGCCCAAACGGGTCCTCCCAGACCGCCAGCAGGCCTCCAAGAAGCCCTCAAGAGACCCAACAGAGGCCTGAAAGGCCCCCAAACGGCGCCCAGGAGCCCCAAAAGAGGGTTCAAAACTGCCTCCAAGAGACTACCAACCAGATGCGTCTAACTCCGAGGGAGCGGCTGTTCATGCGCCGCCGGCGTTCTCGATCTCTACTGATTCGGAGACCCAGACCCCCGACGGCCGACGACTGAATTTGTTCACAACGTGGAACCACGGATGTCTCGGCCCATACACCGGTACTGGCTTCCCGTCCCAGTCTGGATGTTTACGGCCCTGCAGGCTTTCCGAGGGCCCCAGGAACAGAAAATAACCACAAAACTGTCCGCCGTGTTCCTCTCGCGACGCGAGGGGGTCTGGAAACCGCTGGCGTGGGGTATTGTTCAACTGGCCCGCGTCAAGCACAATCCTTCTTTCCTGCTCACCATCCTCCTCCTTGGCTTTGTACTCGTCCCTCCCCTGCGTCGTCTTCGTTCTCAGCATACGCCCTCTCTACAAGGCCTCCTCCTCCTCGCCTTCATCGTCCTCCTTCTCGGCTTCCTGCGCATGGCGAGATCAATTCGAAGCTTGAGACTGGACATCGGCTTGGATAGCGAATGCTGCCTACAGCCGTGCTTTTTCCGGCATAGGCTGTCAACCAAAGTCCTGTAGATGCAGTGAGCGCCAGGTTGTAGACGATCTCCGAGTTGGACGAGGAGGCAACCGTGATCGCTGGTGCATCTGAGAGCCAAGATTGAATCGACCAAAGCTCTTGTCTTCTTCATTTCTTCCCTCGTGCAGGCGGGAGGGACGAGACGGCGAAACCGAAGAGGGCGAGATGTGGGAGCAAGGGGCCCCTCTCCCACTGCACCAAAATACTTCCCAGATGTCAGCAAAAAACTCCAGCCGAATGCTCAGTCATCCGCGCCGTCCAAGCTGCCCGTTTCAGCGCACTCTGCCAGGCAACGTCTCTTCATAGGTGGCTGCCCTTGCTTCCCCACTCCCCACCGCGCCCTCTGGGTGCATCCCACCTGTTGACCACCCCCTCTCTCAATTTGCATTCCTCACATCGGCGGGCGAACAGACCACCCAATCCCACTCGCCCTTCCGAGGTAGGTGGTTTAGGAAGATAGTTGTTCCAATCTCCATATTCCCCTCCAGGGAGAGGTTCACCGTTCCCCCAGATTACCCGCTCTGCATTTGTCTGGAGGGGAAGCGCCGCACTTGGGGCGTTCAATGTCCTTTCTGTATCACACTTTCGCTTCAGATGGGCTCTTGATGCCTCAAGGTGGCTCGAAGATAATTGAGGAGAGCCCGCAGATGGCCTAAGAGGACCCCAAGAGCGCCCAGGGTCCCAAAAGGCAATTGCTCGGCCTCCGACGGGGGGGCCGTAATTGAGAACGCCCTCTTCTTTGACCGATGGCCCCCGAGATTGCCCCCGAGATTGCCTCAAGCGCGCCCCCAAGGCCTCCAAGAGGGTCCAAAGAAGGCTCCAAGAGGGGCCCAAAATGGGCCCCAAGATGGCCCCAAGCGTGAGCCTTAAGGGTCCAAGGTGGTCCTGAGAGGGCACAAGATGGACCCAGTAAACTGCCAAGAGACTCCCATGTGGTTGATTGCAGAAGCCCTAGATCCAAGAACGGAAGCGTCTCGCTTGCCTTCCGCTTCGCTTCCCTTCAACTGGAGTTCGCAGGTCCACCCGCTGCAGTTCAACTTCCGCCAGCTTCCGCCGGCCTTCCACCAGCTGCCGCCGAAGGCAAGATGCGCCGAAGGCGAGGCCCTCCCTGGATCGCGCCATATCGACAGATCCGCGATGGCATTTCTGGTTGATGCGTTGGCCTGGTCAGGCTGATCCCGATCTTGGGTTGACGGCCGCCCCCGTCTTTCTCCTCTGCGTGCACCCGCACATCACAGGTCATGGCTTTTCTGCCTGACTGGCCCTGCGTGCTGCACTCCGCGAGGTGGGCTGCCTAGGACTCCCAAAAAATCCTGCCCCGCACGGCCACACGTGCTGCACTTTTAGGTGCTGGCTGCTTCGACTCGAGAGGCCCGGCGTGCTATGGTACACACACGCTGGGCTCTACCATGGGGTTCCACGCTTGTTGCACGAGCTGCCTGGGCCCCACGCTTTGGCATATGTTTGCTCACATTCTCGTCCATTCTCTTGCTCCAGCTCGCTATCCACCAACGCACGGTGCCCGCAAACATGCAGAAAGACGAGTCGGCAAATGCTCTGGACGCCCGAGATGGGTACGGAACACATGGGCACGATGCCCAACAACATCTGCTGTGCAGAAACGACACAGTGGCCGATGTTGGGCAGGCGGGCTTCTGTCTCAAATAAACAACGTCCGCGGTCGATATTCGTAGCCAATCTTTCCGTATCGATTTCGATCGTACGGACATGCTGGCCAGCCCTTGGCAGCACACGGGCCGGAGGCACATAGGAAAGCATAAGCCCTGGACCTAAATTCGACTGGCACCGGCGAGGTCGGCCCGCCTCATTCCCCCCCCCCGCGCGCAACACGCATCGGAAAAGCCGTTCGTATGCGAGCAATCGCGCTACCAGAAGGAACGCCGAGAAAGAAATGAAGGGGCTTTTTTGGCCATTGCGAGCCTCGACCTCAAGCAGGTTCCCTGACCGAGACCTATGGCAGGGACCAGGACATCGGTCAGGTCAGGGAGTTGCTGGAGTGCCACCCAAGCCACTCGAGAACTGACCTGACCAATCAACTGTGGAAGTGCCGTCTCAGGGCCGCCATGAGTCAGGTCAGTACTCGGGCCTCCCGGGCATCACCTGAGGGGTCTCGACTGACTCGCACACTAACACAACGGCCCGAAAACCATAGCCACTCCCAAGATCAAGGAGGCCCTTTACCTGATCGTCTTGTCTGTAAGGCGCTGGCGTTAGACAACCCACGTGCTCCTGGTTGCAAGTCGGGCGCGGGACTCTTGGCGCAAGCGCAAACACATTCTCGCGCACGCACCGCGCCAGCGTGCATCAGACCTTCCCGCGGCCCCTCTTCACTCCCGTGCCCCAGGCCCCCTGCCTATAAAACAACAGAGCACATCATTGATATAATCTTTCAGAGTCTGCATAGAGATCTAGGCGCGGTGCTGTGCCAACCTTCCTGGCGCGCGGAGCGCGCCGCCAAGGGGGCCCAACGCTGATCCAAGAAATCCGCTCGGATTTCCGACAGTTTATGCTGACGCAGCTGCTTGTGCATCGAACATAACAAGGGGGCATGGATGGGCATGGCGACCCCCCGTCCCGATATTGCGCGACCTTTCGATGGACAAAGAATGGAGCCAAACTCGGGGATACATGCAGGGGGGAGCGCGTCAATCCTCGGTAGCGGTGCGCCCGAATAGCTCCCCCCCGTGGATGCATCCCTGAATTTCCCTCCTTCTCCTGGGACGCGATGTTTGCACACCACCCTCACAAAGAAGTTGACCGTGAAGCAAGGGTTGAGTACAAAAACATAATCCCTGGGGGCACGATTGGTGCACACCACGACCACGAAAAAGCTGGTCCACCACCAGGTACACACGAGAGGGTGGCCACAAATCGGCTCGCGATTTTCTGAGCGGCCTGATTGGGGGGAACTCGGGGATTGTGGGGAAACCAAATGGTATCAATACCGCTACTCCGCGGACCTGTCCTGGGGTGCGCTCTGACCAAAATTTCGTGGCGAATGCAGCGGTGGCGACGAGGGCCTCCCAGGAGGCCAAAACAAGCGAAAACGAGGGAAGGATAGCAGAAGCGGTACATGTTCATCCTCTGGGATTGAGTTCGGGAAACCGTCTGCGAGCTGCATACCCCGTAGCCACCACCAGCGGGTGAAGCTTCCCGGGCCGGCCCGGCCCCACAAAGAGCTCCTGGCGTGGAGGCGGCCACCACTGACAGCACATTCGACGCAATGCTCTCGCCGACATCGGACAGCGTCTGAATCCGGAATCTGTAGGTCATGCCAGGAAGAAGGCCTCGCCACAAGAGCACGACTCATACATAGCCGCACCGTGCACTGCCAGGGAAGCATACAGATAAAAACGCACACTGCCACGCCAAAGCATGATATCTGCCAATGGCAGCACAATTGATAGGAGATTCCCCGCTACAGTGTTCAGGCAGGCAACCACCGGCCACGCCTGCGAACACATTACAGCAGCAACGAGGACGACGCGGAGAGTGGACATGTTTATGAAAGTAGTAAAGGTGGTCATAAGGACAATACTGTCGCGGGCACGGCTATGGACGACCATGAGAATTGCACGGTGATTGTGGTCACGGTGATGGTAATGGTGAGGATGCTGATGGGAGTGATGAGGATGATGACGAGAATGTTGACGACGATGGTGAGGCTGACGACGATGATGGTGATGCTTGCCATGCTCGGCCGCCGATCTGGGCTCAAAAAAACACACGACGATGCCATTGACGGTTTCTAGAGGGCACACGGCACACGGCAGCCCAAGGTAGCCACGAAGCGAGTGCGGACGCCCGCGGACGGTCCAACATGTGATCCCCGCTTGCCGTTGCGGGTGTGGTCGCGGCTGCAGTCGCCCACGGGCGGCCCAACCGGTTGCGGGCGCGAGCGCCAAGCTGCAATTGCGGTTGCGCGCGCCCGCGGGCGGCACCATGAGAGTTCCCCGAGCTGTCCCTTGACGACGTCGGTCAGCAATCAGTCATCGGCAGACACGGAATGTCACCTGGCTCTGCCGGGGGAACCACTTATGCCTCAACGAATGAGTATGCGCCTGGGGCACCATGACATAGCGCATGGCGCAGCACCAACGTAGTTCTTACGCGCATGGCCGCAGCATCGCACGATGTGCTGCCCACGCTTTGACTTAGAGTCCGATGCTGGGCATCCCAACCTGGGCGACAGAAGACACACACACAAACACAGACAGTACTCACACAAACACACACACACACGCGCGAGTCCGATGCCCCAATACGAAAAACCTGGAGCTCTCCATCGTTTCTGGGAGACCGACTTCTCATCTCAGATCTTCTTTTTGATGACCCTCGAACCATTTTGTATCGAAAGACCCTCCAACGCCAGAACTAACGAACCATCTACGTTCTGACTTCGTCCAATGCGTTGGAGACATCGAGGGGCAGGCGACATAATCACAACGCACGAGTGCAGGAGAGGAGTGGCAAAACGGTGGTTCTGATGGTGGTTTCCGTGACCACGACTGCGCAGTGACATCGGTCCTCCTTGCCCTCCTCTCTGTGCCGATTTCCACTCTAAACCAAAATTAATGTTTAACAACAAGAAGCTCCGAAATTGCAGCAGTGTTTATTCCATGGGCTCCTGCCCGTACCAAAAGTAGCAGGGCGCGCTCGTCACAGAACCTGTTGAGGGGCAGGGAGGGTGGCGGACAGAGCAGATACACGCGTTCAGAGATCGTGCTGCGAGAGGTCTAGGAGCAAATCGCCCAGTCGATCTTGGACCTCACGGGAAACCAGTGAACTCCGCTGGGTACACAGGGGCGCCTGGGGAGATGCGATCCCCGCGGGGCCCTATTGGCAGGCCAATTTCTTCTTCGGTGTGCCTAGAATCGGTCCGCATCGGATCGGGCCGGCCTGGGTCGATGTCGGATCGGATCGGGATGGGCCCTGCCTGGTGGAGTGGTCTCCCTATCTCGCACCGTCCTGCTGGAGACATCTCTGGTCTCCGGCTCTGAAGGGCATCCAGTGGAACTCCCCGCTCGGCCAGCTGGTGGTGGTCTCGCTCCTCCGCTCTCGTCAGCCAGCAGAAATGCACCGTCTTATGGAAAGAAATGCCGATCGCAGAAGTACCACAATCACCCCCCCAGCCATACCCGGCCAACCTTTTCAAGCAAGGGCATGCACGCCAGAAGCGAGCCAGCACGGTCAGACCGAACTTCGTGGCAGCAGCAATAGCATTATAATGATAACTTGAGCCGGCGCGCTGGATCTGGACAGGACATGCATCTGGACCTGTGGAATCCAACAAGAGTCGTCAAGTCTGTAGCCTCCACACAGCAGATGGCACTGGCAAAACCAGCTGGTACTCGACCCTTTTCCCATGTGACCCGTGTTCGTCCATATCCGAGGCTGGGATGTTCCACGCAACTTGGCTCGAATACAAACTCGTGCCCAGTCATTCGACTTCAGATGTTGTTCAATGCGCGGCCATAGAGATCCCGAGCCCTTCCCTGGGAGTACTTCTGGGTGGAAACCTCGGGGGGTCCCCGTTGTCAGCAAATCCTAACGTCGAGGGTCTGGGCTCATCACTCCCGCCCCAACTGGTACACCGACGTGGTGATGGCTCCGGGTGGGGGAAGGGATCCTGCCGCATAGGGCGACGAATGCCCCGTAGAAGAGAGCGTTTCCAACCCTTGGTCGCTCGGACGAGTCCTGGTGTCCGGCCACTTTCGCCACACTGGTCTCTCTGCCGGCCACCAGGTGACGTCATCGCAGCGAGTGGTCTCACGGGGCGCAAGCAGCCGTGAATTCCACCAGGCGTTGATGATGATGATGATGTGGGGCTTCCCGAGGAGAGCGTGAGCGCCGAAAAAAAGCACCCGTTTTAGTGGGAGGACAGACGCAGCCATCACATGCAAACCGTGCAAGGTATTTGTTTTTCGCCAGACGCACAGGTTTTCCCTCCGACAGGCCGAGGAGTCCAATCTGCGGAGCGTCGGCGATGCATCGGGGCGCATGTGCATCGAAAAGTGGCGTGGATGAAAGATGCTGCCCAGATGCGCGCGGAGGCGGCCCGCAGTCGACAAACAAGGCGGCGCAGGACACTGTTGGGCGTTTTTCTGTTCTGGATTTCGACATTTGGCTGAAGGATGGGGGAGGAGGGTTGGTCTGGGTCTGGGTCTGGGCCAGGTGCTTAATCGATCTACTCCTACTGGTCGCGGAAGCAGACTGGGGTAGAGGGGCCCTGACGGGTCGCCAGACGCAGCGGCCAAGAGCAGCAAAAAGCTGATCTATGGGGGGGGAGGGAGGGGGCGGCCAGAGGCCCGCACCGATCAGCGAACAAGAAATAAAATAAAAAACGGCGACCTTCAAGGCGGCTCACACACACACGTTGTTTCTCCAGCGGCCGAGTGACGCCACTACAGCGAGTTCTAAAGCAGGGCAGGTTCAGTGTCAATTCCACCTAGCGTTGCAGTTGGGGGGCTGCGCAGAACCAGTCGCGCGAAGTCTGCATGCACAGATGCCCGCACACATACACACAGACACACCCCTCCTGGGAAGCAGAGCGCGAGCGCGCAGAGAAGCGCCGAGGGAACGGCCTGTCAAAGTGTACTGCTCTTGCAGCGTATCGGACAGCTGCACGGACACGAAAGGACCCCCAGCGCCGTCGTCGAACTGGACGATGGTGCCGGTGTGGAGAGCGTTGTAGAGCTCCGTGCTGTTCGGGGCCGACCTTCAAATGTGCCGCGATGGTAAGGGCTAGAGAGGCTAAAGGGGAAGAGTCGATGCTTGGACAGCCAAATGCAGCTCCCTCATGTTCCTAAGACTTCGCCCCCATGTTAGAACCTGGGTTTAAACGAGCGTCCACTGCCGCAGCCCGAAACCCGTCTTTGGCAAGGTTCGCTGCCCAACTGGCGACCACTGGATCGTGATGTGCGTCATGCTCGAGCCCACCAGCGTCGGCGCCGGCGGCGTGGCCGGGGCGTCAGAGCAGCGGGCGGCGAGCGCGTCCGAGAGCAGGCCTGGCAAGGCGGCGGCGCGGCACGACAACGACGACTCCGGCCCCCTCTGCCCATGAAAAACAAAACGGCATGCTGTTGTCGTTACTGTTGTTGTTGTTGCCTCTGCTGCTGCTGCTGATGTTGTTGTTGTTGTTGAACATTATTACTTCTAAAGAATAATTATTGTTGGGACCCCTGGTGCACGACCCCCCCGCCGCGCCTAGGCCGCAGCCACATTTTCATCATTTTCGTGAGGAAGTCTCAGGCAAAACGAGTTGGTCCGGATCCGGTTGTTTTGTTACGACCCGCTTTCCCTTGCAAAAAAAAGCTAAAGTGGACATTTCTTGTTCTAACATAACCAAACTTCTCCCTTGCCAAAAAAAAGGTAAAGTGGACATTCGCGCGCGCAAGACGAAATCCTTCCAAAACCTTAGTTTTCGTAGCGATTGTAACATGAAAACATCAAAAAACCAATGGTTTTTTCCAAAAAAAAAAAATGCCAAAATTTCATCCCGCGCGCTCTTGCGGATTCGTAGGAAACCCAACATTTTTTAAACATTTCTGTCAAACGGGCTTTTGCGAGCAACTTTTTCGAACTTCTGCAACAACGGTTGCGCACCTGCCAGGGCCATCATCCCTGTCAAATAATACCATGCGGGACACATTCGTTTTTTCTTCGCGCGCGCACGCCGTCGTCGTCGGCCGCGGGGCCCTGAATAGTAGCCACGGTCGTCCGCATGCCACGAAGTGAAGTGTCCGAACGTCATAGGGCGGGAAGCTGGGTGTGGGTGGTGGCGAAGAGTCGTTTGGAAATTTGGTAGAGCTTGAACCGGCCCCCCCACAAAGTGGGGGTATTGCCCGCCTCCTATGAAAACCCTGGCACTGGTGAGAACGGAGTGTCCCCACGTGCTAGTAATTGTTGTTGTTGTTGTTGTTGTTGTTGTTGTTGTTGAATTCTCATTTCTGAAGAATAATTATTGATCCCCCCCACTGGTGCACACTTTTTTTCTCAATCAAAGTGTGCCCCATCGACGCTCGCACCCTGCTTTTTGACAGGGAAAGTCTTCCTGCTCAAACTGGGCCCCTGGCCCATGGGTTGCAACAACAACGGCTCCCGCCTGAGACTTCCTTACACTTTAGCCAGGACCCCGCTCCCGCCCAAGACTGCCTCGCATTTTATTTCGGAATCGCGCTCTCGCTTGGACCTTCCTTACAACGTATTCGAGAATCGCTCTCCCGGCGCTCTGGAATCGCGCTCTCGCTGGAGACTTGCTTGCAACTTACTGAAAAATGGCCTTGCGTTGGGATTTCTTTCGATTTGCCCAAACGCAGCGCTCCCGACACCCAGGCACCCAGGAGTCGCGCCCGTTGTGGCCCCATGTGCATGCCTTTCGTGGCCCCGCTGTCGCCATTTGTGCCCCCCTCACTGTCCTACGTGGCCCAGTTGCTACCCTCAGTGGCCCCATAGTTGCCTTCTGTGGCCCCGCATTATCTGCACTTCGTGGCCCCCGCTCGTTCGCGCTCTTCGTGGCCCCATACGCATTCCCTTCGTGTCCCCGCTGTCGCCCTTCGTGGCCTACTTCGTGCCCTTCGTGGCCCTGCTGTCGTTCTCTCTCGCTCTCGCTTTCGCTCGTCGTCGCCGTCGTCGTCGTTGCCGTCGTCTTCGACGTCGTCGTCGTCGTCGTCGTCGTCGTCGTCGTCGTCGTGTCGGTCCCCTGTCCGTCCCTCTTGGGGTCGGGTCGACGGTCCGCGGCCGCCCCGCCGATCAGCGCTGCCGCTGGCCAGGCCGACGGTCCGCGGCCGCCCCGCCGCTTGCCGAGGCCCGGCCTGCAAGGAAGAAAGGTATACCCCCCAAAAGGGGTTCGATCGAAGACGAAGAGGGTGGGTATCGAAGGTTTGGGAAATACGCGTTATTGGACACTCGAGCATATACTGGTGAACGGTCTTACACGTATTATTGTTGTTGTTGTTGTTGTTGTTGTTGTTGTTGTTGTTGTTGTTGTTGTTGTTGTTGTTGTTGTTGTCGGCCTCAGGGGGCCCTGGCCGGGCGCCGCGACCGTCAAAAAACTGCCCGGGATGAAAAACCAGCCCTCGGGACTTCCAGGGACACCGTATTGACACACCAGGCAAGTTCTCGCCCGGCCGAAAGGCCCATGCAGAGGAGCTCTTCCCCGATCGTCTCTCGGCCCGAGGAGTGCTGCAGAAGAGAGGTTGGGGACGGGGGCCATGGTCGGCGTTGTCTTTCCTTCTCACCAGCGGACGTAGCGTCATGAAACACCTCGGCGATGCATTGGCATTTACACACACGCGCACACACACGCATATATATACATATATATATATGCATATACATATGCATGTACATATGCATATACAAAAACCTGCGTAATATGATGTTTCTCCGTTGCACATGTTTATGAACGATAATAGTAACACACATGTACATATACAGATATACACATACAAGCATGGACATATACACATGCATATACACATGCATATACACATACACCTGCGCATACGTATACCAACACAACTACGGACGCGGTCTTAAAATCAAAACTTGCGCGTGCACGATGTGGGAGGGATGAGCGATCAAGGCAGCCAGTGAGCGTATGCCCACCCCCTGTGGTATGGCACCTGCGGACTTGGCCGCAGGACGCTCCACAGAGTCGCGTGCGCTTTGAAGGTCACGCGCAGAGAACTGAAAGAACAAGACAACTAAAAAGACAACTGTGGGCGCCCCCGCCAGCCTGGCCTGAGACATCTTCCACGCCCCCCCTGACGACACACGGGTGGCGGAAGCGAACAGAAGATGGGAAACACCTGACCGGGCAGATCTCGCAGCGACAGCATTCCAAAGGAGGTCGAGAGGCGTCTATATGTCACCTTTCGGGGAAACATGCAAAATCTGACACGCGCGCACGTCGTCAAAACAGCATTGATACAAGTTTGATTGACCACTGCACTGCGTGTTGTAGCTCAAAATGCGCACCTGGCGGGAACGACCGACAAGGAAAACGAGGTTCTGCCAGCGCGCGCGCGCTTGAGCGCGGCGACGCGCGCCTCTCGACGCACACCTGTGGGGGAGCAGGACAAAGGAAAATAACGGAGGAAGGAGGAGGAATGACGCGTCGACGTGCACCTGCGGGGAAGCGGAGTGCTGCCCAGTCAAGCCGACGGGCGCGAGCTCGGGCTGATGATCGAAGCGACGTGAAACGATGCGAGCTCAACCGCTGGGTTCCTCGAGGGCCAATTGCCCCGAGGAGCGGGGGCGCCGACAACGCCGCTGGCCCCCCCCGACGCGAAACCACACGAGAGAGGGAAGGAAGAGGAAGACAAAAGATAGAGGAAGTGTCGCCCCCGCCCAAAATGAGCTGGTCTTAACGATTAGGGGCGCGCCGGCCCCGCCCAAAATGGGCTGCTCTTATCGACGTCGACAAGGGCCGGACTCTGGCCACCTCGAGCATGTCTTGCAATGCTCCGCGGTGAGAGGTGCCAGTTTGCAGGGCTGCGACCCCCCCGCGGAGGACCCTTATTTGCGACTTGAAGAAGGGGGAAGGGAGGAAGGGAACGGACCCGACTCCAGAGAGACGCGGGGAGGTGAATTCCCACGACCCCAAATACAGTGGGACCGGAAGAGAGGAAGGGGGAAAGGGGCTAGGGGGAAGGACCCCCCCCCGAAGAGGGACATCCGCGCCCGTGCGCTGCAAGAGAAGAACAAGAAAGATCTGCGCGGAGCTGCAGCGGGGTCCACCGCGAGGACCCAACCTGTAGCTGCTGGCGCTGCGAGCTCGGCGAGGAAGAGCATATGGAACGTGACCGTGACAACCGTCGACCGCGCAACACATGTGAAGGTCATGGGTCAGCTGCGGGCACCCATGGGCCCCCGCCATCGACGTCTTGGAAGCGACGGCGCGCGCGGGATGGACTTGGCTCCTGCTTGCCTGGCGCAATGCGCGCCGTGCGACTTGCGCGCGGTCCGAGCGGGCAAGGGTTTCCTCACCCCGCGCTTTTTCAACATTTCGGATCCTCGAATCTCTTTTCGAGCCTGCGAAAAATGAAATTTGCGCCCTGCGCGAGGTCCACCGCCTGCGAAGGCGAAATCGTAAACCGAAGTCGGGTGGCCAGCTGGTCAGTCTGGGCCCGCGCGTCGCGCAGCTCTGCCAGGGCGCTGGAGTTCCGCAGCGCGATCGCAGAACATTTTCCCGCGGGCAATGCACGCGCGCTCAGATGCATCCGAAACGCGAAGCGAAGACCATTCGGTATGCCACAGCTTCCAGCAATCGCTCCATAATGATTGCGCACACGGTGACAACATGCACAAACAGAAGAGCGAGGAGAAAGAAGCCAGGACACATGGATGGATGGATATAACAGATGACAACAGAGAGCGAGAAGAGGAGGGCGTCGACGTGCACCTGCGGGGAGGCGGAAAGCGACCCCCCCCCCCCTGCCGAAGGACGACGTGAGAGAATTAGAGAACCTCCAGAATGGGGGACATGTCGAGAGACAATTAAGACTCGAGTTCATGCGATATCAATCTAAAAGTTGCGAGAACGACTGTTCAACTAGACAGCGCAAAACGTATCGCGCGGGCCGCCCCAGGCCTCAAAAATGCACGTTGGTCATCAACATATGCGTCAAAGATGTGATGCCACCATCAAAATCAGAGTCTAGGGAACGATGCTTTGCCTAGGTCGTGCACCGGCGCCTTCCCATGAGAGCCAAACACACTTATCAAAACCGATAAGATTGCCAGGGGACCGTATACTGATAACAGGCCCGTCACATCATCTGAAGCTATTGCGCCGTCCTTCGGCTGGCGCTGCACAACTCACAATGGGCAAAGACGCAACGATGGTCAGATGGCCCAGAGGGCGAAGCAAAAACGGCTGATAACCTGTGAGAGGGATAGGCGAGCAAGACAGCCAGTCAGCATATACCCGCCCCCTTGTGGAATGGCGCCTGCACAAGGGACTTGGCCGCAAGACACTCCACAGAGTCGCGTGCGCCTTGAGGGTCGCGCACAGAGAAGTGAGAGACGAGGACCGCTAAAAGGACAAGTGCGGGCGTCTCCACCAGCCTGGCCTGAGACATCTTCCGCACACACACTATACCTATATGTATACATATACATATACATATACATATACATATACATATACACAGGTATGCACACATACACCTGCGAACACCTATACATATACGTATGTATATGCATTCACATAAACATACACGGATACACAGCCAAACCACAAACTTATATGTACACCCAAACAAATGTATACGTAGGCGCATACCGATACCTGCATACACATATGTATAAGGCTGTATATATGTATGCTCATGTGCTTGTGTATACAAATGCGTGAATATATATATATATATATATATATATATATATATATATATATATATATACTAGAGCCACGCGCGCGCTTCGCGCAATCTTAGGTTCTAGCCGTGGTCACGGAACAGCTCCGAAGACGGTATGAGCAGGCACAAGTCCAAGTATGTGGCGTTAGCCCAGAAATCCGACCTCCTCCCCGTCCTCATTCTCCCCCTCCGCCTTTTCCTGACTCTCCGCCACCTCCTCCCCCCCCCCCTCCTTCCCTCCCCCCCTACTCCTTCTCCTCCTCCACCTCCTCCTCTCCCTCCTGTTCCTCCCCCTCTCCTCCTCGCCCTCCTCCCCCTCATCCTCCTCCTCCTCCTCCCCCTCCTCCTCCTCCTCCTCCTCCTCCTCCTGCCCCCGTCCTTCCGCTTCCCCTCCTCCTCCTCCTCTTCGCACCGCCGCCGCCTCGCTCAGCCCGGCCTCGCGGGCCTCTCCCTGGACGGCCTGGGAAAAGCTATGGTCCGCCCCCCCTGTCGGCGCTGTGTGAGGGGGTCCTGGGGTGGATCTTCCCGGGGTGGTTCTGGGAGATCTGCTCTTCCGTTCGCAATTCTCCCCCTTTCCTTGCGGGGGCTCCCCAAGCTCGCCAGCCCGAGGTGAATCGACCCAGGTCGCAATCCAATCGAAAAGAAGACCATTCCCCCTGATCCCTTCCCAGCGCGGGGGGTGATGTCCCCGAGAAGAGAGGGGGGCTGGGAACGTGGTCCGTGTGGGGGAGGGGGTCCTGGGGAGGTGCGCCTCCGCCTCACGAGAAGAAACTCGGGAGATCTTGGGCCTACTAGTTTAGCCATCTCTGGGAAACCGGAGCCCGCTAGAGCCTTCTCGGGGCCAACTTCGGCACTCTTGGGAGTCTCGCGGGCCGTCTTGGACGCCCCGGGGGCCAAACCAAGAGACCAAGGTCGACTGAATCCCTTCAGGTGCTGTGTGATCTAGGTTGTGTGTGATGTACATCTTCTGGCCGCACCGCTCGCAAGAGCGTCCAAGAGAAACAAGGGGGGTCCAAGACTGCTCCAAGAGGCTTGCTCCAGCAGTGAGATATCCACGAACTGATGGTAGCCTCTGGCCACATGCCTTGCACCTTGGCCGAACGCGAGCACGGAGGCTGCATCTTGACCTGGCGAACACCAAGAGACTATTTCTGCGTACCGTCCGATACCTCACATCTGCCTCACCTCCTCCTTCCTCGTCACCTCTGACGCGCCCGCTTGCCTGCGTGTTCGCCTCCTGCTCTTGCCTCGACTCCCAACTCCTGACTTGAACTCGCGATCCGCACCCGTGGACAATGGCCAAAAGGAACATGAGGTCGAACCGCCACACGGCCATATGACTACATTGAACAACGCTGGAAGGAGATGGAACGATACGAGGAGCCGTGAGGGTTGCAATCAGGGACGGCATTGCGGCAGGAGCCAGGGTAGCCGATCGCTTCCCGATTGAAGGGGAGGAGGATGAAGAACAAGAGGAGGAGGAGCAAGGGGAGGAGAAGGAGGAGGCGGAGGAGGAGGAAGAGCAAGTGGAGGAGGAAGGCGGAACCCTCCGCCCCACACACGAGCTGCCCTCCAGCTGCGCAGCGACCGCGCGCACAGAGCCGACGGGCACCCCACCCCTGCGGGGCCCTATGGCGGATGCGCACGGCTGGCGGCACGAGGCGAGATGCGTGGCTGGTCGGGACCACCTCACGTGGAGACCGCCCACACGGGGCCGGAGCAATCAGGGTCGGAGGATCGCACCGCACTGGCGCTGCATCAGCACTGCGTTGGCGACGCCGGGACGGAGAACATCGGGCTCCTGATCACGCCGCATCGTGCATCGTGGACGCATCGTCGATGCGGCGCGATGATCCGTCAGCAGCCGGGCCCGTCTCGCTGGCGTGGAGGAGGGACCATAAGTCACCATCGCTCGGACGTCCACTCCCCGTGCATTCTTCAGCTTCGTGCGTGTATTCTTTCGCCAGATGACCTGAAACACCCCTTGATGGCCCTTGCCGAGGAAACATGCACACGTCCGAGCGATGCCAAGAGACAGGGAAGCAGGACAGGGGCAGCAGGACACAGCGGCATCACATAATAGATCCAGTCTGGACGGCAAACAAGAGGACCACGTCGAACGTCCAAGCCCCAAGGCCAAAGTAGAAGTCAAACTGCAGTCTGTCGAGTTTGACGAAGGTGGACTCACTTGCCAGCACTCATGTCATGGAAAGGAGAAGCCAGTCAATTACCCGTTGGTCGGAAGAAGTAGGTAGAACCATGAAGTAGGAAGGCGTTGGAAATCGATTGGATTTCCGCCCGCCCACTGAAGAGGAGGGAAGAGGGAAAACCGCTCGACTCTTGAAGCAGGAAGGCGGCTAAAGTAGATTAGTATTTGGGCATGCAAAAAATACAAACTTTCAACGAGCGACGGGTAACTACACTGAGGCATCAAAATAACATTAAAACAACAACGACGCCGAATCGTGCTGCATTTTGATGCGGGGGAGGAATGGGGTACCCTTCGGTCGGAACAAGTGGGTAGAAGCATAACGTAGGAAGGCGTTAGAAGTAGACTGGGCTTCCGCCCGCCCTCTGACATGGAGGGAAAAGGTGAAACCGCTCGACACTTGACGTAGAACTTGGCTGAAGCAGATTGGGATCTGGCAATTCAGGAATGCCTACTTTCAAGGACCGACGGATACTAGTTCCGCCTGGCCCCATGGCCCCCCAGGAAAACCGACCGACCACAAGGGTGGACGCGAGACGATTTCCTCGCCCAGGCCCGGCGCACCGACACCCGCGATGTTCACGGCTGCAGGCCGGTTTTGTCTTGAAGACCCAAGCCTCTAAGTAACCTCTTGTCCACTCGCCTCCTCCTTCTTCTCCTCCTCCTCCTCCTCCTCCTCCTCCTCCTCCCTCTCCCCCTCCCCCTCCTCCTCCTCCTCGTCCTCCTCCTCCTCCTCTTCCTCCTCCTCCTCCCCATCGTTCAATCCACAACAACCACCATGTTCTGCCTTCTCGTTGTTCTCCTGCTATCTCTCCTCCTCCCTCTTGCTCGTCCGCCTCCTTCTTGTTCAAACTTCGTGTGACATTGGGGGTATCTCCCCAGCATCTCAGCAATACCTGGCTGGGCGCAGGACGCCCTTCTGCTTCTCTCTCTCTCTCTCTTTCTGGAGCGTGCGACGTCGGGGCGTGCGATCGCAAGTGGAGGGCGTGGGATACGAGAATCGCTTTGTTTGGAAGTTGTTGGCCCTTGCTATTGAGCCTGCGGTGGACTCCAGAGACCGACGATCGTCATCGATCGCCGACGTCGTTGCCACGTGACGGCAGCGCTACGCCCTCGCGAGCGCCGAAGGAAACGAGGAAACGAGAACGCAGATCACAAGCATGACCACACAACGCGGCGGATCGGGCGATCACTGCTTGGCCGTGGACGAAGGGAGGTAATGGAAAGAAGAGAAACAAAGATGACAACGAAAGAACGCTGAAGATGACATGCCAACGGAAGGAAATCCGACGACCCGCTTGGAGACATTTGGCTGTTCCCCTCCCTCCCGAAGGGTAATCAATCTCGTTGAAGGGCGGGAGTTCCTTGTAAGAACTCGTCAACGCACCTGGAGCCTCGACATCTGCTAACCGTGGCCTCCAAGGTACCCAACGTGGCTTCTTCGAAAGTAGTTCGGGAAGCGCTCCAACACGCAAGAGGATCCTCAATGAACCAACCAGGTTACCTCAAGACGACCTAGAAGGTTCCAATAGACCAATAGAGCCCCAAGAGACCTCCGAGGAGGGAACCATCATTGATTTTCCTGCGGCATTTTTGAATACGTGCGAGTTCTCACCATTTCGGGCAGCCCAAGGCGGCCCAATAAGCCCCCAAGAAGGCCCACAGACGGCCGAAGAGGGTCGCAAGATGATCAAAGAGGCCCCGAACATGGCAAAAAGGTCTTGAAGAGGGCACGAAGAGGGGCCCAAGAGAGTCCCAAGAGGGAAAATTCACAGGGACCTCGGGATCTCTCCCACAGAAGATGGCCCCGAAGACCTCCACCATGCCCTCCGGAGGCCCCCACGAAGCTCCCAGAGGGCAACGACCCCAGGAGGCCTGAAAAGGTTCCTCCAAGAGACCGAAACAAAAAACCTCACAACGGACATGTTGGAGTATGATGGCAAATCAACCACAACTATACGCAAGCAGCACGACGGGAATCGGCAAACAACACGTACGACATCGGAACATGTACATATCCTCTTCTGGGGGTCGGCGGAGTGGCGTGCGCCTCTTGAACTAGCAAGGGCAGATGTGACGTATCCGAACAGCCAGGGAACAGGGTCTTGGGCATGGCTCAGAGCAAGCATCGCTCCCCCCAAACAAAACACCTGCCACCCTGATCCACAAGTATTGCTGCTCTGCGTTGTAGTCGGCGCAATCTATCGTCGTGGACGTTGTGTACACGTTACTGATCGAAATGGGCGACTGGCGCAGGCGGGAAGAGGTGACGGGGGAAGAAGGGAGAGGGAGGACGGAGTAGCGGTGGATGTAAAGGTGAAGGTAGGCATAGGCATATAACGGGAGGTGGACGCAAAGGCACAGGTGACCCCAATGCGTATACTGGTAAAGATCTGCATTGCTATACATACGTATGGATACACATACATCTATACACATACATACATGCATACATACATGCATACATACATTCATGCGTGAATGCATGCATACATGCATGCATACATGCATACACACATACACACACGCATACAGACACACATACATATATACATACATACATACGTACATACATACATACATACCTGCATATATACATCCATGCGTACCAACATGCATGTATGCATACATGCATACATACGTGCATGCATGCACCCGTGCGTGCATACATAGACACGCATGCATACTTACACCTATACGTGCCTGCATACATGCATACACATGTGTACCTACATGCGTACATGCGTGTGAACATACATACATACATACATACATACATACATACATACATACACACATACATGCATGCATGCATGCATGCATGCATACGTACATGCATACACACATACATCCATCCATCCATCAATCTATCTATCCGTCCGTCCATCCATACATACATACACACATACATACATACATACACATACACACATACATGCATACATGCATTACCCACATGCCTGATCACAGACATGCGTGCATACGTACACACATACATAAATACATACAAACAAACAACCAGACACCGATACATATGTACATATAGTCTATATGCATACATACATACATACATACATACATGCATGCATGCATGCATGCATGCATGCATGCATACATACATACATACATACATACATACATACATATTGGAACCATCGCGCGCGCGCCTCGAACGCGCTCAGGTTCTAGCCCACCTCTTAGGTCTTCGTGGGGGCATTTGAAGGGCTTCTGGGGGGTTCTCCGTGCTTCCTCAACTAGCTGTTGGAGGCACCTCTTGGGTGCTTCTTGAGGGTGCGGCTTGGGGCTTCATGGGGTCGTCCATTGGGGGCATCGTCGGTGTTCTCCGGGCAGTCGGCAAGTGATGTTTTGCAATATGAAGTCGCCATTGGCTGTCATGAGGCCATATGGGACCACAATGAAGCAATCTGGAAGCCTCCCGAGGCCTCTTGGGAACAAGTTTGACGCATCACGGGCACTGTTGGGCTATCTTGAGGCCTCTTGTGCGTTGCCCTTTGGCCTCTTGGGAGGCTTTTGGGTGCCTCGTTGGAGCACTTGGGGGCCTCTTAGGGCCTCATGTGGGCCTTTTTTGGGGAAGGCTCTGCTGTTGGGTTCGCGTTCCCCTTCTTGGGCCTCTCTTGGCGCCGTCTTGGAGCCCTCTCGAGCCGTCTTGGGCGCCTCAGGCACCGTCTTGGGCCCCTCGTGGGCCGTCTTGGGGCCCACTTGGAAGCCTTTTCCTTTATCTTGGAACGGTATTGGAGGCCTCTTGGGCCGTCTTGGAGACTCGGAAAGCCAAAAGGCTGAAAACCTATAAATTCGTCAAGACCACATCGGAAAACATTGATGGCTGCATCTTAGGGTCTTCTTGGGAGGCCTCTTGGAACCTCTTCAGCCCTCTTAGGAGCTTCTTGCGGGCCTTTTGGATCCTATTAGGGGCCTCTTGGGGCTTCCCGAGAAACCCCTCGGGGTGGAAGGCTCGGATTATCGGTTCGTGTTACACCTCCTGGGTCCCTCTTGGGGCCCTCTCGAGCCGTCTTGGGTGCCTCAGGCACCGTCTTGGGGCCCACGTGGGCCGTCTTGGCGGAGCGGACGCTGGGGCCTCTTGGGCCGTCGCTAGCGTCGGAAAACTGAAAAGGCGAGAACTCGAAAACCCTTCGAAACCATAAGGAAATCACACATTGTTGCCTCCTGAGTTCTTTGGGAAGCATCTTGGAAATCATCTTGGAGGCCTCTTGGGGCGTCTTGGGCGCCTCTTGGACAATGGGGGGCGAATTCCGGGGATCTCGGGCCGTCTTTGAACGTTGTCGCGGTCTGGAAACGCCATTTCTGGCGATCTGGGGCCGTCTTCGGGCGATCTTGCACAGCCCCCGGCGCCCCGGCAGGGCTCCCGTGCGCTCTCGAGGGCCCCGTCCGGTTCCCCCCAGCCTCGTGCCCAGGTGTGCGTGTGTGTATGTATGTGTACATATATATATATATATGTGTGTATATATATGTGTGTACATGCATGTATGTATGCATGCATGTATGTATGTATGCGTGTATGTATGTATGTATGTATGTATGTATGTATGTATGTATGTGTATGTATGTATGTATGGATGGATGGATGGATGTATGGATGTATGTATGTATGTATGTGTGTATGTATGTTTAAATGTATGTATGTGTGTGTATGTATGGATGTATGTATGTATGTATGTATGTATGTATGTATGTGTGTATGTGTTTATGTATGTATGTATGTTTGTATGTATGTACGTATGTATGTTTGTGTGTATGTATGTATGTGTGTATGTATGTACCTATTTATATATACATATATATATACATATATATATACATATACATATATATATACATATATATATGTATATATGTGAAAGTTGCTTCCCGACACTCCGCCGCATCTTTCTGTGGGGCTTCTGAAAGCCCTGAGCTGGACCTTGCAGGATGTAGACGCGGCAACTCCCATACGCTCATGGGGGCATGCTGGGACGCCTCTTGGGAACCTGTTGGAAGCATTGCGGGAGTCTCTGGGACCTCTTCGGGCCTTCCTTGGGAATCCTTTAATGTATTTTTTTGGCCGTCTGGGGGCCCTTTTCGGCCGTCCCGGGTCCCTTGGGGCCCGTCATGGGAGGCGGAGGGATCCTCCGGTGGCCCTCCCGAGGCTCCCTGGGGACTCTCTTGGGCCGTCTTGGAGCCTCTTGTGCTCCTTGGAACTCTCTTGAAGCCGTCCTGGGGCCCTCTTAGGGACCTATTGGGCCGTCTTGGGCCGAGTTTGGGGGGCCTTTGGTGCCGTCATGCCGCTGACAGGATTGAAAAGGGACTTGACCGAAAACATGCGCTTTTCCAAAGGAATTGATGGATTTCTGCCCCTGGGGGGCTTGCTCGGCGGCCTCTTGGACCGTCTTGAAGACCTTTGTGGCCGTCTAGGAGCGATCTTAGGCTGTCTTGGAGCGCTCTTGGGCCGTCTTGAGGCCACCTCAGCGCGCTCTTCAGCCATCTTCCAGGCAACCTGGGGCGCTTTGGGAGCCTCTTGGGCAAACTTTGGGGCCTCTGGGGGGTCCGGGGCCCCTTCTTGGCCCTCTTGGCGCCCACAAGGCCCCCCCAGCCCCCCATGCAAACCATGGGTCCTGGTTCCTTCTGGGCCCTCCCCTGGCCTACTCCGATACATATGTGTATATATACACATATATATATGTATATATATATATATATGTATGCATATATATATATATATATATATATATATATATGCATAGAGATATATGTGCATGTGCATACATACACACATATATATATGTGTGTATATATTTATCCCTGGCGATATGTATGTTTGTAGGTGTGTATGTACGTATGTAACTATGTATGTGTGTATGTGCATATATATAGATATGTGTAGATCCTCGGCAACGATAATCATAAGTCGATGCCAGCAACTTGACATAACACAGGGGTGTTTGCAAGCTGTCCTGCCGCAAGACCGCTATCGCCATTGTCCTCCCAGGCGAAGCGAAAACAGTCTCGCGGAAGAGGTGGAGGAAGGAGGCGAGGGGATACAGGAAAACATGAAATATCGCAGTGCTCGTACCCTTGGCCTTCGACGCCCAGTCGTGGCTCATGGGACCTAGAGCCTACTCAGCGGCAAAACATAAGGTTAACATCATTGAACCAATTCCTCCACATCTGGAGCCAACTGCCACGCTATAGTACCCGCGCAAAGCAAGTCAGGAAGAAGGAGGAGAGGGAAGAGGGGAGAAACGCCGTCGATGAGCGTCGGTGACGGTGCACTTGCCTTCCAGGCGACTGGGACTCAAAAACGTCATCATTCAAACAAGGGGGAAGGGGAGGTAGGGAGGGAGAGGGAGGGAGGGGAGAGGATCTGCCAGCCAAATGCGGCGCGCCCACGGCTCGACAATACTCCGCCGGTCTGTCCTGGATAAAAAAACATACACCAATACTGCATCCACCCTGCAGCCTTGTCAATCAAAGTGAGCTTGTTGACGGAATGGCTGTGGAGGGCCACCTGAGGACCGCGCCATCACCTTAGGATCGCGGCCCAGCGCCGACCAAGGCCATCCAGACCTGCGGGGACAATCCCTCACCGCCCACCCTGCCGACCACACCCAGGCCTCCAGGGGTGCCAGCGAGAGGGAAGGAGGAGGGAGGAGGGAAGGAGAGAAAAAAGGCCTCTGGGGCAACGCTGGGGCAGCACCTGCCTTCCAAGCGGCGGGGGAACACAACGGAAAATCAGCACAGAAGAATCCGCATGCGGAATCGCCCGCCACGGAGAAAAAAATCACACCACCCGGCCTGATTGGTCTGGGCGTGCGTGCGCGCAGGCTCGGGTCATAACGGTTCGAGGGCCAGCCTCCGCACGCCTGGGCGCTAAAAGCGCGCATTTTTGGGGGCGCCCGGAAGTCCGGGCGCCCCTATAGTTTCGAGGAAGCAGGAATCGCGGACCCGGCGGGGGAGGACGGGGAAGAGGCGGGAAAGCCCTGCGAAGGGATGTCGGCTCGGGTCGCGGCCTCCAGGCCGCTGGGAAAGTTCTGGCTCTGCGAGTGTGGCATGGCCGAGAGACAAGCGGCATCGCCTGCTGACAGGGAGCGCCACAGCCCGCCGAACGCGGAAACGTACGCCTCGAACGCAAGATGTGATGGGTGGAAACGGCGAGGAAGGCGGAGGCGAGCGGAGAATGCGGAGGAGAGGGAGGAACAAGGGCAAAGAACGGGCGGAAAGACCCGCGGAAGCCCCGCAGCAAGACGCGCCCCCCCCCCCCCCCCGGCCGGAAGGAGAGACGATGCATGTTTCGCCCTTGCGCCGAGGAGGAGGAGGAGGAGGAACTTGAGTCAACCTGCCATCCTGACTACAGCGTACAGCATCCAGATCGTATCGGCCGCACCCGCCGTGCGCGGCGTTCTTGGAACCAGTACTGGAGTCTGCAGACCCTCGGCGTCCAGACCTGGCCAGCTTGTATTGCAACACGTGGGAGCTCTGTATCCCAGCGCTGCTGCAGGATAGCAGCCGCGCGCTGGTGGCCTTTGACGCCCTCTTTGTCGGCTTGCACCAACGCCTGGGAACTGTCCTCCTCCATGCGCATGGCGCCATGGCCGGCGTGACGAAGCATGTCCCTTCGCGGTCTCCAGCTCAGGCGTGCACACCGCTTCAGATTGCATGCGTGCGAAAGCGTCGGCGCTGAGACGGAATCCCGCCTCCAACAGCCGCCACACCACCCGGCAGCGGCTGTAGCGCTTAATGCTGTCTTCACCCCCCTCCACCTTGCAAAGCAAGTAGTGGATTTCGTGGCGGCGCTGGAACCTCGCCGCCGTGGTCCATCGATCCCAGATGCATCCCCAGGTCGCGCAGTGGACTCTCGGGGGGACCAGCGAATCCAAGGCGAGGGAGTGGTTCGAATGCCCCCTAGAAGCCTGGTGTCGCGGAGTCTGTTGGCGAACCGTACCTGGGATCCGTCCGTGGAAGCCGGCGTTTCCCAGATTCAATACCTTGACCTTGTCCCTGAATCGGCCTGCCGGGTCGCTGAGATTGTCTGCCACGTGGCACTCGTACTACGCGGCCTGGAACCATCTGCGCCACGTGGCGTCCTCCGCCAGCGGGGCGCCGGACGCACGCCTGGCGACGCGGACATCGTCCAACTGCCCAAAACGCGCTTGCAGATCGTCGTCTGTGTCCTGGAGCCGGAGCAGGAAGCTGCGCGAATACCAATCGGCCCGCGTCAGGGCATCAGCGTTGGCCCACGCTTGCCGCAGTTGCTTGCAATCCTCCCTGAAGTGGCGCTGGCTGTCTATGCCTCTGTCGCGATAGAGAACTCGCATCTGCGACGCCGCTGCCACCCACGCCAGGTTCTGAAACGAAGCAGCCCCGCCGCACGCGTCCCGCAACAGCCAGAGGTCCATCGGGGAGGCCCAGGCCGTGGGTCCAGAAACCAGCCGAAAGAACGCAGACGGCGCAGCCGTCACCGTGCACCCTTGCACCTCTTCCTGCGCATGCTCGTCGGGCCACTCCAGCTGCGCCACGAAGAGAAGCGTCGGCAACATGAACGTGTTAACAGAACCTCGCCTGCCTGTGTGGCCCGAGTGGCGCGTCTTGCCACATGTGCAGGCGCTTCTGAAATTTGGCAAGAGGTCTGCGCCATGTCTTGTTGCTCTTGCGGGGCCCCAGGATGTTCGCCGAATGTTGGTAGACATATACTTCCAAGCTGTTGCGCTTTCCTGGAAGGACACTACGTCTTTCTTTAGCGGGGCCCGGGTGAGCGGAACCGCGACCGACTTCCGCAAATGTAATCGCAAAAACCGAGATGGCTGCAAACTCCACGAAGAAACGTTCAAGTTGTGTGAGCACGCATAAAAAGTGCTTCAAGATCAGCACGGCGTCGTCCGCGTAAGCGCGCACGAACATGTCGTCGATGTCAAGCTCGAGCTTGTCCAGCAGATCCTCCGCCACCAAACCGTACACCAGCGGGGACAGCGGGCAGCCTTGCCGCACCACCGCCAGGATGGGTCAGAGACAGTCTGTCTCTCGATTGGCAGGACGCACGTATATACATACGTACATACCTACCTACCTACCTACCTACACACATACATACATGCATGCATACATCCATACATACACATACATGCATGCACACATGCGTACACATATACATGTATACATACATAGCTTATTCCATACAAGCATACATACATACATACATACATGCATACATACATACATACATACATAAATGCATACATGCATGCATGCATGCATACATACATACATACATACATATACACATGCATGCATGCATGCATGCATACATACATACATACATTCATATATGCATACATACCTACATGCCTATCAGCATATAAATATACAACCATGCATACATACATATAGACATGCATACACGCATACATACATACATACGTACTTACATGCACGCATGCATGCATGCATGCATGCATGCATGCATGCATACACACATACGTACAAACATACACACATACGTACATCCATGCGTACATACATACAAACAAACACAGTTACACATACCGACGTACATACACATATGCATACATGCAGGCATGCAGGCGTACGTACGTATATACATACGTCCATGCATACAAACATGCATACACCCATGCATAACTCGATACATGCATGCAAGCATGCATGCATGCATACATACACACATACCTATACGCATCTGTATACTAGAACCACGCGCGCGCTTCGCGCGCGCTTAGTTTCTAGTCGACTCCGAAGACGGTGTCAATTTCCATGGGACCTTTTCCATGTGGTCTTCTGGGTTCCTTTCGCCCATTCGTGATTTTCGGGCGGATACTGCGAAGTTCAAGGAAGGGTTTGGCCTGTAGCGTACCAGCGACGACCGATGACGACGACGACGGACCACCGAAGATCTGCATCATTGTCACCTGATCCACGTGTGCGGGAGAGGCGTTTCTGGAGCGTCTTGCGGGCGTCATGGGGGCGTCCTCGGGCCTCGACATTGGGTGGGCGGGTCGGGGAGTGCAGCCAGGGCCACGTGTTCCGAAGGGCTGTTCCAGAGCATGGAGGACGAAGGGCTTCTGGCGGGCTTCTGAGGGTCTGTGTAAAGGCCTCCTGCGAGCTCGGTGGGGGTTTCTCGGGAGCTTCTCGCTGGAGCCTCTTTGGTGGCTTTTTGGGGCGTCGTGGAGGCCTCCTGGGAATCTCTTGGGGCCTCCTGGGGGCCCCTTGGGGCAGAGGGCGCCTCTGTTCGGGCATTTGGGGGGCTCTCTGGAGCCTCCTGGGAATATCTTGGGCCAGCTTGGGAGCCTCTGGAGGGGTCCGGGGCCCCTTCTGAACCCTCTTGGAGCCCTCAAGGCCCCCCCTGCCCCCCATGCGAACCAAAGGTCGCAGTTCTGGGCCCATCCCGCAACCGTGTCTGGGTTGTGGGTTAGAGGCTTCTCGGATGTTCGCTGGGATGATCTCGTGGGATGCCTCTCGGGGGGCCTTTTGGAAGCAGTTTTGAAGCCTCCACGGGGGCGTTGTGGAGCCTGTCGGACCTCTCTTAAGCATCTTTTGGGCCTCTTTGGAGCCTCTTGGAGCCACTTGGGGGCCTCCTGGGAGTCTCTGGGGGCAGGAAACTCGAAATGTCGGTTCGCGTTCCCTCTCTTGGGCCCATCTTGGAGCCGTCTTCAGGCCCTCTTCAGGCCCTCTTGGGCCGTCTTGGGGGCCTCTTCGGCCGATCATGCGGCCCGCTTGGGCTGTCTTGGGGGCCTCTTGGGGGCCTCTTGGGGCGACGTTGGAGGCTTCTTGGGCAGTCTTGGAGTGTCGGCCGCTCGAAAACGTGAGAAGCAACAAATATTGGAAACACACAATGAAAATTAATGATTTTGGCGTCCTGGGGCTCTCTTGGAGGTCCTCGCGGAGCGACCTTGGGGCGTCTTGGGGGCCTCTTGGGCCGATCATGGGGCCATCTTGGGCGGCTTGGAGCGTTCTTGGGCCGTCTTGGCGGCTGCCTGCCGTCTCCAGAAGCCGAGGTGGACGCCTCGGGGAAGCGGAACAAGTTCTGGGAAAACGGTCCCCTGGATGCCAAAAAAGCCCCCGCAGCCCAGGGGGGAAATTCGGTTACGGGGGGGGGAGTTTGGGAAAAGTGTGCGACTCTGGGCCGCGGGGCCCCGGACGCCGTTTATATTATAGATACATGTAGCTGGCCGGATGTGGACATGTTGTCATCTCTTTGGAGGTCGACATTCGATTCCTGCTTCCGCCGAGCTTCGGCCGGCTTCCGCTTGCGGAGCCAGCAGCGTTCTACTTCCGACGCCTTCTGCCGAGGAGGAGATGGCAACTCCTCCGATCCTCGAAGGCAAGGCCCTTTTTGGGACGCCACATATATGCAGAGGTAGACGCAAAGGTAGAGGCCCATGTGGAAGTAGAGAGATAACCGATAGGGGCAGAAAGGGGGTAGGCAGCGAAGTCAAAGAGCACAGCCTCGTGATATGATCTAGGGTAGGGGCGCTTCAAGGCCACTTCAAGGGTTTGTGGTGGTGGGTTGGTGGGGATGGGGGGTCAAGACTCCGTCGGTGAGACGACTGCGATAAACAGGAGCACCTTTCAAACGAAAAAAGTGTCACGCAATGTGCTGCTGAGCTGGAGGAGGAACACTGTAGCGTAAGGGCAAGCACGCACAACACAGGAAACACCACAGACAATACCACATCCAGGAAATGCATGCACGTGATGCCACGTATACCGTATACACATAGGCGCCAACCAGAGAGTCGCCATAGTGGACTGCGCACCCATCATGACATCGCAAACGCCCGATCACAATCTGCCCCCATAAAAACTCCGAGAAGGACTCAGCACTTCCGCAAATTCCCTCGGCTGAGCACAGGCGTATTGAAAATGCGAAGCCGAACTCAAACTTGCATTGGGCAAAGAAGGGGGGCAACCGCCACTGCGGCGCAGAAAACGATGGTGGCATCGGCATCGGCAACGATGTGGAGGTCATGGCGCCAAGCCCCAATTGTCGCCGTCCGCAGACACGTACACGTCCCAGCCGGAGATCACGGAACCACCTCGCTTGGGTGTAAGATCCGTGCAGGCCCGAGCTGCGCAATACGCGCCGCCTTGCTCTCGGGTGGCGCAGGACGATGCCCCCCAGAGGAGCTCGGCTTAGTTCCGGGAGTTTGCGTGTCGCGGCGGCGGCCCTGGCGGCACCCTATGCTCTGCGAGCGGATAGCATCTCCCTCCACTCCCGGGGCGGATAGCTCCGCAGGGCGAGAGGCTGGGAAAGGATCGGACCCTCGCCGCTCGGAAATGGGAAGTGGTCAGCGCGTCGCGCCGAGGCGCGGAGAGCCAGAACTGGCGACGAGGCACTTTTCCGTCGCGGCGCGGCAGAGGCAATCCGCTCGCGCGCGCCGGTGGCTGGGGCAGAACTTACTAACTGTCTGACTGCACGAGAGAGAAAGAAAACAAGAGAGAGATGGAGAGAAAGATAGAGCAGGGGGAAGAAAGGAGGGCACTCACAGCATGAAGGTCTTGGCGACGCGACACGCTAAGGTGAAGTCCATGGCCGTAGCCCCCAGTGGAGCAAGGCCGCCTGGACCGACCGCGCCCCGAAGGGTGCACGTCCCACGCGTGGCGCGGTGACTGCGCCCAGACCTGCTCGTCCCTTACAGCTGGCTCACGCCGCGATCATGTGGGCGTCGGATTCTGGCACCGCGTGAATCGATTCAACGGTGAGAAACCGCGGTTTCCCGATAGCGCCGGTCGTTCGATGTCGGCCAGTTCGGGGCCACTGGCAGCGCTCGACCTTGAGCGCCCGCACTGACATCGCAGCCGCATCGGCATGACGCGAAACTGCCGTACCTGGCCATGCGACACGAAGCCTTCTGCCCGCGAGCATTCGCCAGAGCAGCTCTATCACACGAGTGGCCGACGCTCACCCCAATCATCCACCCTTCTTCCCCTGAGGCGGCGACAAGCTAGCGCGGCCGAGGCTGGAGGCGGGATTCTGAGGGGCCACCGTTGGAGCCGCTGAACATCCACGACACGGTGAGCTGGGTGTTGCTCGAGGACTCCACCTCAGTGGGCCGCGTCCACTCCTCGTGTGCGTGTGTTGTGCGGTGCGCACTGCTGCTCTCCCGTTCCGTCTCCCCCCCTCGCCCCTCTGCACCACTGCTCCCTTCGCGACTTCCCCCCTCGCGAGTAATGCTGTTGGTCCCCTATGAGTGGATCCAGTAGTCCCACGCCGCGTGACCTGGGCTGGCCCGCGCGCCTCGCTCCCGCTCGACCTGGAGCGCGCCGCGCCGCAGCGCGCCTGGCCGCGACTCCAGAACAGCGTGTGTGGCGCTTCTCCTTCCAAGGGAACACAGCAAACTGCAGTAACATAAACTGCTGGAAACTCGCGTTGGTTTATTGAACCTGCGCCGAAACCCCCTCCCTGGCGCGGAGCGCCAGGGGCGGCGCCGGAGGCGCCGCCAGGGGACTCGAGCGCAGATTCAAGAAATCTTCGAGGAGCTCTGGAAGTCTATGTTTGTGCCGCTTGTGATTCTTCGATCTTCGGCTCTAGAGATCCTGGTTGCACTGGCGCTGTTTTGGCGGCGCGCAGAAAGGGGATAGGGGGAGGGGGGAAGGCTTCTGATAATGATGCTTCTTAGAAGGCGCCAGCCTTACATCTACAGATCGGGCCCGCGCCTTCTGAGAGGCAGGGTGCTTCTAAGAAGCCTCCCCCCCTTCCCGGTGTTACCCCCCTTCTGCTCGTGTCTGACTGGGAGCGAAGTCGCTTTTACTTCGGCCGACGAGGCCGCCCCTGCATTGCGTCCGCCACCGTCGGCAGGCACTCCGCTGGCCTCCCCCCAGGGCAAGGTGTGGAAATCGATGGCGCGGGCCTCTGTCGGACCCTGCGGGGACAGCAAACGATCACAACCACATCGAGGACACATCCTGGGGGATGTCCTGCGCATGCCGACAATTGCAGGAACACCGGAACCAGCTCCGTACTGGTTGTGGTCGATGTGGCGTCCCAGGACGGCCAAGTCGACCACAACCACAACAAAAGTTCTCATGCCGAGGTCGGTGGGTTGTCCCCGGAAGGGCCATCCCGAAAAATGCACTTAGTTGTGGTTGTGCTTCTTTGTTGTGACCGGACCCACTGCACCTGCTCGCCAACTCACGCCTACCCAGCACCCCCTCCCTGTCCCCCCAAAGGGAGGAGGGGGGGGGAAAAAAGGGAGGGGGGACAAAGAAGAAAGGGAGAGAAGGGAAGATCCGTCAACCCCCGCTTGCAACCGCGCATGGGACAGGCTGCTGTTCCCCCTCCCCCAGGGTCCAAACTCCGATGCGAGGAAGGAGCGGCACGAGCTCCTCAGCACACTTCCCCGGCCCTCAGAGCCTCCAAATCCCCCCTCCGACGCTTCCGACATGCTCAAGATACCATCCAGGGCGAAGGAGGAAGGGGGAGGTTTGGGAGAGTGTCTGAAGATTCCTGGGGGGATCCTGGAGTTTTTGGGAGGATCTTGGAGCATGTGGGTCGCTCACGGAAAACAACACAAAAACAACATAGATACCATAAACGCCCCCTTGTGTGACTGCACTGGGGACGCGCCCATGAACTACCGCTATATCGAACTGGCTCCTGCAGCCCTCTAGGACCTTCGGTGGTCCCCTCCCAAGGTCCCTGGAGGTGTCCAGAAAACGAGAAAGTCGGACAAATGATATACTACTCCGCTTCTCCTCCAGCGGCGCATCGTTTTCTCGATGCGGACCCCTGGCTATCTGAACTTAGCGCCAGGGCCTTCCTTTCCAACCCGAGCAATGTTTTGATGGTGCTGCAGGGCCTGGAAATGGCCCCCCGATGCCAAAAACAAAAAACAACTGCCAGAATCAGAATTCGTTTGCGATGCCCAGATCTGAGGGTCCTCCCTCCTCCGCCTCCTCCTCCTCCTCCTCCTCCTCCTCCTCCTCCTCCCCCTGGAACCCTGAACCAGAACTTGGCCCACATAACGCCGACCTCGGCATCATTAAGCAAGGACCGACCGTCCCGGCAGACCTACAAGCCTAACACGAAATTCCATAATTCAAAATACCGTTCGAAGAACAGCGCAGTGGTCTTGTAACAAAAATATAAAGTATAAACAAGACAGCCTCAAGCATAAGTGATCTAAGAACATGCCGTGCAACACAACAACAGGTTGCTAGAACATTCTTTGGTGGGCCTACCAAGTCGGCCAGGCCGCTTCGCCACTGCTTGACATCAGCACCGCCGTCAGGGGTCTCTCGTCGCGCCCTGAATCAGCAATCCAGCGGGACCCCCGAGAAAGGCAAGGAGGTTCAGGTCTGCGCCGCTGGCTGGCCCCCCCCCCGGCCCTACCAGGCGCGAGCACTGTTCGGGGAAGGAGGGCCCAGCAGAAAGCACGCAAGAGGCCAACAAACATGCCTCGCTCTTGGCCCCCCTCGCTTCCACACGGGGACCAAAAGACCCCAAGCGACCCGAGGGTTGGCCCGCAACGGTCTGGCTGCTTGACGAGGAGGCCTGCGATATCGCTTGGCTCGTCTGGAAACAAAGGCGAGGTAGGTAGTGCACCCTCTGAGCTTGAGACAGCAGGACCCTCGCCACCCCCTCCTCATCCTCCACGTCTGGAGATTCCGACGGGGCCTCATCCCCTGAAACTCTCTCGAGATGCCCCCATAGAAAGGAAACCATCAACCTCGTCAACTGCGAGGCTGGCAGTGGAACAACAGTATGACAAAATGCGAATATCAAGGGGTAACATCGTCCCGCTTGAACTTTACGTGGTATACCTCTCCCTCCCTTCCTCGCTCTCTCTCTCTCTCTCTCTCTCTCTCTCCTTCCGTCACATCCTGCTCCCGTTCCAGCTGCTACTGCTCCCCCGTATCTGTCCACCTTCTCCTCCGTCTGAGGGCCCATCTGGCCTCATCGCCTCCTCATGCCCATCGTGGAAGGGAGAAGAAACTTACCAACACCACCAGGGGAGAGCAGAGTTTGCCGATGTGCTGGATGCAATGCTCAATGGGTGCCCCGTGAGGGTGCTCGCAACCATAACTAAATTATGCACAAACGAAGTCCTTAACCACCCTCCCTGCTTCAGGTGGTGGCACTGGTGACCCCCAGTTCTCCGATCAACACCACTGTCGTGGGCTCACAGAGCCATCGACACGATCCCGGGGCCGGTAATTGGATGTACGGCCGCCCGTCGAGATGATGCTCTCGAGTCGCGAGGTCTGAACCACCAAAGGTCTCCTTCCCCCCCCCGAGTTCTCCCCAGAACCGGGGAGCACCTGGGGGTCTCGAGACGTCTGCAAAAGGCCACCCGAAAAACAAAAAACATCCAAAACCTCAATCACCCTCGTCCCCCCGACCCTAGACCCCCGATGACATCACTCTTTCAGTGCGGGGTCCCTGGAGCTCTCGACACCTTCCGATGAACAGTGCCTCGCTCCGTGAGGCGAAGCCAGGGCGAGGATAAGATCGGGTGAGGACGAAGCGGGAAACTCTGAAATCTGGCGGCTCTGGAAGGTGTCTCGGGTGCCGCGGCCTTCTCCGACGCTCTGGAACGGATTTGTCCTCGTCATAGTCCCGTCTTCCTCTGGCACATGATCTGGCGGTCCTGAGACCCGAGAACCTATCTCCAGACCCAGACCAGCGACGTCATGAGTTGTTCACAACGTGGACCCCCAGAGGTCTCGACCAATTCCCTGGGAACAGCTTTTCATCCTGAGTCCTTTTCTGGCGGGCCTGGAGCTCGGCGAGGGCCCCCAAGGGCCGAAAATGGCAAAACCTCCCGTACAAATTTTCCACGACGCGAGGGGGCCTGGGCTTTCGGGGTACAACTCGGGTCTCCAGCGGCCGATCGGGACGATCCGAACACCCCAGGAAAGCTCTCGGCGAGGCGGGAAGGCCGCCGAGAATCCACGGAAACACGCAGAAACCTCTAGCCTCAATACTCGAAGCCAGGGAAACCAAAAAATTACCGATACCGCTACTCTCTGAACCTTTCCCAGGGCGCATTCTGACGAAGATTTCGAGGAGAATCCAGTGGTGGCGACGAGGGCCTCCCCGGAGGCCCAACGAGGCGAAAACAAAGGAAGGGTAGCGGTATGGGTAGCCTATCCTCCTCTGGGCAACTTCGTGGAGGTCTGCGCCGTGGTGAGAGCGGACGCCTCGACTGGGCGCCCGACGTACACGGGCCCCGGGGCGCTCGGCGAGGAGGCCGCGACCAACTCCCCGACGGCGGGCGCCACGCCGGACTCGGCGCTGCACCCCACCACCGAGCACAGCTGGATCTTGACGCGGTACCTCGGGCGAGGAGGGTTCTTTTCCCCTGGCAAAAACCACATGATACGGTGATGGCCCTGTGTCTCGTGTGCGTGCCGTTCGCATCACGAGCCAAGTGCAGTGCAAACAGAGCGCGAAGCAGAGACAGCGATCCCCATGCAGATGTGCTACAGCCTTGTGGCGCGCATCCCCTCGGGCGAGGAGGGCTGGTGGCGAGAATCAAGGATCGAGGATCGTGTGAGTTGTCTCCCCAGGCGGTGCTTGCACTCAGGCGTTCTGACTCCTGTTACTTACGTGAGTGAACGGGACCACCGAGGACTTTCCACGTTGCCGCCCGTGCCGCCTCGTGGGCGCTCGCGGGCGCCCCGGAGCTGGGTTGGTTCGCGCCAAGTGGCCGCCCGTGCCACCTCATGGGCGCGCGTGATCGGTCGCTACCGAATTTGCTTCCAATTCCGGTATCGGTCGCGACCGGCTTCCAAATCGGTCGCGACCGATGTTGAAATCGATCGCAATCGGTCGCAACCGATTTGGAGTGCTGAACGGTCGCTACCGATCGCGAGAGAAAAACATATCTCATAATCTGGGCCTTTCGACAGCGCCCACCATAGGTCCTTCGACCTGTGCACGTCACATGCGACGTCGACGGGGTAGTCCGAGGCGGTGTCTACTTGAGCCCGCCTCGGACTAACCGTGGTGCCTGTTAAGGCCAGCCTGCAACCCTAACCTTGCCAGCCCGAGGCGCTCGGGGGGCCAGGGTGCTGAGCCCACTTCTGGCCCAAACATCCGCCGACGTGACGTTTTCCTTTAACTATCCTGCTGTATTGGGCCTTCGTTTTGAATCCGTCAGCGCCGCGCTCCACCTCACATTCCTCCTGCCCCTCCTCCCTCCTCCCGTCCCTGCCTCATCCCTCCGCATGTCAACCATTTCGCCACACCCATCTCACGCCTCGTGGCCCCAAAGGGAGCTCCACTGGAAGCTCCTGTGGCAGCGTTCGCGTACGTCCCCCGGCTCATTTCGGCACATCCCTCGCACGCGTGGCCCCATGGGGAGCTCCACCAGAGGCTCTTGTGGCAGCGTTCGCATGCGTGCCCGAGCCTCTATTCGGCAACCCTCTCACGTTTCGTGGCCCTATAGGGAGCTCCACCGAAGGCTCCTGAGGTAGCGTTTGCATGTGTTCCCCCCGCCCATTTCGACACGCCCCTCACACGTTTCGTGGCCCCACAGGGAGCTCCACTTAAGTCCTGAGGCAGCGATCGCATGCGTCCCCCAAGTAACCCTGGCGCGCCCCACACACGCTTCGTGGCCCCATAGGGAGCTCCACCGAAGGTTCCTGTGTCAGCGTTCGAATGCGTCCCCCAGCCAACTTCGGCACACCCCTCACACGCCTCGCCCAAAAGGGAGCCTCGCAGAAGGTTCCTGTGGCAGCGTTCGCATGCATCCCCCAGCCTATTTTGGCACACACGCATCACACGTTTCGTGGCCCTACAGGGGGCTTCACCGAAGGCTCTTGTGGCGGAGTTCGCATTTGCCCCCCAGTCCATTTCAGCACCACACCCCTCACACGTTTCGTAGGGAGCTCCACCGAAGGCTCTTGTGGCAGGGCTCGCACGCGTCCCCCAGCCCGTATTTCGACACACCCCTCACACGTGTCGTCGCCCCATGGGGAGCTCCACCGAAGGCTCCTGGGGCAGCGTTCGCGTGCGTCTCCCCGACCATGTCGGCGCACCCTTCAAACGTTTCGCGGTCCCATGGGGAGCCTTCGAAGGCTCTCGTTGCAGCGTTCGCATGCTTCCCCCAGCCCATTTCGGCACACCACTTACACTTGTTATGACCCCACATGGATTATTCGAAGGCTCCTGCGGCAGGGCTCGGACGCGTTCCCCAATCCATATGTCGGCAAACCCCGCACACGCTCCGCGGCCCCCATCCGCATGTCCCGTGCCCAATCCTTTCCATGACGCGCTACTCACGAGGCGGGGTCAGAACCTGCGCGGTTCACAGATGCATATGGTTGGGTCCCCCGCCAAGCTAATTCAATCCGCGGCCCCAAAAGTCTGGACCACTTCCCACCGGACCCATGCGTGCTGGCCCCACGGCCCAAAAACGAGCCCCAGAAGCCGAAGCCGAAGAAAAGGCCCACAACCAAACAATGCACGCCTGATGGAAGAACCACCAAACCGTGATGGTGATCTGAGACGGAGGGGCCCTAGGGAACCTGGGGCCTCAGCACAGAGCAGGCCAACTCAAGAAGTCCCTGGGGCTGCGCACCATGAGCGGGAGTAACCCTATCGAGCCCAGAGGCCACGGGGCCATGCTGGAGTCTTAGGGGTGGCCCTGTCCCGAGCGACGGTGCCGCTCTCGTTTCGACGGCAACGGCAACTTCCGAACAGCAGTAGGAAAGAGAAGGTGGAATTGGAACATGGGATGGGGTAATCAGGGGTCGAGGACGAATAGCATGGGGGGAGAATGAGAGAGACAGAGAGGAGGATGTGTGTCCTCTGCGAGCCCGTGGGCAGGACCCAGGATGCCAACAACTTGGCCTGAGCCAGGGGCCGCACTCTGGCTTGCGGCCTCGCGCGATAACACTGCAAGCATCCAAGGCGTCTGAACCAGACCCTCCAGGGCCTGAGCTGGCGTTGCAACTTTGATGGGGAGCGGGGTGGCTGAAGCATGACACATCTTGTTGGCACCCCTCCGCGAGGACTGCGAAACGCGTTCTCCCTCGTTCCTATGGTGGAGGCGCAAGCCGTACAGCATTCGGTACAACATGGTCTTAGCCCCTGACAACTTTTTGCCAAAACGTTCTTGTCCGAGCTGAAACCAACGTGGAACGGAGGAGGAGGCGGAGGAAATTTGGACTTGCGCCTGGTTCGGAGCTAGCTCACGATAGCGGAATGAGCTCATCTAGCATCCTGGTCTCGCATTTGGCGGGATGCCTCTGAGAATAAACTCGAGCCCAGTTTCTGCGGAGGTGGTGACTCGAAATCCCGCCTGGACAGCGAGTCAGCAGACCTTTTGCCCGCTGGCCCTGGGAGAGAGAGCCCCACAACCACCGTAAACAAATCCATCCTCGTGTCATCGTAGCAGGTGAGGGGCATCTTATGTCCCTTGGGTTGACCAGTGTCACGGAACACGGAGTTGTAGCCAGCGCAGGGAGACCAGGGAGGGTGGGGGGGGAAGACGCGGCGGCGAAGGAGCGCCAGGAGTGGAAGGACGCGCACTACTTCCTCAACATCCCCTGCGAACCCGCGGGAGGCCTGGGGAGCACTTGAGGGACCCGAGCCCGTGCATACGAGCCCGTGGGCCGCCAGGGGCCGCTTGGAGTCCCGGGGAGCCGTTGGCAAGGAGTCTCTCCCCCTGTGGGGCGCCCGGGCCGGGAGCCCCTGGGAACCCCAGGAAGCCCGTCGCTGGGACCCCCTGAGGGGCTCCTCCACCCCGTCCGTTCCCGCCGCTTCCCCATCTCTGCTCCACTCTCCTCAACCTCCTGCTCCTCGTGTTCGTCTCACCTCATTGTAGCTGCCCGCTTGCTTTCGCCCTCCTCGTCCTCGCAGAGGCACTCGTGTCAGGACGCTTTTGTGAGAGGAGCACCTCCAGTACGAACGAACCGAGGACTTCACTTAGCCAACGTCGATGGAAACATTGACTAGGACGGATCCAAGAAACAGTCTGGGAGCTCGTCGATCCCAACTCCGAGAAACCTGGATACATCCACGGGGAGACCGACCCCTGCGGGTAGAAGAAAGAAAACTGTGCACATACACCGATCCTGGCCAGACCATTTTGAGCCCAAGATCGGCGAATATGCCCTGCCGGCTCGGCCAAGAACGCATATGCTCCGACCCTGGGCCCAGGGTGCATCTGGCCAGGACCAGTGCGTGTGCACAGTTCTCTTCGCCCGATGCGGGGGTGCCCGCGCGTGTTGCGAACACGTCGACTTCAACATCCCGAAGAAGATGGGGACCAAGACAAATTCATGCGGGCTCTCGTGTCCACTGATGATCCAACCCTTGAGTCCAAGTGTTGATTGCATTCGCGTTTCCTGTGTCAGCTTCCTGGTCGCTCTGGCCTGCCTTTGTGGTAGATCTTTTCCTCGATCCTTCGGTCTCCTCGTCGCTCTTCGGTTGAGCTGCCAATCGCAGGTGGAAATCAAACTCAGGGTGCCTGTGTCCCGTGACGATGCCGGAGGTGAACGTGTACTCCATGATGGTGGTGTCATAAATGACGGTCTCGTCGTAGATGTCGTCTTCGTCGTCGGCATCGTCAACGAGAATACGCCACCCTGAGGAGCAACGAAATGGCATAAGTACATTGCGCAAACAGATACAAGGATACGAGTACACCCGGAAAGAGGTCGCATGCCCAACTTGCAACTATCACGTGGGAGTTGTAAGGTCCAGGGGCATCGTTCTGCCGGGAGCTCGCGTGACAGTCTGGCCCTCGAACGAGCATCAACATGTCTTCAGGGGTGGGCAGCACACCTGCACGTGACGGAACAAACGCAAACGAAACGTGCGATGTACCCCTGAGGCCCCTGCGTCTCAAACCCCATAAGCCCTTTAGTGCGTAAGGTGGTCTAGAGCGTTTCCTCTTCCAACCCCCTCCTTCCCCTTCGGGGGGTGGGCTACCACTGTTCTTTGTATCCGCCGACCCCTTGTGGGGCTCTAGGCGCCAGACGATCCCCCCCGTAATCCCCCCCGGGGATCCCAAACCGGCAATTTGACCCCTCCCCCACCCCCTCCCCCCCTGGCCGAGCGCGACACCAGACCGAACGCGTCACGGGTGAGCGGAAGGCTCCAAAAACTTGCCGACAGATTACCAAAACGCTCCCCAGACGGTCCCAAGGGGCCACATTTCGCCGAAATATCGCCCTTGACGCCCACGATGGCCTCCAGGCGGCCTCCGAAGCTGCCAAGACGCCCCAAAAGGCCCCCAAGATGCGCCCCAAGAGGGCTCCAAGAAACAAAAACGGGCCCATCCCCTTCGAAAAAACAGGCATGTTTCGCATGCTCGTCTATTCGGCTTTCACAACGCCCACAACGGGCAAAGAAACCTGCAATATCGCCCCCAGAGGCCAAAGGGGCCCCCAAGAAGGGTCGAAGAGGGTCCAACAACAGCCCACGAAGCCCCCAAGACAGCCCAAGAGGGCCCCCAGACGCCATCAAGACGGAATCCAAAGGGCATCTTTCCGAGCCTTTGGCCCCAAGACGCCCGCAGCCTGCTCCGAGAACACCCCGACAGGCCGTGAGGGACCTCCAAGAAACCTCAAAAGCCTCCCAGAAGCCCCCAGTAAGTCCCCGAGGAGCCCCAAAACTACCTGCACGACGACCCCGTCAGGCCTCCCACGAGATCCCATCAACCATCCGCGCGGCCACACCCTAAGCAAAAGGGCGGGATGCGCCGCGTGCCATTCGAGAGCCACTCGTCCGGTGTTTGGACCGACGCCTACCGCCTATGAGCGCGGGTGTTCGCATGTATTTCCCCATGCCTACACGGCGAACGCTTCGAAAATCAGCCACGAAAAACGCACTGACCACGCAGTATCCCTCCACCATCTGACATTGCCCCCGCCTCCAGAGCGCTCCGAAGAGACCCCGCGAGGCACCCCTGAGATTTTGACCCCCTACCAAGCTGGTTTGTACCGACGGCCATGTCAAATTGCACGGTCCAGACACCTGTACAGGGTCTCCAAATCCAGGGTGACGCACACGCTGTCCGAAGTGTCGGACATCCTTCCGAAAGGCAACCAGAGACAGGAGTACACGCCTCCAAGCCACATCGTCACTCCTCCTTCTCCTCCTCCCCCGGCCCCCCATTATCCCCCCCCAGGGACCCCAAACCGGCAATGTGACCCCTCCCCCCGGGGCCGAGCCCGACCCCGGACCGAACGCGCCACGGGGGAGCGGAGGGCTCCAAAACTTGCCAAGAAGGCACCAAAACGCTCCCCAGACGGTCCCAGGGGGCCACGGTTCGCCGAAATGTCGCCCCTGGACGCCCACGATGGCCTCCAGGCGGCCTCCGAAGCTGCCAAGACGCCCCAAAAGGCCCCCAAGATGCGCCCCAAGAGGGTCCCAAAGAAACGAAAACCGGCCCATTCCCTGTCTGGGAAAACAGGCATGTTTCGCATGCTCGTCTATTCGGCTTTCACAACGCCCACAACGGGCAAAGAAACCTTCAATATCGCTCCTAGAGGCCAAAGGGGCCCCCAAGAAGGGCCGAAAAGGGTCCAACAACAGCCCACGAAGCCCCCAAGACAGCCAAAGAGGGCCCCCAGACGGCTCCAAGACGGAGTCAAAAGGGGACCTTTTTCGAGCATTCGGCCCCAAGACGCCCGCAGCCCGCCCCAAGAGCAACCCAAGAGGCCCTGAGGGACCCCCAAGAGAACCTCAAAGGCCTCCAAGAAACCCTCAGAAAGCCCCCAAGAGGCCCCAAAACTTGGCCCAAGATGCCTCGAGGCGGCCGGATATGGCCTGCAGACAGTCCAAGATGCCACCGAAAGGCCACAAAACAGAACCAAGGAATACGATAACAACAACGAAGCAACAGGAACAATGTCGAACGCCGTGTCATGTTTCGGACAAGCCTCGTGAAGTGCAGTCCCGGACGCTCAATAGTGTATATTGGGGCCGGCGGATGTGGCGTGACCCTATACATACACAAACATACATACATACATCCATACATACATATGTATGCATGCATGCATACATATGTATATATATATACATGTATACATAACACATACATATACATACATAGATCTACATATATATATATGTAAATAAACTAGAACCATCGCGCTCGCTTAGCGCGCGCTCAGGTTCTAGCAGGCCCCATGTCTTGACGAATTCACTGCTCCACTGAAGTAGTGGACCACAGTCCACGCGTGCCAATCTGCATTCCGAAAGGCCTTCGAGGAAAATGGTTGTGTAGGGGGGCGGAGGTCGTATGAATCGGGTTCCCAGAAAGCCTTCTGGGAGCATGGGTTTGGGGGGCGTCTTGGGGAGCCTGTTGGGGCGTGCTGTCGTCGTCGTCGTCGTCGTCGTCGTCGTCGTCGTCGTCGTCGTCATGTCGTCGTCGCCTATTGGGGCGCGCCGTCGTCGTCGTCGTCGTCGTCGTCGTCGTCGTCGTCGTCGTCGTCGTCGTCGTCGTCGTCGTCGTCGTCGTCGTCGTCGTCGTGGTCGTCGTCGTCGTCCTTTCGTCGTCGTCGTCGTCGTATTCGTCCTTTCGTCGTCGTCGTCGTCGTCGTCGGTTCAAGAAGGCACTTGGGGCAACTTTGTGACAACCGATCTGCGGAGGGCAGCGAGAAGGCGATCAGTCATGTTCCCAATCAACTTCCCAGACAGCTCTCATGTAACATGATGATACTTCCTTGGGGGCCTCCGGGAACTCTCGGGCCCATGATGAACCATGTCCCCGGAAGGTTTTCTGGGGACGCGTTCCCTGGGAGCCCCTTGGGGGTCTCTGTGGGCTTCCTGGGGGCCTCTTGGGCGCCTCACGGGGCTTCGTGGGAGCCTCTTGTGGCCTCCGGGGGCCTACAGGCGGCCTAGGGCCAGAGACCTCGAAACATCGGTTGGCGGTCCCCCTCTGGGCCCTCTCTTGGAGAGCTCTTGGGGCACAGTTGGGTTGTCTGGGGAGCCTCCTGGGCCGTCTTGGGGCCCTCGTCGGGGCCTCGCGGCCCGTCTTGGAGCGATCTGAAGGGCCTCCGAGCGAGGCCGTGAGGGAGCGCTGTAAAGCGGGGAAAGCGAGAACGCCTAAATCCTTCCAAAACCATCGGGTAATTAGTGAATATTGCCTCCCAGGGCCCTCTTGGCGAGCCTCTTTAGTCCGTCCTGGAGCGTGTTGGAGTCCTCGTCGGCCGTCTAGGGCAGCTTGGGCGTCTTCGGGGCCTCTTGGGACCGTCTAGGGTCCTCTCCGTACCTCCATTAGCCTGTCGTGGCCTGCTTCGGGGCGGGCCCAGGCCGCCTCGGGACCCCTCTGGGCCTTCTCTTGGAGAGCTCTTGGGGCACAGTTGGGTTGTCTTGGGAGCCTCCTGGGCCCTCTTGGGGCCCTCGTCGGGGCCTCGTGGGCCTTGTTGGAGCGATCTGAAGGGCCTTCGAGGCCGTGAGGGGGCGCTGTAAAGCTGGAAAAGCGAGAACGCCAAAATCCAAAACACTAGGAAAATTAGTGAATCTTGTCTCCCAGGGCCCTCTTGGCGAGCCTCTTGAGTCCGTCGTGGAGCGTGTTGGAGTCCTCGTCGGCTGTCTTGAGGGCGTCTTGGGGGCCTCTTGGGACCGTCTAGGGCCCTCTCCGTACCTCCATTAGCCTGTCGTGGCCTGCTTCGGGGCGGGCTCGGGCCGCCTTGGGAGCTCTGGACCCCCACCCGCAACCCCCGGTGGGCACCGATGGGGGGAACAGGCAGCGGCCCGCCCACCCCCCCCGGGGCCTACTCCGAGATAGAGAATCATGTGCCCAGGAAGCCTCTCCGGGATCATAACAATTGTTCGGCTCTCTTAAACGGGGGGCCTCTGGGGGCTTACCGAGGGGCGCCTTTTGGCCTTGTCGGCAAGCCTATTGGAAACATGGTTGGGGCGGTGGGCGGAAGAATCATGCTCCCGGAAAGCTATCTGGGAAATACGATTTACCGAAGTGTCTTGGGGGCCCGCAGGGGGCTTCCCTGCGGGCCCCTTGGGGCCTATTGGGGCTTCCGGGGGGCCTCTTGGGAGCTTCACGGGTTTTTTTGCTGTTGTTGCTGAACGGGGAATATAATACACCAACACCAAGCGCGCTAGTCCGAATTGCCGCGGAGTGAGTGTGCGGCAACATCCTCCGTCACAAGCTTCAAGAACCATTGCCTGAAAATTTGGTGCTTCCCTTGCGGGTATCACGCCAGCGCCTTACTCAGGCTTGCCGAAAGAGAGACCGAATGGTTGCCGTCTCAATGGTCCATCATCGCAGGCACGCGCGCCCCCCGTCCGCCCGCATAAGCGGCGCCAGCCGCTTTAGACAGCAGCCGCCGCTGCTGCTACACAGCGTGTAGGGACTCCCTACACGCCGAGACTGGCGCCCGACGGCGGATATATACATAACACCGATGATGTGTCCGTATCCATTTTGGCTCAAGTGCGAGCTGCGCCAGCTCCTCTTGAGTTGATTGTAAGTCTACAAAAGCTTTCTGTTCACGACAGCCCAACTGATTGTGTTCTTACTTGCGTGGGAGGGCCCGCGTAAATGACGCAATGGACTTGGCCAAGTGGACACTCCTCATCCTATGGATCCGAATGGAAGAAGGACCCGAGCGGTCAGTGGCACTACGTCGGCCAGCGTGGCGGCAAGAACCAGGCTCCCAGTCGCCTGTGGGTGTGCTCGGGGTGCAAGTCGTCCAACTACACAAAGAATGCGTGCAATACTTGTGGCATGAAACGCACGTGGGCGGACGCAGCGAAGTCAGCACTTCAGCCTGGCCTCACTCCACCCCCCGCCCAGCCGGCCGCGCAGCAGCCGCCGCAGAACCGCGTCAACCAGCAGCTCGCGGAGGTGGCGGAGAAGCTGAAACGTGCCACAGCTGGTGCGGCCATGTCCAGTGGCCCCCCGGCTGCGGCACCCACGGCGTCTGCGCCCATGGAGGTGTCGCCGGCGGCGGAGGCGGAGCATGCCTCAGCCACGCCAGCTCGAGCGGAGATTCTGACGTCGATCGCCCAGCTCGAGAAGGCGCTCGCGGCGCTGGAGGGCCAGGACGAGGCTTTGAAGGCCCCGTTGGTGGCGCAGCTCGAGCAGCAGAAGCGGCTCTTGGGCGAGACGAAGCCCTTGGGCAAGAGGCTCGACGGTGCCCGCGCGGCGCTGGAGCGAGCGGTCAAGCGCCAGGCGGCGGCGGACGAAAGCGTCGAGCTGGCGAAGGCGGCGCAGGCAGCCGCCGTGCAGGAGGTGGCCCAGCTGCGCCACGACGTGGAGCAGCTCGAGCAGGCCGTGCGCGCCGGCAGCGGTCCCAAGGCCGAGGCGCCGCCCAAGCCGAACATATGTCAACTGGAGCTGCTGCTCGCTTCGGCGGTGAGCGAGCTCCAGGAATGCAGCCATGTGGGTTCGGCCGCCGTGGCCGAGGCCACGCAACAGTCTGCCGAGCTTCTGGAGCGTTTCAAGACGACGCTCGAGCTGGCTCACAAGGCGGAGCGCCTCCAGGAGCAAGGCCCGAGGCGGCTGGCGGACAAGCAGGAGCCAGCGCTACCCCCTCCTACTCGTCGTCTGCATGGCAAGCAGAAGGCACTCACGCAGTTTGGCTTCGTCAAGAAGTCGAACGGGGTGCTGAAGACGGGGTTTCCCTTAAAGGTGAAGGCAGACGCTGCGATGTGACCATCGCCAGTGCCAATGTCAACACGCTTCTCCCTTGGCAAGAGAAGTGTGCGTACGCGAAGATTGCGACAGCTTGTATGTTGAGCAAAGTGCAGCTGTTGGAAGATCAGTTTGTCACCGTTGGTGCGGACGTGATCGGGATTCAGGAGGGCCGCGCCCCCGCATCCCTGAGCAAAGAGGGCCACTCATATACGATGATGAGTGCGGCTGCCAATGATGACGGCTCGTGTGGAGTCCAGATTTGGGTGCGCCATGGCCTTCTGGTCAAGACCTGGGAGGTGGTATCTCCCAGATTGATGTTTGCCATCGTCGCGAAGAGGGGAGTGGATTTCGGCGTTGTCTCCGGTCATGCCCCCCATCTTCTCGCGCCAGAGATTGAGCGCAATGACTGGTGGGACCTCTTTGGTTCCAAAGTGTCGCACTGGCGCCGTCGGTACGCTATCCCGTGGTACATATGTGCAGATACGAACGGTCGTGTTGGATCCGTGCGGTCTCCAATGATTGGTATATCTTCTCCTAGTGTTGAGAACGATAATGGAACCAAAGTCCGCCAGTTCGCCGAGCAGCAACAGATGATGATCGCTAACACGTGGGGGCCTGAGGCTGGGCACACGTGGACTTCATCATATGGTACCCAGGCTCGCATAGATTTCATTTTCGTTCCAGTGGAGCAGTTTGGAGATGTTGAGTTTTGCCGTCCCAACTATGACGTCGATCTCACTATGAACGCCTGGGCTGACCACAACCTCGTGGAGCTGAAAGGCGTTGTCCGCGAGATCTCTCCACAGGCGCAGGTGCCAGCGCCGTTTCGGTTGAACAAGCTGAACCTTGTCCAACCTGCGCGTATCGAGCTGTTTCAGCAGTTGATGTGGGCTTTCCCCGACGTGCCCGCGCAAGACCGCCTGGTGACAAAGCCACTGGAGGCCTCTCCGCCGTGCGTCGCTGGCGTGCATATCGACGACCACTTAGAATTGCTGAATATATATGTGCGTTGGGCCGCTCGATATGCATTCGGGGACCCCAAGAGGCAACCCCGACAGAAATGGCTGAGTGCCCAGGTCTGGGACCTGATCCAGCACGTTGCCCCCCTGCGTCGAGCTCGTCATTCTCTGTTGCTGCTGGAGCGTGCTTCGTTCCAGCGCTTCTGTCTCGCAGCTTGGCGCTCTATGGTGTCTCCTGGCTTTCGTGCACTGCGTCGTGTACCTGCGCGGAGCTGGTTCCACTACGGCAGTGCTGTGGACCATGATGTCGTCGTCTGCCAGTATCGTTGGCAAGGAGCGCTAGCTCACGCCACGATCTTTCGACTTCAGCACGCTGCGAAACCGATTCTGGAACGCGATCGTCAGGCGTTCTTAGATTCGATGGCGATGTCTGCCTCCAATTCTATGGCAGAGCACGACCCTCGCCAAGCATATGCTGTCATCCGGGCGCTCAGCGGCAGCCAACATCGCGCTACGCCCTGCGTGTTTCTTAAAGACGGGACGCCCACGTCGGACCCTCCTGCTGTTCGCCGGCGCTGGCTTGAGCACTTCCAGGACGTGCTCGGCGGCGTCCCAGTGGAAGAATCTGCTCTCCGAGAGGCCCCCCGACCAGCACGCGAATCTCCCTCCGTACTGCAAGTCGGACCAACGGCCACGGCGGCAGCGTTCAAGGCGCTAGGCAGGAACAAGGGCACCGGTTACGATTTAATCGCCGCCGAGCTCCTCCAGGCCGGCGGCGACGCGCTTGCCTGCAAGTTTGCGTCGGTCAACTCCCGCGTGCTGGCCAACGGCTCTTGGCCCAAGCAGTGGCGAGGCGGTCGGATGCAAGAGGTCTACAAGAAAAAGGGCGACCCTCGAGATACAGATAGTAGTCGAGGCATTTTGTTAGCAGACCATTCAGGCAAGGCCCTCGCCGGAATGCTGAAGGCACACCTTGACCCAACATATGTGTATCGCATGCCTAGCACACAGTTTGGAGCGGTGCCCAAACGTGGCACTGACGTGGTTACCTTGCTCATACGCTGTGCTTTAGAAGTGGCCCACCTACAGAACCTATCCGTTGTGGTGTTGTTCGTAGATTTAGTCAAAGCTTTTGATCGTGTTATACGTGAGGTAGTTTTTGGCTGGGGGCCCGATCCTCCGAAGTCTCGAGCTGATCGCGCCTCGCACTTGCGCGCCCTTGGCGTGGCGGAAGGCGCAGTCGAGTGGATCCTGGGATACCTTGACGCCCGCGGCCCTCTCTTCTCCCAGTGGCAAATTGACCCGGGAGTGGCCGACCTGTGCCAATCCTTGCACGCAGGCGCGTGGTTTGGAGTGACGGGGGCGGAGGGTCGGGTGTTGAGTCGGACGGGAGGGCGACAAGGGTGCAAGCTCGGCGCTCTCACTTTTAACGCTGTGTATGCGATCGCACTTGACCTTATGTCGTGGACCTTAGAGCAAGCTGGAGTCACTCTGCGGCTCCCAGTCCCGGAGACCCCATTTTGGGCCTCGCCGGCGGTTTCGAGGTATGAGCCTGCCCCTGCCTCAGTAGTAGATGCTGCGTTTGTTGACGACGAGTGTTTTGTGCTCATGGCGGCGTCTGGGAAACTCTTGGACCAGGCCATTGATGTGCTCCTGCGTCAGCTTTTCGATGTTTTTGAAAACCTTCACCTTGAGATCAATTGTAAACCAGGCAAAACTGAAGCCCTATTAAAATATAGGGGCTATCAGGCTGTGCAGTTGCGTGAGGCTCGCCGTTGTGCCGACGGCAAGCTTCGTCTCCAAGTCCCTGGTCGTCCTGGGATTGCCATTGACGTTGTGCAGAGCTACGTGCATCTAGGCACCCACGCGAATGTCGACGGCTCGTGTTTTCAGAATGCGACCCACAGGTGTTCTAGCGCCATGGCCGCTTATGCTCCACTGTCTTCCAAGATCTTCGGGGCAGAGTGCGTGCCTAGGCCCCATAAGATATGCTTCGTGACCACGCTTGTACTGTCTCGCCTGCTGTTTTCTGTTTTTGTCACTGTTCCGAACCCCAAAGCGGTGAAACGACTCAACAGTGTATACATGAGAGTTCTGCGCAGGATCATTGGCGACTCTCGTTTTTCGGCGGATGTCAAGTGGAACGACCTTGAGGTCCGTCAGCGGTTAGGCCAACCGTCCATTGACTGCTTGATCGCACGTGGCCGTCTTTTGCTTTGGGGGAGGCTTGTCAGGAACCGTCCTCGGGTCCTCCTCTCCCTCCTCCACGCGCGGGTGAAAGACAAGCCCCTCCCATGGGTGCAGCGCCTCCTGGACGATGCTGCCCTTTTGCAGAAGCTCGTGCTCCCCGCGACTGCCGCCAATGGCGCCGGGGTTGGTGGCCCATCTAGCTTCCCGTCCCCGACAGAAGACCCCGCGCAGTGGGATCGATTGTTGCAGGATGAGAAGTTGTGGAGCCATCTTGTCAGCCAGCTGTCGTTTGTTGAGTCTGTGTGTGACCCCGAGGCTCCCTCGACCACACCCTCCTCAGCCTTGGTCTGGAAATGCACAGCGTGTGAGCTGTCGTTTTCCTCCGACCGTGCACTCCGCAGCCATAGGCGAGCTAAGCACGGTGAGCGAGCAGTTATTCGCACATATCTGCCTGATGCCACGTGTCCGTGCTGCCAAACAGACTTCCGGCAGCGCCTTCGTCTCCTCGCACACGTCTCCGACGCGCGTCGCCCAAGGTGCCGTGATTGGATTCTGCAGAACTGCTCGCCCCTACCAGCCTCCGAGGTTGCCCGCCTGGACGCTGCTGACCAGCAGCTCAGGCGCGCCGCCCAGAGAGCGGGAAAGAGCCACCATATAGCTGATGGTGCTGCTCGGGCTTCGACTGGGCGAATCGTCGGTCGAGTCGCGTCGTAACGCGTTTTCTTTTGTGACTGGCATAACTTGCGGCTCCCATCCTCGGCCAATCAAAATAACACCGATGCTGAGCCGCCCTGGGGCTCGCCATTGCACATCTGCCGGCAACGATCCCCCTGCTCAAGCGAGCATGTGGTCGGCTGGCATTGCCGCTACCGCGAAGCCGAGAGCCCCGAACGCGAGCACGACCTTCAGCGTGTTGATCCCGGCCATGTCGATCGCGCAGTAGGAGAGGAGAGCGATGGCCCGGGCGCCGGAGCAGCCAATCGCCGTGTCTTTGCTCTTCTCGTCCAGCTTGCCATAAACCACGAAGACGGTCTGGACCAGCAAGCCCACGGCGGCCGCGTTTAGGCCGGGCAGAGCTTTGCTGTAGACGGCAAATTGCTTGAGTTGGTCCCATACAGGCACTGCCCCGAAAATGAGTGCGATCCCTGGCCCCATAAGCCCGAGCCAACGCAAGCTGGACACCTAGAAAGCACGACATGTTGAACACGGGCCCTGGCATCATCTCTGCAAGAGCGATGCCCGTCAAGAACACAGTCGGGTCGATGAACGTCGGCGTGAGATACGTCATCAGCATTGGCAAGACGACGGGGCCGCCACCCCACACGAACATGCCTGCGTTCAGAAAGGGCATCACCCAACCATGGTCACACGTGTCGGTGTGGATGGTCCACGCGGCAAGAACGAAGTAGCCAAGGAAGACGAGCCTGGCAGCAGATATGGGAAGGCCTGTGCGGCCGTCGTCGTGTGACGCCGCTTCTTTCTGAGTAGCCGCAGCATGCACTGGCGAAGCGATGGTGACAAGTCCGCCCGCGAAGATGAGGACTGGGTTCAGCCAGGCGGGAGTCGGGCTGACCAGTAAGCACATAGCCGCCGTAATGCAACACACAAAACCGAGATTGCCCGTGTCCTTGGTGCTGAAGACGAACTTCTTAACCAAACCCGACACAGCAGAAAAGACGAGCGACACTCCGACTGCGCTGCAGGCTATGGCGCAGGCTCTTTCAGGGGAATGGGGGTCTTTGATCTTGTCCGACACCGCACTCGATGCAAATCCGAGTGCAGTCATCATGATAGCACCAGGGAGGATGAATGCGAAGCCAGAGACAAGGCCGCCAACGACGCCCTTCTTCGTGACCCCGATCGCGAAGCCGACCTGGGTGCTAGACGGCCCGGGCAGGCAGTTCGCCATCGCGAAGAGCTCCTGAAACCGCTCCTCGGACAGCCACCTCAGGTCCTCGTCCTCGCAGAAGCGCTTCTTGAACATGCTGATGTGCACGGGCGGGCCGCCGAAGGCCGTGGCCCCCAGCCAGAAGAAGTTGGAGGCGATGGCGCTCAGGGAGGGCCCGGCGTCGCGCTCCGGCAGCAGCGGCGCCTCGCGGGCCATGGCGGGAGGCCGCCGCCGGCACGCGCGCGCGCGGGCCCGCCCGGCGGGCCACGGCTGTGCCGGCGGGCTGTGCGGACGGCAGCGGCTTGAGCCAAAATGGCTACGGAAGCTTCCCGGCGGCTTTTTGGCAGCCTCTTGATGGCCTCCGGGGGCGTGCTAGAAGCCTCTCAGGCCGGACACCTTGAAATTGCGCGCTCTTCGGGCCCTCTTGGGTCGCTCTTGGGGCTCTCTTGGAGCGCTCTCGAGGCCCGCTTGACTTATCTGGGGAGCCTCTGGGGCCGTCTCTGGGCTTTCTTGGAAGCCTCTTCGGCCGTCTTGGAGCGATCTGAAGGGCCTCTGACGTGGTCCGGGACCGTGGGGACGTGGAACATGGGAGAGCGCAAACATGCTTCAAAAACTTTTGGCAAATTTGTAACTTCCGGCTTCGAGGCGTTTTGGCGGCGTCGTCGGCCGTGCTGCGGCCATCTTCGGCGTGTCTGGGGCCTCTGGGGGCTGTCGTTGGGCGCGCTGGGAGCCCGGAAATCACGTTCCCGGAGAGGCTTCCGGGAACATGATTTCGAACGAGGCCCTCTTGGGCCTCCCTGAGGCGTCTTGGTGTGCACCACATCGCCTGTGCACACCACGATGCCTTTGCACACCACAAGAGCAACGTGCACCACAGCGTATGGCGAACATTTGCGCCATAGCGCTTCCGCACACCTCCAAGGTCCCGCCGGGGCCCAAATCTGGAAAATCCCCAGGGGCCCCAACGTATCAAATTCTAGATGTAAGTTATTAATGATAATTGATTTTTCTTGGCCCTGGGTACGGTCCCTCTCAATTTTGGGCCGACCATGTTTGCGTACACCACGGTGCCTGTCTAGTGTACACCACGACGTCTCTTTACAACACAACTGCTTGTCTACACCGCAACGCCTGTCTAAACAACAGTGCCTGTGTACGCCACAATGACAGCGCATGGCGAACATTTGCACCACAGCGCTTCCGTGCACCTCCACTCTCCCGCTGGGGCCTAAATCTGGAAAATTCCTGGGAGCCCGAACGTATCAAATTCAATATGTGAGCTATATGTGATTGTTGATTTTTCTGGCCCGGAGTGCGGTGTACCCGCCGTTTTTGGCAGACTATGTCCGTGTACACCACAGCGCCTGCGAAGTGTGCCACGACGCCTTAGTACAACACAGCTGCTTGTGTACACTGCAGCGCCTGTCTACACAATAAATGTCTGTGTGCACCACCATGCCTGTGTACACTACAGCACCCGTGTGCACCGCAGCGCCTGTGTACACACCACACACACACACACACACTGCCTGTGCACACGGCCACGCCAATGTGCACCACACTTCCAGGGCCCCCGGCGGGACCGAACTTTAGAATATCGCGGGGGATCCGCGCTAATCAAATCCAATATGCAAGCGTGTGTGATTATAAATTTCTCTGTGGCAAGGAACGGTCCCGTCTTTTGGGTCCACAACGCCTGTGTACAACAGAGCGAATGTGCACACAACAGCAGATGTGTACACCGCAGCGCTTGTGTACACCACCAGGTGGGGGTACACCGCAATGGCCGTGCACCACAGTGCTTCTGGACACTACCATGCCTGGAATTCCTGCGAGAATGATAGCTCATGTTGCAGCAACAGTTGTGCACACCACGAAGCCTGTCTTCACCATGTTGCTTGGTGCATCACGATGCCCGAGTGCACCGCGCCCCCTGCGTGCGGTCGCACCACAACGCCTGCGTACACAACACATCCTGCTGCAACAGCAGCAAATGCGCGCAACAAATCGCATTGGTGCCTGTGCACAGCGCAACGCCTGTGTACGTGCACCTCCAATACCTATGGACGACGTCGGTCGTCATCGGTCGTCGGTCGTCGGTCGTCGGCTTCCGTCGTCGTCGTCTGTCGGCGTCTGTCGTCGTCTGTCGTCGTCTATCGTCGCCTGTCGTCGTCTGTCGTCGTCTGTCGTCGTCTGTCGTCGTCTGTCGTCGTCGTCGTCCTCGTCGTCGTCGTCCCCCCGTGCCAAACCAAGCCCAAACTATTCGTCGCAGACGTGCATCCAAACACCAACATGCTGTGGCGAACACCACCGTGCCGTTGAACACAACGCTCCCTGCGAGCTCCCTGCGCCCCCCACCCGAACCTGCTCAACCGGCTAGGTTAGGTTATCCTGGGGGGGGGGCTCATGGCACGCTTGCACGCCTCATGGCCCCACACGGAGCTCCACCGACGCCTTGTGCGGCAGGGTTCGCATGCGTCCCCACGCCTATTTCGGCGCACCTCTCACTCGCTTCGAGGCCCCATAAGAAGCTCCACCGAACTCCTGTAGAAGAAATCGCATGCCTCTTTACTAATGTCGACACACCACTCACACGTCTCGGAACCCCACAGAGAGCTCAACCGAAGGCCCCAGTTGAAGGGTCCGCACGCGTCCCCCCGCCAATGTCTGCATACCCCTCACACGCTCGTGGCCCCAGGGAGCTCGGTACACTAATTAGGCGCTCGTGACCCGATAGCAAGTTCCACCAAATGCTATCATGGCAGGGTTCGCGTGCGTCCCCCCGTCTATGTCGGCGCACGTCTCACGCGTCTCATGGCCCCACACGGAGCTCCCCCTGCTTCGTCCGACCTCCCTTTCGGCACCCACAACTGCATATGGCTGGGCTCTTTGCCAGGATGTTGCTTCATGACGCGAGGGGCTGAGGGGGGCCTGGAGAGGAGGAGGAGGCGGAGGAGGAGGAGGAGGAAAGAGGAGAAGAGCGGAGGCGCGAATATACGGTCCCGTCCTGTGTGGTCCGCGACGTTGAGGTCCACGGCGGTCGGGGCGAAGAGGCCCACGGTGAGCGTGGTCGCCTACAGTCATCGTGCTAACATCAACCAAGAGGAACGCTGAATGCGAAACGAAACGGCTTGTCAGGCCACGGCGAGCCCTGGTCACGAATAGTCCCCCGTACCCAGATCTAAAGGCCAGAGAGCCCCTCCTGAGCCGACAGAGGCCTTTGTCTCAGCGCCTTGACTGTATAGGGCCCGCAGGGGAGGGCATCAGTGTCCAGGCGTCCAACGTCTTCAGGCAATCCGGCCAACAATATTTTGTCGGCCGCAGACACCCTCGCGACTTTTGAAAACACAACGAACGGTGTTTACTCTTTTCGGCTCGTGGCGCCCTTGCTGGGCCTTGGGACCGTCAACGAACGACTCGGGATGAAGAGCCGGTCCGGGATAAGGGGTCGGGACCTCCGGGGGTCCACGGGGTGAAAAAACAAAACGTCGGGAGTCTTGGTCTTCGGTGTCTGGGGGCCGTTGGTCGGGCTCGCGCGCAATTCCGGCGATGCCGACGCCGGTCGTGCAGGCTGCAAGGTCTGCTGGTGCGCTGCCGACCCCGCTTGTGCGCAATGCCGACGCCGCCCGCGCGCGCGTGGCCCTCGCTCGCACACGCTACCGATGCCGCTCCGCTACGCTGCTTGCGCGCGCGGCCGTCGTCGTTCGCGCATGCCGCTCGCGCGCGCTGAACACGCTGTTCGCGCGTGCTCTGGGACCGTCGAGACAACGATCAGGGGCGGGCAAAAGCGGCCTCCTGAGGGCATGAGTCTGACCGGGGCAGTTTTGTGAATCTCCGCGGCCGTGGGAGAGGAGGGAAGACCCCCCGCTGGGGCCGACGCTGCCCGCAACTCCTGGGTCCGAGTAGACGTGGCGGGAGGATCGCGCCGCATCGGCGATGCATCGGCGATGCATTGGCGACGTCGGCGTGGAGAAGATCAGGCTCCACATCGAGCCGCATCAACGATGCATCGGCGATGCGGCGCGATCCTCCGACCCCGTTCAATTTACGGTCGGGAGCTTCTGCTCAGCGTGTCGCTGCGACGGCCCTGCCGACACGCTGAGCTGAGCAAGCGGCTAGCATGCCGCTCGGCTTCGCAGGGCAGGAGGCCGGGAATAGCTCCGAACGCTGACGCTTGGGAACTGGGACGTGGTTGGCGCGTCGCGCCGAGACGTGGTGAGCCAGAACCGGCGGTTCGACACACTCAGGCGGGGCCCTCCCTGACGCGGGCGGCCTCTGCGGCCCGCGAGGCGGGGCCCCCGGAACCTGGGCGTGGTGGCCCACGGGCCTCCAGGGAGGCCACCTGGCGCGAAACATGCAGCCGAGGCCTGACATATGAGGAACAGCTCGGGTTCGGAATCGGCTCGTCTCTTCCTTGGCCCCTCCGAGGCTGTCCCTCTGGCGCTCGTCCTGCACCCAGGCACTTCTGGGGCCAAAGAGGGGCTTCCTGCATGATTCGGCGTTCCAAATCGCAGCGCACTGACTGCATGACATTTGGTTCCCGTGTGGTTTGCCTCGGGTGCGCCCGATGAAGGGGGCCGCGAAGAGGCGGGGCTATAGCGCATCATGCCCAGAGGCTTGGGCGTGGACGAGGGGGGCCAGGGAGCAAATGGAACGAAGGAGGGGGGGGGGCATGATGAGATCTGGGAGGCCCCATGGCCCTGCGCAGGCTACCCCCCCAGAGAGGTGCACCCCTGCCTGGGAGAAGCTCACGTCGCCGTCGCCGTCGCCGTCGCCGTCGCCGTCGCCGTCGTCGTCGTCGTCGTCGTCGTCGTCGTCGTCGTCGTCGTCGTCGTCGTCGTCGTCGTCGTCGTCGTCGTCCACCTTCAGGGTCGGCGGCACTGGCCGGCCGCAAGGCCTTCGCAATCTGAGAGGCCTCATGGCCCTGGCCAGGCTGTCCCCTCCCCACCTGGTCCGCACCTCCATCCAGAGAGAGAGGACGCCCTCGCCTGCCCGATGCGCATGCTTCAGCAGGGGCCAGGCAGCGCGCGCAGAACC